AGAAAGAAAAAAAGAACCCCATATCTTCTAGATATATAATAATGGTCGACCAAATAGTTTCATTAGATGGGTGGTGTGTGTCATAACCCAAAATTCACCCATATTTTTTGTTATTTAATTTATTTTAAATTTATTACAAAAACAAAAAAAAATTTAAAAAATCAAAAATACAAAATAGAATAAAAAAATTTTAGGGGACCAACCTTAACAATCTTGTATAAACAACTCTTTCCTCTCATTTTGAAGATGAGCGTCCACAATTCTCCTAACACATAAAAAGAAAACCCTAAAATGTATTCTCTGCAAAAAAAAAAAATAATAATAAAAAAAATAAAAATCTCGGCTAGCCACTAGGGGTGTTCACTATTCGGTGAAAACCGAATAATCGAATTGAATCATACAAAAATATCAATTTCAATGTGGTTTTTTTTTTAAGAAATAAAAAAAAAACCGAACCGAAATATAATTGGTTTTGGGTTTCGGTTTTTGTAAAAAACTGGTTAAACCGAATAACCGAAATTATTAAAAAAATATATTTTTTTTTGAAAAAATCAACAGTGAACGACGTCGTTCACCACTTCACTCCACTGACTCCAGTCCTCAGGCAGTAACGCACACCCTTAGTCCTCACTCCTCCGTCTCACTCCTCAAGTCCTCACTACTCCTCACGCCCTCACCTCATCTCTAACCTCACATAGTCACCCCCACGCCCTCAAGCAGTCAGCCAGTCACGCTCACAGCCTCAGCCCGCAGCCCTCGCCCCTCACCCTCACTCCCTCATGCCTCAGCCCCTCATCACGCAAGCTCGCAGCTCGCTCACGGTCACGGTTCACCAGTCACCGCTCAGGCACTCACCACGTCCACGAGAAACCTAGTTACCTAAACCTAAAATCTCCCACTCGCACTCTTCAAGTAACTAAGTAAGTAGTAACTAACCATAATAAACATATCTCCCTGCTTAGCTAGGTTTTTCTTCTTTAAATAACTATTGTTCAGTTGTTCTTCCTCATTGGTGTTAATTTGCCCTTGGATTTTTAGTTTGCTTAGTGTTTCTCCTTATAATCAATTTATTTTTTCTCTGTTAATTGTTAATTTCTACAGTTCTACTTGGATTTGTAGTTGTAGACTTGTAGTTTCTGTATGGGCATCAGGGTATGGGTGTATGGCTACACTTTGCAAAGCATTGGTGGAATCTATTGTTAGGTTCTTGTATTATGTCATTCATTTTGCCAGTGTAATGGTATACGGACACCAATCTATTGTTAGACTGTCCGGGGAATTAATGACAGCTAGTAGCCTAGTATAAATAGTTTTTCGATTATGCATAGAACATGTTTGATGAAAAGCATGAATTGGTGGCGTGGGTTTTAGGTTTTGATCACAGTGTCATTGCCCCTTGAGGTTTGTGAATTGTGAGTGTTTCAAGGTGATTTGATTTACAAAATTAGAAGCTTCAAAGTCTGTTACTCTGTTAGTTGGATGTGTTTCAAAGGGAAAACTTTGATAGTAATAGATTTCTTGTCTTGTGTCGTGTGATTCCTTTTTGGGTGCAAATGTATATTGGTGCTTCTATTCTAATTTCTATGTAGGGTGATTTACTCAGTTCGTTTGTGCTGGTGCAACTGGCCTCTTCAGTCTTCACAGTCGACAGTGGACAGTCTGCTCTTCTCCCACAGTCCCAGTGTCCCACTATCAACTTATCAAGCTTTCAAGATTTCCAGTTAATGGTGAGTCATGTTGACCCACTTAATTATCCAGTGATTGTGATTATTTGAATCGAAAGTTTGCTAAGCTCTTTTACTTCAGTTAGTGCATCGTCGTTTTGGCTTGTCTTTTTCATTTGGTAACTGAAAAGGTGGATCGGATTATAGGAGTTCTGTAGTTTTTTACCTGTCAATTAAGCATTTTCTGTTCATTTAAGAAGAGTATTGAGTCAAATTCATCCAATATCTTTTGAAATGTATTTACTTTAATTTCTCATACCTGTCAATAGGAAGGCTTTCTTTTGGTCAGTGCCGAAAGGTTATACGGATTGCTAAGCTGTTTTGTACTTTTATTGGATATATATTAATTTTTGAGTTATTATTTGGAAAGGAAAGCTGTGGCATGGTATACAGTATACTTTTATTTTGAAGGTTGTTTAAGGAACCAACTTTCATGGTCATGGATGGGTGTTAATCATGATATTTTCTTGTTATCAATTGAAATTGAGAGTTTTTTGAGATTTTTCTTGATCATTGTGGTTAAGTGGTTGATTTTAGCATCTTTGGATTGTTGAAGTTTGGAAAGTTAAAAGGAAATTTTTGTTCTCCTAGCTAGATGTAATTATATGTAAGAGATTATTAGATACCAGTAAGTCAGTAATAACTATCAACCCTTCCTAGAATTTTTTACTCTGATCGGCCACTGGCAGATTCATAAGGATTTATATTAGTGGGAAAGTTTTAATGTGAGACATTACCTGAGTGTCAAATGAGGTCTTGATGCTTTTGAATTGAGGACAAAAGCTTTTCTCTTCATCTTCTATTGGTTTCATTTTCTCTTGTGGGTGCAGGTCGAGGTGGAGGTGGAGGTGGATGTTGGGTAGATGTGCCTTGTATTGCCATAATCTGAATGCAATCTTTCACTCTGGCTGTATCATGTAGTTTGTCATGTTCTGTCTTTTGAGTTGCTAATTTCACCTCATGATGTTGTTCATTGAGATCTATATCTAGTGGAAAATAATTATCCTACTTGTCTCAAATTATTGCTCTTTTAAAACTTGGAGCTTTTTTGATGTTTTGCTCCTAGTTTTGATGCATTCTCAAGGAATTCTCGTAGCTCACCAGCACTTTTCTTTTTCTTCATGGCTTGTAGTTTGAGTTACCTTTTGTTTTTAAGATATCTGACAAATTCTCTCAACCCTAGGGGCTAGGTGTTTCTTTGAATATCTGAACGAAGCATGCTTTCACTGTTGGCATTGCAGGTGTCATAGCTACCTCCTTTGAATTCTGTTGAATTGAATAGGCATAGCTTGTCAATCAATTTTGCTTTGTGCCATGTTACATGACTTAGGTGATCAAACATGTGCCCAATGCCAAGTGGGCAGTGGCAATTGTAGTGGCCACAGATAGCCACTGCCACTGCCACTGCCCAGTGCCCACTGGCCTTTGGACCTTTGGTTTCATATTTATGTAAATGCAATAATGCACCTACTAAACTTATTATTTTGAAAGTGCATGGTCCTTTCAAAAATCAAAAGTATAGATAATTACGGGTGAAAACCGAATTACCGAACGTCGAAACTGGTATATTTCGAAACCGAACCTAAAAACCAAATAATAATTTGGTTCGGTTTAAATTATTTATTTGGAAAATTCGGTTAGCCGAAAGCCGTTCAAAAAATTTTGAAACCGAACAAACACTCCTACTTAGGGCTTTAGATTAACTAGACTACAAAAATGATTCCAGTGCTAGCCAGGCTAAGAAAGAAGTGGATAAACCTAGCAAATCCCTGAGTCATGTTGGACAGAAATGAGACCTGTAAACTAGGTTGTGCAGACTGTGTAATTTTTTTTTAATTTTTTTCTCTTTTATAATTATTAAAAAATTATGGATAGATTCCTTTCAATTATTTGTAATAATACTATAAGCTTATAAAATAGAACTTAAGATTTAAATGTAAAATTAGCAGCAAAATTTTTTATTAAAAATTTTCAATTATTCGTAATAATATTTTGAGCGGAACTTAAGATTTAAGCTTATAAATTTTTTCATTAAAATTCAGTTTAAAAAAAAGTTGAAAAGTCTTCAATTTAAGGGGGAAAAAATTAGCACGTAAACGGGTATGGACAGGTTATGATATGATGGATATGGGAAGGGTAAAGAAATGTACAAGTGATTTTTAGTGGGTAGTGGGTAAGGGAATGAGTATAGTATTTTTTAGTGAGATAGGGTATGATATTGGCTCAATGGGCTGGGTATCCAGCCCATTGCCATCCATAGCCCTAACCAGCCCTAGGCCCCCACCCCCCACCCCCCCTTCCAAAAAAAAAAAATCAGTTTCCAAGACTGTCCCCTCTATCAGCCCGGCCCTTCGCAAACAACTAAAACTACTCTTCCAAGCCAAATCAAACTATTAAAGCGCCATGTTTCACTAATGGTCATATTTTCCTAGTTTCTTCTTCATCCCTCATTTTCTGAATCCCTAATTCAAAACCTTCTATTTGCTCCACAGACGGACCCCATAGACCATAGTAACCAAGAATTTTCCAATTCAAAATATCGAGAAAAAGTGCTAATATTCATTCCTCAAGGGAAACAAGCATAAAGAGAAAAGAAAAGTATCAATAATTCATTCTCAAAAAACCAAAATTGTTTTGGTATGAAATGTTACTAACCCTGATCTTGTTTCTCCTTGCTTTTCTGATTTGATCTTTTTTATTCGATTTTAGTTCCTTAAAAAATCTTTCGTTCAGTATTTACTTACTTGTCTTGCCATGTTTTTTGGGTTTTCTTTTTAATGTTGGTTTTGTTGATTTATATATGATTTTATATTTTGCATGTTTTGCCGTTTACTTTTGGTTGTGTTATGTAATTGTGATTTAATTGTAAGAGAATATTGTTTATGTTGATCAGGATCCACAAACAAGAAACAGAGGGAAATAATGTGGGGACCATTGTATTCATTTATGTTCATTTTAGTATTTTAATATTTCATTAGATATAATGATTTGCTTGACTACTGATTGAAGAACATCGAAGGTTGGATAATGGTGGCAATTGGTTTCTAATATAGTTAAATTACTTAATAAGAACTAATGGGTTTCTAGTTTTCTACCTTTTTTGGGACATTTCTTTAGTTTTACATGATTTGTTGTGGATATCGCAACATATTGGGCTAGTAATTTATGTTTTTGGTTCGCTGTTTAAACTATATTTTAGTTTACTTCAACTGTCCATCTAATATAACTTCTTTCTATGCAGGTACCATTTAATGTTATTGAACTAGAGAGCTCATTATGGCCTCAAAGCTGCTTAAACTAACTGCCTACAAGGCCAAAAATGAGCTTGAACTCTCTCTAAAGCAAGCTTTTGAGGAGCTTGAACCAAAACTAAGGCCCCTCTTTCCTTTAACAATACCAACCCCACAGGAATATTCAAAACTCAACCTTGCTATTCTTTATGGGGTTTTAACCGAATCCCATTTGGCTAAAACACATATAAAGCATCTACATTCTATAGTTACTGATGGGTATGCTTTGTTTGTTAGCTTGATTGTGAAAATTGTTAATGATTTGTACGGTAAGTTTGTTGATTCGGTGAAGGACCAGTTGATTTGGGTTGTTAAAGAAATGGTTGACGTTTTAGGAGTGGGATTTGATGGTTTGTTAGTTTCTTTGTTGAGGCAGATTGTCGGTGGGGATTTTAGTGATCGGAATTTGTGGTTATGTTTTGAGTTGTCTGCTCTTTTTTCAAGCAAATGGGATTGTTTAGTAGAAGAAGCGCCATTCGTTTTGACTAGTGCTTTGTTTGTATATCTTCGGGTATTAGCTGATCATTGTAAGGTATCGAGTGATGCTAAGATAGAGTCTTTGAAAAGATTAGAGATTGAGTTTTGTGTCAAGATGTTGAGGGAGCAATTTCATTTGTGTATGAAGATTGGGAGAGACCTCATTAGATTGCTTCGAGATTTGGTTCATGTCCCTGAGTTTCGAGCTATATGGAAGGATTTGGTGTTGAGCCCAAGAGAGTTTGGGATGGAAGGATTTTCAGATGTTTCACAGTTGTACTGCTCTAGGACTTCTAGTCTGTACTTTTTGCTTCGGATTACTCCCGAAATGGAAACCCAATTGAGGTTTTTACTCATGCATGTTAAGTTTGGGAATCAGAAACGATACCAAATGTGGTTTGCCAGGAAGTTTCTTTTTGGACAAGAGAGAGAGACTCTTGTAATTGACATTGTTCGGTTCATATGTTGTGCACACCACCCATCGAATGAAACTATTCAGTCGGACATTATACCAAGATGGGCTGTTATAGGTTGGCTTCTGAAATCTTGTAGAGAAAAATATGTTGAAGCTAATGTGAAGCTGGCCTTATTTTATGACTGGCTTTTCTTTGACGAAAAGATTGACAATATAATGAATATTGAGCCTGCAATGCTATTAATGGTATGCTCTATACCAAAATATGTAGACATAACTCACTCTCTTCTTGAATTTTTATTGTTTCTTGCTGAAAACTATGACGTGGACCGTAATTATGTCATTATAAGGGGTTTGTCATCAGCTATGAGGGCGCTTGTTCGAAGAGGAGTGGTTTGGTCACTGGATGTTCTGACTTCTTGTGATGCACTTTCTCCTTTTCTGAAAGAGAGACTTATGGGCTTTTATTGAGTTCAAATAAGGAAGGTAATGAGTTGCAACCAGCCCATTTTCCTCATCAAGATTAAATTGAGAGGCAGCCTAGTATGGGTGGCTTTCTTGATTCTAAATTGAGAGGCTCCTGTGTTCTTCAATTTAGTGGCTTTACAATTGTAACTAAAATAGCATGGATACTTTTTGTTTGCTTTACCCTTACAAAGTCTATAGAAGTGCTTGTTCTGATGGAATTGGAAAAATTAAACTTGGACTAGAGTTGGTTAAAGAGAATGATGTCTAAATTTTGTTATTTTATACTGGACAGAGATTGAATCATAAGCCACAAGTCCATACTGAACTTATGAAGATCAGTAGAGAGCAATGAAACAGTTAGAGTGAAGCTTTAGTTTAAAATTTCTAGTTTTAGCTATGTTTGTAGTGAGCAACCCAGTGTGAACATTAAATAGCGAAACTATAGGGTTATTGTAGCGTGACCTGGCTGAGGGTCGAAACACGGTATAGGAAGATGGAAAAACATTGTGGAAGACATGAATTCATATGCAAAAATCTAGTTTTACTTCTTTGGTTCTAGGTAAGAGCATGCAGTTTAATGCTTTACGCAATGGAACTTTAAGTTCTAGGTGTTTACTTTTTCACACCATTATCATCGTCATTATACCTTTGGAAATCCCTCTTAAGCCATGACCATCGATTTTCTTATGGATATGCTGAAAAGAAATGTATTGGCTAGCTGACAATCTTAATAAGATAGTTTCAATTCATACAAATTCTGTCTTCTATTTATGTTTTTGGTTCGCTGTTGAAACTATAGTTTAGTTTACTTCAACTGTCCATCTAATATACCTTCTTTCTATGCAGGTGCCATTTATGGAACAAGGCAGTCAGGTATGGGGTAAATCATCTGACCTGATTCTTAAATTCACACTTTAGAGTGTTGAGACCTTATTAAATACTTGCCCTTGAGCATTCATTTTTCTTGACTGAAATAGAAATATGTACCCTGTTGTCTTCTTTTTCTTTTGAAATATAATCTGAGTTGATGAAGTTTTTTTATGGTACTTAATAATGTGTTTGCATATTGTGTATGCTAACTTGTAACGTCCTTGCTTAAGTATACATATACAATTTTAGGAGATGGAGGATCATCTCAAAACTTGAATTTTATGATCATGGCTTCCCTTAAGTTCATGTTTCCTTGTATCATTCGTTTTCATTACGTGCATCCCCTCTATCCCCTACCATAAAATATGAATTCAAACAGAAAGTCAGAAACAGCCTAAAGACAATGGCGTGCATTGGTTTTGTCACTCTCATTTTGCTGTTTCTTTGGGGTTAGAGATTTTAATCAGCCCTGAGATGCCAGGAATGCTATGGAAGAAAGATCAGCTGTCTTGTGCCCCCACTGGTGCTCAGTGTCTCTGTTAGCATTCTGGGGTAGACTTTACAAAACTCACAGCTCTTGAAGGCTATCTGTTTTTACTGGTTGTGTCATATAGTCCCAGTTGCCTTCATATACCCACTGCCTAGTTAGTGAACAATCTTCTTGTCTGCCAATTGTTTAGGTTAAAATACTATCCAATTTTTAATTTATATGTTTATTTATGCAGATCATCTTGTTTTAGTTATGCTGTATTGAAGGAATTCAAAAGCAAATTGATTTGTTTTTATTGGTATTCCATCATAAGTTTTCATTGGTTACTTAACTCTTTGGGAAAAATGCAGGTGCCTGGACTTATGAAGATCAGGTACATTGGACAAACCACAATTGGTAGTGCTGCCATTTTTGGTCTCTTCCTTGGTGCTGGGAGCTTGATACATTGTGGGACGTCATGTTGATTTGTATTGAGAGCATCAAGAAATTAACTTTGTTCTGCTCAAAAGGATCTGTGCTTCCACACCGCTTGCCTTTGAGCTGATGGATAGAACTTGTGGTGGCGATAAGTTGTTTCTTTCAACATAAAATTTCCTGTGATGCTATTGGTTTAAGAAACAGCTTAACAACAATTAGCCCTGTGAAATTTCTTGGTTTTTGTCACTTTCACAGGTGTTTGACACCTTGATAGTTGCTTGTTTATTTTTCTGCCTTGGCATATTAGTTGTCTTTTCTTTCGATGTAGAACTTTATCCTTGGCATTTCCATTAAGATAGTCGCTCTAGTAATTTGATTTCATACTTTCTCTCCACAGGCTAATCCTTGATTGATTTACTTGGCCAAAACTAGATCAGCAATTGTCTTATATAAGGTCAGGAGAAAGGAAATGAAGATACAGCAGCACGGGCGTGAGAGCTGGTCCAACCATGAGCTTGACCTTATGTTTTCATTGTTTTTCATCACCTTAGCAGTTTTTTTGTGAAGAAATGACAGACGGAGATTTTGCCGAGTTGAAGCTGCATAAAAGTTCCACCTTCTTTTGCCATACTCTTAAAGCAACTGGTCAGAGCAGAGGTTGTGTGAATCGATATGAAGCAGGAAATATTGATTGTATTGCCGTACCTCTACTAGTATTACAACTTACATATATATAGCTACATATAGCATCTAAACTAGGAAATTACAAACTAGGAAATTAAAGCTATAAATCTTCCTAGACTCCTTGATTAGAGCCTTGAATTCCTATATTTGCATCCTAAAATACACCTAGAATATTCTAAATAGAATATTTCCTATTCCAACAGGTTGCTAGCTAAAATCCCGAAACAAAATGGATTGAGATCCTCTCCCCTAATCCTTTTTCAACTAATTGATATACTCTAAATGAATTTGCTAGTGTTGAGGAGATAGTTTAGAATCTGGATGGTTAAACATCTGTTGGCTGGAATGGTGGTATTAATCTAGATTTTTATGTGGCAAAATGCATTGTTGTTGAAAAGCGAAAGAAAGTTGAAGGGCACGGTATTGGTGGTGGTGGAGTGAGTAGAAAATTATGAAATGTATGGGTGTTGAAAATAGGAAAGGGAGAAGTCAACGTAAATTATGAGGACATTAAACAGAAGGTATAACTTGTTGACAATGAAAGGGAAATTGAATTTCCCATCTCCAGTCCAATCCTCCCCCTTGTAATTTCTGTTTCTAGAAATTAGATATGTTCAGGCTAAGTGTGAAGTGGAAATCCATCTTCATGGAGGGTAATCCAGGTTGGGGTTCAAATATGTGGATCATCTTTATTCAGGCGTCAAAGGAAAAAAAAACACTCATATCCTGAATGTCTGATGGGGCTTTTTTATTGACTGAGAAGGCAGACTGGCTAGATAGGATGTCTAGCAAAATGAGTTACTACACCAAGACTTAGATTTGAGATCTTGCCAGATGGTTTGCCATGCTTTTAGTCTGTCTTTTTAAGTTTTGAAAGGATTGTGAAATCCTTTTTTGTTGGACATTCAGTTCATTTTCATTCTCCAACCTCATTCAAATCTCTACGAATCTCTTTGGATTTTATTAGCCATTTGAGGGCCTTACCTCTTCACTTTCATTTAGCATCCTGCTAGTATTATTATGCTTAAGTATATGCTACCAGCTGACGTGTTGAACTTGCTTAAGTTTGGTTCTTGAATGATCTTTACAACAGGCCATCACAGCTTTAAAGAAAGTGGCTTACTTGCTCAAGTATGGAAGAAGGAGAAAGCCAACGTTCTGTCCATTCTGTCTTTCCAACGTAAGTTTGGTCCATGTTTTACTGCTATTTGTTGCTTAATTTTTTGTTCATGTTTTGATCTGGATCAATTTACATATGCACTTCTGTTTTCCCCTTCTTTCACTATCATCATTGCATTAGTCTGACAACCAGCTCAACAAAAACTAAACCCCCATTATATTGCATCCCACTTTTGTTATTCTGATAACTGGTGTAAGTATCATGGATTTTGCTCATGCAGTGAAATGTGTTATATGAGTTAATTTATTTATGGGTTGAGCAGGGGATTAGGTTTTCTTGTAAGATGCTGGTACATCTTTGTCATGAACAATTTGATCTTTCTTTTCATTTAGGGATCTCCAAGTATGTATTTATGCATATTGGTCCTTGCAATCTTATTTTTGAAATAGATTCTTCCTACTAGAAATTCTAAGTGGTCAAATGTGAATTGCTTTCAGGACGAGTCTGTTTTGATATGGTTCTCTGGGAAAGAGGAGAAACATCTCAGACTAAGCCATGTATCTAGAATCATATCTGGGCAGCACACAGTAAGTTCTTGCTATGAAACGATTGTGGTTTACTTGGCTACTCTTCCTTGAATTTGACATTTATTAATAGACTGCATCTATATACTGACAGCTTGTTATAATTTTTAGAGCTACCTACGAATCTAATGCTGTTTCTCCTGCCACTCTCTCTTTTCTTTTTTTAAATCCTTTTGGCTTAATTAAAGCATTATTAGCATTTTTAAGGGAACTTTCCAAATGCAATATTGTTTTTTGTCAAGAACTTATCCGGGTTGACATAGAGCTGGCTATTGGCTCTCCAATAATAAACTTTTGCATCTTAAATCCACATAAACAAACGTTCACTCAGCATAATCTCTTTTTTTCCTTTTTCATTGATTTTGTCCATAAAAGGCCATTACCTGGTGCTGGTCCAAATAAAATGGAGTCCCATTAGGGTGATCTGTAATTGTTCCCAAATTCCTGTGTATCTGCCTGAAATAACTTTCTGAGATTAAGGCATGCACTTCAGATGGTTCAACATTTTTTCCATTGCACCAGAGAAGAAGCCCCATTTGCTAAGCTTTGCCAAACTAGTGCCAACCTAGTGACCATCTTAAGTATTCTCCTTGCTAACTTTCTCCGTACATAGTGCAACACAGCCAGTCAGCTATCAGGATGCTTTTCAACGAGGATCACCTGTTGTAGTGTCATGACAATCCCTTTAAATTTTACTGCCATGCAATTGTTGTGTTAGAATAGTTTGTTTCCAAATTTCACGTCCCATTATGAATCCATTATGAACATCAACCTTTTTTCAGGGAAATTTTCTTCAGGGGGAAACAAAGTGAAGAAAATTTCTGGGACGTTAATCCCACTCCTTTGCCTAAAACCGTAGATTCTCCTGAAAATCTCCAAAAGCTGGTTGTTCCTAATATTATAGAGCCAGAAAATGTTGAAAATTCGATAGCAGGAGAAATACTACTAGATGATCTTAAGGGACAGGAACCTAAGTTTAGAGTTTACACAAGGAGAAAGAATCATCAAAATGGTAGAGATCCTACTGTTCGCAAGGCACAAAATCAATCAGCCATCTCGAGTGATGAGCCTGAGACATGCAAGGTACTCTAAATCCTCTATTATATAATAATGTTCCTGTTCTTGACACTTAATATGATCCTGACATTCCCATAGCACTTAAAAGAGGTACCTGGTCTTGTACTAGCCATCTTATTACAAAATACCTCTCATATGATAAACTATCTCAAAGTCATAGGGCATTTAAATAAAAAATCTCTAATTTGTTTTCTTTTTTTTGAGAAACATTTAGGAAGCACTTAATGATCCAAAATGAAAATCAACAGTAATGGAGGAGATGCATGCTTAGTGAAAAATGAGACATGAAAAGTTGTAGAGTTACCGAAAGACCAAAGAACAATTGGTTGTAAATGGGTATTTACGGTGAAGTGCAAGGCTGATGGAAGTGTAGAAAGATACAAAGCGGACTTGTTGCTAAAGAGTTTACTCAAACCTATGGTATTGATTACCAAGAGATTTTTGCCCTGGTAGCTAAAATTAACTTTATTCGAGTTTTACTATCTCTTGCAGTTAATTTCAATTAGACCTTACATCAACTGGATGTGAAAGATGCATTTCTGAATGGTGATTTGGAAGAAGTATTTATGTGTCCACCATCAGGTTTTGAAAAAACAATTTGGCCAAAATAGAGTGTGTAGGCTCAAGAAGTCTTTATATGGCTTGAAACAATCTCCACGGGTATGGTTTGGAAGGTTTGAGAAGGCAATAAAAAGCTATGGTTTTCACCAAAGTCAAACAAACCACACTCTATTTTATAAGCATTTTGAGATGGAAAAAATTATAATTTTAATTGTCTATGTGGATGACATAATCTTAACAGGTGATGACTATGAAGAATTTGCAAGATTGAAAAGGAAACTAGTAGAGGAGTTTGAAATTAAAGACCTGGGAGCATTGAAATATTTTCTTGGAATGGAATTGCAAGATCAAAAGAAGGAATATTTGTGAATCAGAGGAAGTATATCCTTGATTTACTTGGAGAAACTAGGCTATTGGGATGCAAAGTAGCCGAAACTCCAATTGAGGCTAACTTAAAACTAAGTCCCATTAAGGATGAAGATGTGATTGATAGGGAAAATTTCAGCGACTGTTGGGAAGACTGATATATTTATCAAACACTCGTCCTGACATAACCTTTCCTGTAAGCATGATGAGTAAGTTTATGCACTTGTTAGGTCAAAAGCATTTTGAAACTGCCTATAGAATACTAAGGTATCTGAAGGGGACACCTGGGAGAGGCTTGATGTTTAGAAAACGTTATAATGCACAGGTTGAAATCTATATAGATGCTGATTGGGCAGGTAGCTTTTCTGATAGAAGGTCAACATCAAGATACTATATTTTTGTGGGAGGAAATCTAGTCACATGACGGAGTAAGAAACAGAATATAGTAGCTCGAAGTAGTGCTGAAGCTGAGTTTAGATCTCTAGCACATGGGATTTGTGAAGTAATGTGGATCAAGAGGTTATTAGAAGATATGAAGATTCCTGTGTCACTTCCTATGAAAGTCTATTGTGACAACAAAGTTGCCATTTCGATTGCACACAACCTTGTTCAACATGATGGAACCAAGCACATCGAAGTGCATAGACATTTTACCAAAGAGAAACTTGAAAGTGGCCTAATCTATATTTCTTACATACCAACCACCGAACAGACAATTGATATACTCACTAAAGGACTATAGAAGAAACAGTTTGATTTCGTAGTAAGCAAGCTAACTATGGAAGACTTTTATAAGCTAGCTTGAGAGGGAGTGTCACTATGGAAGACATTTATAAGCTAGCTTGAGGGGGAGTGTTGAGAAGGAGAAATCAGCAGCAGCTGGATCAAGGGGCTACTTATTAGGAGGAAATCTGTTCCTTCTAGATTGGGAGAGAAATTAGAAGAGATTTAGTCAAAGTAAATAAATTAGGAGATAAATTTGGAGATTTGATTTGTATTGAATTCTTTCCTTGTATAGACACTTTTGTATTCCTATTTATATGTAATCTAAATAGAAGAAATACATACAGCAGAATATTTTCCACTTTTACGCCCACAATTAACATGAAATCACCTTGGTTCCTGCGCAAGCACAGCCTTGAAGATTTTTACATTCATCTCTTCTATCTTTACATCATGTCTGGTGTTGATTTTCTGATAGGCAATCATTTGTTGAGTCTTTACGATTGACCTCCGGGTACTGCTGCCTGACTTCATTTGCTTGCATATGGAAGAGAGCAGATTGTTTAACCTTGGAAGCTGCAGAGAGAACCTTGCACATTTTTGTATTGGGCCAAACTCCACGCAAAAGCTATTTCAGATTCTCCCTTAGCACCAGTTGTCCATGACAAAACTATACCAAGTTCAACCTTCATTTTTTATATTTGCAAAGAAAATTGTAAACATACCGTCTGGGAAACGTTGCGGTCTCTCATAGCATGATTCATCGTTTCTTTGGCCAAATGAATCAGAAAGCCTGAGTTTTTTGTTTTATGGTTCACGAGCATCTTCCATCTTTGTGGCGCACTGAATTACCCGTTGGCAGCTTTGGGATTGGAAGGAGTTGCTTGATCTGTTAGGCTTCATGGTGTAAATTGCTAACAGCCTAAATTCTAGGAGAAAAAAATGAATGTGATGCTTTTTGTCCATTGGTTTTGTGGTTTGGTGCTGTTGTTGCAAGCTAACAAGTGACCAAGGTAGCAGCAGCAGCAATAATAGTCCGGAGATGCTTCCTATTATTAAAGAATGGAATGTTTCTTTCCTTTACTTCTTATATTCAAATTTATAATATATATTAATTTTCCTACTAAATAGACTGTATATCTATTTTTATATTGTATAAAATAAACTGGACAACCAAAGAGAAGCAGACAGAGGGACGCTATTTGTCCAAAAAAAACAATAGTTGAAGGATTTGATTGACCAATTTGATAGTACAAGTCTCATTATATCGTCATATTAATAATTCAAAGACAAAAACTGCTAAAAACCTAAACTTATGAAACCCAAGGTACTAGTTGAATGGTTGCACTTGTTTCAAGTTAATTCATCATTTATGAATTTGAAGAATTATACTGAGCAGTAATAAAAAAAAAAAAAAATATCGTAGATGTTTTCATTGAAACTATTAAGAAAAATTTCTATAAATGGCAATGCCAATTAACTTGATACAGGCTGGCGCCAATGAAATGGTGGTTATGATAGATGATATTCAATTTTTTAAAAATACAAAAAAATCATCTTCTGAAAAAAGATTAAACTCACATAATAAAAAAAAAAAAAAAAGAGCCCAGTTATGGCCTAAGTAATGGTGGTATCTGTGGCCTCGCAATATAGGCCCACTGTTAAGGCCTCAATATGCAGGCCAGCCATGCAGTGTCTAGCTGGGGAGAGAGAGAGAGATCAAAGAGGCTTGAGATGGTAACAATTATGGTGGGCTCTTCCTCTACGTGCCTTCGGCAGAGCTGAAGAGAAACTGATTGTGGGGCTGGTGTGAGATACATGCAAGAGTTAAAAAACAAGTCAGTCACCTCACCACACCCACTACATACACAGTACTTGACAAACCTTAGTAAGGTTTCAGTATCAGTCAATCAAATTCTTACATAAGCAAAAACACTCGCAATCCCGGAATGGCGAGGGATAGCTGTCTGGCTCGTGTAACTGCTGGCGTTGCTGTCGGAGGTGCTATTGGGGGCGCCGTGGGTAATTATTTCTCACATCATAAACCCTAAAGCATCTTCTTGTTCTGTTTTTATTATTATATGTTTTTCTTGTTATTACAGTATTATTGTTTCTTTTGGGGATTTTAATTCCCCTACTTTGTTGCTATTTTCAATTTCTAATGCCCGCCCATTTATCCTCTCATGCAAACACACAAAACCCATAAAGCCAATTGGCCTATAACATCCTGGTTCTAAATGAATTAATTTAAGGTCTGACTAGGGATTATTCTCTGTTTAAAATTTTAAATTTAGGACTGCCATCTGTATATCGCTTGATTTGGGGAAGGACGATTGAGGGACTGTTTCTTGATCCAAACGTTGATCTTTGAATGTCAATTGTTTCATTTTCTTTGGAATGTTTTGGTGAAATAAATCCTGCATCAGAAGATGTAGAATGGTTTTAGTAGTAGTATAAAGGGCATGATTTTACTGAAAAGACTGGTTTTAAGACATGGGGAGCTGCGACTGAGAGGACTTGAGATTTCAGGAGTTTTGCAGATGAGGTTTTGTTATAACATGGTATTGGATGGAAGTCATGGAATAGTTTGCAAAATGGGGATGCCCTTGATCGTATTACCAGCTGCCTAGTAGTAGTAGCTTCCTTGATTCTAAATTGAGAGGCCATGTGTTCTTCAATTTAGGGGCTTGACAATTGTAACTAAAATAGCATGGATACTTTTTGTTTGCTTTACCCCTACAAAGTCTATAGAAGTGCTTGTTTTGGATGGAATTGGAAAAATGAAAGTTGGACTAGAGGTGGTTAAAGAGAATGATGACTAAATTCTGTTAATTTGTACTGGATGCAGATTGAATCATAAGCAAAAAGTCCATACTGAACTTATGAAGATCATTAGAGAGAAATAAAACAGTTAGAGTGAAGCTTTAGTTTAAATTTTCTAGTGTCAGGTATGTTTGTAGTGAACAACCCAGTGTGAACATTAAATAGCGAAGCTATAGGGTTATTGTAGCATGACCTGGCTGAGGGTAAAAACACGTTATTGGAAGATGGAAAAACATTGTGGAAGACGTGAATTCATATGCAAAAATCTAGTTTTACCTTGGTTCAAGTTAAAAGCATGCACTTGTATGCTTTACATGATGGAACTTTAACTATCTTGGTGTTTACTTTTTCACACCATTATCATCGTCATTATACCTTTGGAATTCCCTCTTAAGCCATGACCATTGATTTTCTTATGGATATGCTGAAAAGAAATATATTGGCTAGCTGACAATCTTAATAAGATAGTTTCAATTCATACAAATTCTGTCTTATATTTATGTTTTTGGTTTGCTGTTGAAACTATAGTTTAGTTTACTTCAACTTTCCATCAAATATACCTTCTTCCTATGCAGGTGCCGTATATGGAACATATGAAGCAGTCAGGTATAAGGTAAATCATCTGACCTGATTCCAAAATTCACACATAGTGTGTTGAGACCCTATTAAATACTTGCCCTTGACCATTCATGTTTCTTTACTGAAATAGAAATATGTTCCCTGTTGTCTTCTTTTTCTTTTGAAATATAATCTGAGTGGATGAAGTTTTTTATGGTACTTAATAATGTGTTTGCATATTGTGTATGCTAACTTGTAATGTCCTTGCTTAAGTACACATGTACAATTTTAGGAGATGGAGCATCATCTTGAAACTTGAATTTTATGATCATGGCTTCCCTTAAGTTCATGTTTCCTTGTATCATTCGTTTCCATTACGTGCATCCCCTCTATCCCCTACCATAAAATATGAATTAAAACAGAAAGTCAGAAACAGCCAAAAGACAATGGCGTGCATTGGTTTTGTCACTCTCATTTTGCTGTTTCTTTGGGGTTAGAGATTTTAATCAGCCCTGAGATGCCAGGAATGCTATGGAAGAAAGATCTGCTGCCTTGTGCCCCCACTGGTGCTCAGTGTCTCTGTTAGCATTCGGGGGTAGACTTTACAAAACTCACAGCTCTTGAAGGCTATCTGTTTTTACTGGCTGTGTCATATAGTCCCAGTTGCCTTCATATACTCACTGCCTAGTTAGTGAACAATCTTCTTGTCTGCCAATTGTTTAGGTTAAAATACTATCCAATTTTTAATTAATTAATTTATTTATGCATATCATTTTGTTTTAGTTATGCTGTATTGAAGGAATTCAAACGCAAATTGATGTGTTTTTATTGGTATTCCATCATAAGTTTTCATTGGTTACTTAACCAATTAGGAAAAATGCAGGTGCCTGGACTTATGAAGATCAGGTACATTGGACAAACCACAATTGGTAGTGCTGCCATTTTTGGTCTCTTCCTTGGTGCTGGGAGCTTGATACATTGTGGGAAGTCATATTGATTTGTATTTAAGCATCAAGAAATTAACTTTGTTCTGCTCACAAGGATCTGTGCTTCCACACCGCTTACCTTTGAGCTGATGGATAGAACTTGTGGTGGCGATAAGTTGTTCCTTTGAACATAAAATCTCCTGTGATGTTATGGGTTTAAGAAACAGCTTAGCAACAATTAGCCCTGTGAAATTTCTTGGTTTTTGTCACTTTCACAGGTGTTTGACACCGTGATGGTTGCTTGTTTATTTTTCTGCCATGGCATATTAGTTGTCTTTTCTTTCGATGTAGAACTTTATCCTTGGCATTTCCATTAAGATAAATTTGATCGCATACTTTATCTTCACTGGCCAATCCTTGATTGATTTACATGGCCAAAACTATATCAGCAATTGTCTTAAATAAGGCTAGGAGAAAGGAAATGAAGATACAGCAGCACAGGTTTGGGAGCTGATCCAACCATGAGCTTGACCTTATGTTTTCATTGTTTTTCATCACCTTAGCAGTTTTTATTGAAGGAATGACAGACGGAGATTTTGCCGAGTTGAAACTGCATAAGAGGTCCACCTTTTTTTTTTTTGCTATACTCTGAAGCGACTGGACAGAGTAGAGGTTGCAAGTTCAAATCCCGAAACAAAATGGATGGAGATCCTCAACCCCTAATCCTGTTTAACCAAAAATGAATATGGATCCGCTCATCCAATCATTTTGAATATTAAATTTTCAATGAATATGATTTAATATAAGATAAAAACGGTAACAATTTAATTTTTTATTATTTTATTTCTTTCATCTAATTGAATTCAAAATCAATAGGGAGATTTAAAACATGATTGATTATATTTTTGGAAAAATATGAAAAGATCCAAATTCAAAATAAAAATCGTTTGATTGGAACTACTGAGCAACGAGTTATGTGACTACCTAATGTGCAGCCTGTGTGGTGCTCAAATGGTCCCTCAATCGCCACATGAAAACAAAAGATTAGCGAGAGTTGGAACAATTAAATATCATCCAAAACCATCGTTACTAACTTATTAGCTCATAATAGCACAACTGAATGACAACACACTGTTTTACTCTTACTACAGCGGCTAAAACCGAGAATCTAGTGCTTCTATGTGGTATATGGTGACTACAAAGACAAGTAAAAGAGAAAAAACTATTCAAGCCAAAAGGCAAATGCGAGACATTGTGCGTGACAATCTATGTACTAACCTCCTTTATGCCCCCCCAATCGGCCATTAAAACAATGAGTCATTTTCTTTGGAAAGAGAACATAAAAAGGAAAAATTAGATAAACTAAACTGCATGGTCCCTGGCAATCCAAAATGACGAGTACCAAACCAATTAATCCATTAGTCAAATTTGAAGTCTTTGTTGTTGCACTGATATCACAGGCACCAACTCAGACTGAGTGGTTACAATCGTCTCTTGCAGAGTAAAACTAAACAGCTATCATGGAGACAAGAACACAGATCATTCATCCGTAATAAGTAACGAATGACAAGAGTAATTCTAGATTACATCTCAATAACAGAGAAAGGAAAGAAAAAAGTCACTTTCAAACATCACTGTCTGGCTTTAGCACATATTCAACTGCTTCAAACTGCCATGAAAAAGGAGAGGATGGTGGAGAGTCCCAGTGAATTGGAGAACATGGAGAAGAGTGCCAGTGAGTTGAAGACTCAAACCAGTCAGAAAAGACAGGCATCGGCAATTCTTTTGGTTCTGAATAGAAGCGGCTATCAGGATCAATCTACAGGAGGAAGAAATAAACAGATGAGAAATAACATACAAAACACTAATCTTGATGAGGCAACGATGCAAATCAGGTCCAATTCAATCAATTCTCTGAGGAAGAATGGATTCTCTAATAATTCACTGATATTTAGCTCGATAAGACGTGTAAGACATCCTCATTCCTCCACAATGAATGATCATGTGTTGATCTTAGTTAAAGCAAAACCCTCTCTAGATCTTAAGTAAAGGAAATCAAGTTAACATGAAGAACCACCTTGACTTGCTTAACCTCGGGATTTTCAGCAGTAGATACAGGATCTGCAGACAAACAGAAAAAAGTTCAGAAACAAAAAACAGAATAAATCTCAAATCAATACAGTTGAAGGGCTTGGCTTTAAACTAAAATAGATATACCAGACTGAGTTTCCTAAGAAAAGATCAATCAATGCTTTCAACAACATAAAGTTGATGTACACATTGAAACCCAAGATCTTGAATATAATAGAATAACCATTATATCCAAAAGGGGAAACAAATATAGAAACTTCAGCACTTCGTTTGTTTTTTGGTGGGAAGAACTTTCACACGGTTAATGAAAGCTAAAAATTGAAATGAAACTCAGGGAAATGTCCATGATTGTGCATATTGTAATATAGTTACCAGGCCCAGGAAGGACCAAGTCCAGGAAAGAGGAAATCAATGTAGCCTCTTTTTCCTCTGTGCATTTACTGTGATCGTGCAAAAATCTTTCCTCAGCTACATTAATCTCTTCCTTCTGCACATTCTTTTTCCGAGAAGACGCTTCTTGACGGACAGCTGTTTTGTTCGTAATATCATTGAGTGCCTTTCGACTTCCCAACGCAACTCCACTTTTCTTCGTAGTTGTTTTAGAATTCTTAACACTTCCGTCAAAACCAGCCTCTACAAAAGAAAGAAAAATAAAAATTACTCAACCAAGTATAGGGAAATCGAACAAGTTGTATGTAACCATAAAAAACATCCAAAGCAATACTTTTGCGACTGACACCCAAATTCTCATCCTGGATTATCAGGGGCGTCTGCACCACACGATTAGCCATTGTTTTCTTTTTCCTTCCAAATGCCGAAGTAGAGTCGCAAATTAAGATACCAGTTTCTGCATTGCAATGATTGAAATTTAAAAAATCAAGAAAGCAATAACAAATATTTTGCTGATTGATTATGTGGTGATGTCCAGAACAATCATGGAAAAGAAAGAAATTAACCGGAAAAACAAGAAACCCATTAACACCCATCAAGAAAAATAGGTATAATTACTAGCAAACTAGTACCTTTACTGCGAATAGGCAGAGATTGGACTCTAAAGTGCAGGTTTCCCTCCCTCAAGCCGAGAATGAAAAGAAAACTGGCAATTTGTCTCCAGAGTTTGAATGTAAAGGGAAAATTTCTGGTTACCAAGGGGTCTATTTGGGAAGAGGATTTAATGGGTTAATGGTTCCTTTTTTTTTTCTTTTTCTTTTTTTTTCCCTTTTTGTCTTAAATTCATTTTTTTTTTTTTTTTTAAAGTTTGCTTTCCGTTTTAATTTCATCCCTTCTTTTATTTTTAGATTAACGATGTTAACTTGTTTTTTTTTTTTAATCTTAATTCACCATCCTACTCTGTTTTTTCATTATATTTTTTTATGGAATTTAAATAAATAAATAAATTTTTGAAAATTTGATTACTAAACAAATTTGTGTATATTAACCTGTCATTCAAATTATTAACCCTTTTATGGGCTTAAATTTGAATGACAAGCTAATGTGCTTAAATTATTAACCTTCCATTCAAATAATTAATCCTTTTTTTGGATAAAAAAAGATGAAAATAAATTTTTTATTTAAAATATTATTTTATGGATTTGAATTTGTGTTTATGATAGCAAAACAAAATTTGAGAAAAAAAATGTTTATAGTATTTAAAAAAAATATGAAAAAAGAGTTTTACTTAAATTTTTAAATGGTGCTTATGTAATATCTCAAACGAGTTTACTATAATTTACTTATTTTGATTTTATAAATTTTTAAATTTGACTCAAAATTGAGAATATAAATTTTTTTATGATGTTAGATCCAATACTAACGAATTTTTTAATTAGACTAAAATTTATAACAGAATTTATATTCTAACTTTTGAGTCAAATTAAAAAATTTCTATAATCAAAGTAAGTAAATTTAGGAGACTCTTTTGAGGCAATATAAAATTATAAATGTTATTCAAAAGTTTAAAAATTTATCTAAATCTCTCTTTATATTTTAAAAAATATTAAAAAATATTTTATTTATAATTAAAATTTTCTTATTATTATAGAGATAAATTTAAATCCATAAAGAATATATTTTTTATAGCTTCACCTTCTTTGTTTTAAGTTTTTTTTTTCAATTTTTAGAAAAAAAAATGACAAGATATATCTTCACCTTTTTCCTATACTTTTTCCGAAACTTATTTATTTAAGTTCAGTAAAAAAAGAAAGATTAAGAAGAAAAATAGAGTAGATGAATGAGATTAAGACAAAAAAAAATTAAAATTAATGGAGGGATGAGATTAAAACCAAAATCAAACGTAAAATGATGAAGTTAAAACAAAAAAAAGTAAAAAAACACTATAAAAGAAAAAATAGAAGAACCTCTGCAGCCATTAATCCACGATTTAATAGTATTGTTGTTAAGAATTAAGGGTTAAGGACTTCTGCTTCTCGATTCAGGATAGAAATATCATATTTGTTACTTACCATATTACCCATTTCCCTAAATTTACAATTGAATTTAAAAAAAAAATTGTCAATCTTTTCATGCTTGAGGTCATAAGAATCCTTAGTTTTCATTTGTCAACCTCGTTTATAATCAATATTATTGAAAAAAAAACTCGCATTTGACGATAATAACATCATTCCTTCTAATTTTAAAACCATTTAGTAAATGATAATAATAATTACAAATTATTTTTTAAGAAAATTGTATGTTGAATTGGTTTTCCAAAAGCCAGGTCTCCTGTGGGACTCACCATTCAAAATGATGATAATCTCGCAAGTCCATTGAATGTTTAGCACCATCATCCCAAGAAAAACAAATAATAGTTATAATAATGAGTTAATTACATTTTTTGTTTATAATATTGTCAAAATTTTTTTGAAGCATGTTAATTTTAATCTTTGTTATTTGAATATATCAAATTATATATTTTTTTTCATTTGACTTGGTTTCGTTAATTCTCGTTAATATTGATATAATCGTTAATTTCACACGTGACACTATTATGTATGTCTCATTATTAGATACGTGTTACAAAAATAAAAATTATTACATATGTGGTGTGCAAACTTGTTATTTTATTTTTTATTTGAGTCTCGCAAACTTTAATCTTGGCTATTTGAATTTTTTATTTTTATTTTTTTGGCTATTTGAATGATTTTGTTAACTCTAAGTTGATGCGTTCATTAATTGTACATGTGGCGTCGTCATGTAGGTCCATTATAAAGACACATGGCAACTAGAAAAACAATTTAAAAAGCCATGATCCATCCTCATTCTCATATATTAATAAAGAAAAAAATTACATAACAACAATAAGATATTTATGACTTTGCATAAAAATAATTTTTTTAAAAAAAAAGACAAACAAATTACTTAAAATTAACCATTACAAAGAAAATGATTGAAAATTAAAAAAAAAAACTTGAATGGGTCTATTCATTGAGATTACCATTCATTCTCATTTCTAGTAAAAAAGTTAAAAATAGTAGTTGTTTGGAAGACGGAGAGGTGAAATTTGGAGTTACGAGTGGCTCGAACTTCGAATGAGATGAGAAGGATTGATTGGATAATTTTCTTGTTTAATTTTATATATTTATTTTTGTAGTAGTATTTTTTATACAAATATTTGTTATTTATATATATTGAATTTTTAATTTGAGTTTAGTGACGTGAAGTTTCTAATTGCCACTTGTCTAATAATGGAGCCTACTTGACAAAGTTACATAAATAGTTAACAGAACATATCAGTTTAGAGTTAACATAACCACTCAAATAAAAAAAAATTACAAATCAATACACTCGAATAGTAAATGTTAAAGTTTATATGTTCAAATAGAAAAAATTAACACGTTTATATACCAAAAAATAAGCTTTTTTTTTTTTTTTTGGTTGTCACATGTCTTACAGTAGGGTTTACATGACAATATCATGTATGTAGTTAGCAATCATATTGGCATAAAGTTAATAGAATCATCCAAATAGAAAAAAAATTATAACTTAATATACTTAAATAGTGAAGATTAAAATTTCTACGCTTATAACTTAATATACTCAAATAGTGAAGATTAAAATTTATATGCTTAAATAGAAAAAATTGACAACTTTATCCATCTTAGGTTTTCATAGGTTGTCATCACTGGTGAAGAAATGATGATATTGGAAACTTCTCCAAATAGATGCTACTTAGAAGTCTTATTTTCTTTTGGCTATGTCTTTTAATAATTCATGGATGGAATTAACAACCTGGTGCAAGCAAATGACAGAGTGACCCACCTGTACTCTTACTTTATATCTGGTAATATACCAAAGAAGCTATTGAGAAAAGCTGATACCAACAAATTATATTGCAGCATTACATGATCTAAAATGGGATGCACCACCTGTAACCATCTTCATCCTTCTCCCCAAGTCAGTTATCATCATGGAAGAGAACAATCTATAGCTTGAAGTCTGGATATTGATTCTCATATTAGAGCCACAAATTTGACCAACTACTGCTAATATTATCTCTTTCAGAAAGTAACAGCTAGTATGAAGAAATAACCCACCCCTAATCGTTCATTTCGATTCAAAATGGAATGTTAGAACACCGATTCTCAATTACATTTCAAGAACAGAAAAAGCAAGAGGATTGAAGTTACATTCAAACATCACTTTCTTGCTTCAGCACGTACTCAACTGCTCCAAGTTGCCATGCAAAAAGGAGAGGACGGCGGAGAGCTCAACAAATCGAGAGCATGATATTAAACCTGATATTAGAGGCACCGAATTGGACCCACTATATTGCAAGAAAGAACCTCGCCTAATCACTAAGTTCAACCTCAAAATGGAATCCGGGAACAGTGATGATACTCAATTACATCTCAAGAGCACAAAAGGCAGGCAAAAAAGTCACATTCAAACATCACTTTCTTGCTTCAGCATATACTCTACTGCATCAAGTTGCCATGTAAAAGGAGAGGATGGTGGAGAGTCCCAACAAATTGGAGAACATGGCGGTGAATCCCTTCGAGTTGGAGACTCAAACCAATCGGAAAACTCTGGCATTGGCAATTCTTCAGGTTCCGGATAGCAGCGCGGGCTACAAGGAATTAGTCTACGGTGGAAAAAGAAATATGAGAAAAAACATAAAGTACAGCTAACCTTGACAATGCAGTTATGCAAAATCATGCAAGAGGGCCAATTGAACCAATTCTAAGAGAAAGAAGAGATATTCTAACAATTCACTGATATTTAGCTCTACACAATATGTAAGGGACATCCCCAACAATGAATGATATCTTCTATTGATCTTTGTAAAAGTAAAAACGTTTCTAGATCTTCTAAAACAAAAGTTAACGTGAACAATCACCTTCACTTGCTTAATCTTGGGATGTTTAACAGTAGATATGGAAGCTGCAGGTGAAAAAAAAATCAGAAATAAAAACCAGGATAACACTCAAATAAACTACAGTTGAAGGGCATGGCTGTATGGTACAAGATGAGCATCAAAATAAACCCATATAGTGGACTGAGTTTCTTAATAAAATATGAGCATTAAAATAAACCTCAAATAAACTACATTTGAAGGGAAATGGCTGGAAGATACAAGGCGAGCATAAAATAAAATAGATATGCTGGACTCAGTTTATCACTCAATGCTTTCCACCTTATAAAATCGATGTACGCATTGAAACCCAGGAAGTCGAATACTATATAAATATTATGGTCATAACTAAAAGGAGAAATATGTATCGAAACTGCAAACAGAGAACTTTCGGGTTTTTTTCCTTCTTTTTTCAAATGGGAAGAACTTTTCACCATTAATAAATGCTGAAAAGTTGAAAAAAAAAAAAAAGGGAAGTCGGCAAATGTCCATGATATTGCATATAGTTACCATGACCAGGAAGAACCATGTCCATGAATAAAGTAATTGGAGCAGCTTGCTTTTCCTCACTACATTTTCTGTGGTCGTGCAAAAACCTTTCCTCAGCCACATTTATTCCTTGCTTTTTGGTACTTTTTTTCTGCAACGAATCTTCTTGTAGCACAGAAGTTCTGTTTGTAATATCATTGAGTGCCTTGCGACTTCCCAGCGTAATTCTACCTTTCTTTGTAGCTGTTTTAGAATTCTTAACACTCCCATCAAAGCCAGCCTCTATAAGAGAAGGAAAAAAAGGAATAATCAACCTAATGCTGAAAATTTGAGTAACTTCTGATGTACAAAGAAAACATCTGAGCAATACTCTTGCTTTTGCGATTCACATCCAAGTTTTCAACCTGGATGACCAGTGGCCTCTGGGCGATGCGGCTTGCCATTGCCTTGTTCTTTTTCTCTTAGATCTTCAATTAATATACTGGTTTCTGCATAAAAATAGTCATTCACAAATTATTGACATTTAACACAAGGAAACAATCAAGAAACAAAGAATAGAGATTTGGTTGATTGAATTCATATAATTTTGGCTCATGGTTGTTAATTTCACAGTCCAACTGCTGCAAAATTACTAGACCAATATGTTGCGATGTCCACAACAAATCATGTAAAACTAAAGAAATGTCCCAAAAAAAAAAAAAAGGGTAGAAAACTAGAAACCCATTAATTCTTACCAAGTAATTTAACTATTTTAGAAACCAATTTCCACCATTATCCAACCTTTGATGTTCTTCAATCAGCAGTCAAGCAAATTATTATATCTAATGCAATATTAAAATACTAAAATGAACAATAATAAACGAATGCAATGGTCCGCACATGATTTCCCTTTATTTAATAGGAAAAAGGGTAACAAAAAAATAGCAATGTGCCTTCTTTTCTTTTTGTGGATCATGATCAATAAAAACAATATTCTCGCAATCAAAATTACTATTACATAACATAAACAAACTTAAAGGGCAAAAAATGCAAAATATAAAATCATATATAAAGAAACAAAACCAACATTAAAAAGAAAACCCAAGAAACATGACAAGACAAGTAAATATTGAACGAAATATTTTTTAAGCAACATAAATCGAAAAAAGGGATCAAATGAGAAAAGCGGAGAGAAACAATAAAAGGGTTAATAACATTTCATACCAAAACAATTTTGGTTTTTGAGAATGAAAGTTTGAGGCTTTTCTTCTTGTTTCTCCTTATGCACGTTTCCTTCGAGGAATGAATATTGACGCTTTGTCTCGATATTTTGAATTGGAAAATTCTTGGTTACTATGGTCTATGGGGTCCGTCTCTGGAGCAAATAGAAGGTTTTGAATTAGGGATGAAGCAAACGAGGGATGAAGAGGAGACCAGGAAAATATGACCGTTAGTGAAACGGGGCGTTTTAATGGTTTGACTCGGCTTGGAAGAGTAGTGTTAGTTGCTTGCGAAGGGCCGGGCTGATAGAGGGGGACAGTCTTGGATACTGATTTTTTTTTTTTTGGGCTGGTGAGGGCTAGTAGAAAAATTACGGCCCGTTTATTTGTAAAACAAATTCCATTGGACTGAATTCCATTTTGAAAAAAATTAATTATTTTTTGATGTTTTGTTTGTAAGAAAAAAATGAGTTTAGAAAAATATTTTTTGGTATTTGGTGTACATTGAAGATAACCTTCTTTTGTATGGTTGACTTTTCTTTATATATAAATAATCGAATTTGACATGTTATGAGGTTTGATAATATGTAATTATTTTGATATCATAGAAAAATTTATTTTGGTCATATGTATAACAAATTGATAATAGCGTCAGTTTCTATCAATTTGTTAAAATCGACCCAAAATAGGCCTCTCTTTTTAATTTGTTTTGCCTTGAAATCGAAAGAAAACAAGACTAAGTATTCATAGTAGCATTATTGGATGGTGAAAAAAGTAAAGGCTGGTTAGTTGTGAAAAAAAGCTGAATGTAATTGATAAAATGAAAAGAAGATAAGAACAAACTCTACAATTAATTTCATTTAATTTGCAGGAAGTAATTAACCGAAGAAATAGAGAGAGTATGTAAGTAGAAGAGATGCCTTCGACGAGTTTCATCAATAATTTTAGGAATGGAAGGAATAGGGAAGGAGAGCCAGGAAGTGGAGGAAGAGGATGAGTTGGTAGGGTAGACGGCGGAGAAATCTACAAGGAAGAGAAGAAGATGTCGAGGAAGACACTGGCGCAGAACGCGATGTAGAGAGGCTTGGAATTAGCAATCTCGTGGTAAGCATTTTTCCATGTGGATGTCAATGTAGATGCTCCTCCACCTCTCACCATTTCTTCGTTTTCTGAATATTCCACTTCTTCTACTTTTTCCAAATTCAAATTAATTTGGAGCATTTCTTCAATTCACACCCACACCCACACCCACTCTATTCCTTGTTTGTTTCTCTCTTATTGGATTGGATTTTTATTGATTGTAAAATATGAATTTATGATTCAAAAGTCAAAATCAAGGATGGAACAGCCAATCCAACCCAACCTAGCCCAGATGCTTAATAGGAAATTTTTTATTTTTATTTCAAGAATAATTAATTAATAAAAATAAATAAGAGAATAAAAAATTGAATTAAAATAGAAATATTCTTATTTTTTTGGTCGGTGTAAATTTTTATTTTATTATTTTATTATTATTATTATTATTTTAATGGTTGTCGCTCTTCTCAAGTCAGTCCATTGTTAAGTTATTTTTTAAATATTTTCTCAAATTTTTCCTGAAAATTTTAACAGAAGATAATATTGGGTACTGAAAAAATAGATTCGTTTTGTAAATCAGAAGAAAAATAGGTTAGTAACTTATTTTCTGTTTAACGAAAGTCCTGCTTGTTTTTTAAGCTATTAGCATTTTCAATTTCGCAATATCAGGAATTAGGCTGGTCTGGTTACCTCCCTCTTCGAACGGCGAATCGTTTTACCCTTATTCCTCGAAACCGCCAAACAGCGGTCTCCTTCAACACCATCGTTTTAGTCTCTCTCTAATACTTCCAAAATCGAACATCACCAAAGGCAACACAGATAGAGTTCTAGAAACCCTTACCCACTACCAACAGGTAAAACTCAAAAACCTCTCCCCTGAATTTTTCAAAACAAGTTTGAATTCTTTGTTGTTTAATGTTATTGAACTAGAGAGCTCGTTATGGCCTCACATCTGCTTAAACTAACTGCCTACGAGGTCAAAAACGAGCTTGAACTCTCTCTAAAGCAAGCCTTTGAGGAGCTTGAACCAAAACTAAGACCCCCGTTTCCATTAACAATACCAATCCCACATGAATATTCAAAACTCAACCTTGCTATTCTTTACGGGGTTTTAACCGAACCCCTGTTGGCTAAAACGCATTTAAAGCATCTACATTCTATTGTTACTGATGGGTATGCTTTTTTTGTTAGTTTGATTGTGAAAATTGTTAATGATTTGTATGGTAAGTTAGTTGATTCAGTGAAGGATCAGTTGATTTGGGTTGTTAAAGAAATGGTTGACGTTTTAGGAGTGGGATTTGATGGTTTGTTAGTTTCTTTGTTGAGGCAGATTGTCGGTGGGGATTTTAGTGATGGGAATTTGTGGTTATGTTTTGAGTTGTCTGCTCTTGTTTCAAGCAAATGGGATTGTTTAGTAGAAGAAGCGCCATTCGTTTTGACTAGTGCTTTGTTTGTGTATCTTCGGGTATTAGCTGATCATTGTAAGGTATCGAGTGATGCTAAGATAGAGTCTTTGAAAAGATTAGAGATTGAGTTTTGTGTCAAGATGTTGAGGGAGCAATTTCATTTGTGTATGAAGATTGGGAGAGACCTTATTAGATTGCTTCGAGATTTGGTTCATGTCCCTGAGTTTCAAGCTATATGGAAGGATTTAGTGTTGAACCCAAGTGAGTTTAGGACGGAAGGATTTTCAGATGTTTCACAGTTGTACTGCTCTAGGACTTCCAGTCGGTACTTTTTGCTTCGGATTACTCCCGAAATGGAAACCCAATTGAGGTTTTTACTCATGCATGTTAAGTTTGGGAATCAGAAACGATACCAAATGTGGTTTGCCAAGAAGTTTCTTTTTGGACAAGAGAGAGAGACTCTTGTAGTTGACATTGTTCGGTTCATATGTTGTGCACACCACCCATCGAATGAAACTATTCAGTCGGACATTATACCAAGATGGGCTGTTATAGGTTGGCTTCTGAAATCCTGTAGAGAAAAATATGTTGAAGCTAATGTGAAGCTGGCCTTATTTTATGACTGGCTTTTCTTTGATGAAAAGATTGACAACATAATGAATATTGAGCCCGCAATGCTATTAATGGTATGCTCAATACCAAAATATGTAGAGATAACTCACTCTCTTCTTGATTTTTTATTGTTTCTTGCTGAAAACTATGATGTGGACCATAATTATGTCATTATAAAGGGTCTGTCATCAGCTATGAGGGCACTTGTTCAAAGAGGAGTGGTTTGGTCACTGGATGTTCTGACTTCATGTGATGCACTTTCTCCTTTTCTGAAAGAGAGACTTACGGGGTTATTATTGTGTTTGAATACAAAAGGTAATGAGTTGCAACCAGCCCATCTTCCTCCTCATTCTGTTTTGCAGTCGAGTTTGCAAAATGTGTCCCATCTTGTAAAGCCAACACCAGCCCTAGAACGACAATCTGCAGAGGTTGTGGAAGTAAGGCTTAGCAAAAAACCTGCTGATGCTTCTACTCTCATTTCAGGTGACCTGGTTACTACTTCTTGCCCACCAAATGTCACCAGTGAAAGTCAATTTGATGCTATTGAGCGCTTAGTACAAAATCTGGCAGATGCTATGAAGAAGTCAAATAGATTGGGGCTTCAGGTTTTGGAGGAAATACTTTTTTCATTTGTGAATCTTGATGACCAAGCACCAACATGCGGTTCAATTTCCCCTGAAACTTTATATTCAAGAATTGCAGATCAATTCGAAGCGGTTGGCTTCCGACTATTTGCTTCACTTGACGTCAGCATTAGCGTTCCTTGTTCTGACAGTGGAATTCATTCACCCTCGGCCTTAATTGCACGCTCCTTCATACTTTCTCAGCATGAACGGTTGCTAGAAATGCTTCTATTCTGGTCAAGGAATGGTTTTCCAATAGGAGCTCACTTACTATCTTATGCAGCAAGGCTAGGTTATGAGGCATGCATACTAGATTCGTCAGGAAATGCAATGATCAATGGTAATTTTTCTAAGACAGGCGACTTGGGGATGGCATTACTGCTCTTTCATGTTGATGGGTTTTTTTCTATTCTGAATGGAAGGAAACAAGATTTTCTTGAAGGCGTTGTCCCTGCTTCTAAAATGGATAAGGAGTTTGTTAATAAGTTGGTAAAAAATGCTTTTGCCGCGTACAAATGTTTCCTTGCATGTTCAAGGACCATCCTGCATGAAAAAGATGATGTAGCTCTGTCAAAGCTACTCCTTTCAGATATAACATCCTGTTCACTTTGCGAAAGCAAAAAGACAAAGTTCTTCTTCAGCATCTTCTGCCATCTTGCCGACTTATGTGCTGGCAACACTGATATCATTAGGTTCCTTGTGAGTCAGATGGATCATTCTGATCTTGTTGAAATGGAGTTTGAAATTGGGCTGAAGAGATTCTCTGTGTTTGGGGAGAACAATGTAGATATTTTGCACTTAATGAAGAACTCTCTCAGTTGGGAACCTTCAGAACAGCATAAGCTTTGGGGCTTGATCAGAGCGGAGCTTGCTGTTTCTAAGGTTCAGGTGGAAAAGATCATTTTGAAATTTTTCTGCTCTAGTGAGCTGGATGCAAATGCTAGTGCCATTGCTGTGGGAGGCCTTCTTACATTGTGTAGCTGCCGTGCTCCCACACCGGTGCTTGTGGGGACAATCCTGTTGCTACCTAATGATGTATTCCAGGACTTTGCTGCTACGGTTTTGGCATCGTGGGCTGTCTCTAATGCCTCAATGCTATCAGACAGCTTGACTAAATTTTCAGAGAAACTTGCCAATGAGAATGGGAATGCCATTGGTTCAGATGAGATTGCAATAAACCATTCTGCAATTCTCTGGTTGTTGAATTATTTTAATGCACAGGGGATGAATGGCTCCAATATTTTAAGCACCTTTTCTGCAAGTATTTCTTGTGAAAAGCCAGCATAGTCATTGTGATGGAATTGGGTTATTAGTGATGGTTCTGCATTCAAATGGTTAGCTGCTGAGCCTGCATTTGATATGGTAAAACATTTTATTTACATTTAGATCTGTTTTTGCAATGAGAAGTTGGATTGCGAAATCAGAATTTTTCCCTGCATGATCTATGTGTGCAAATACCAAATATCTTTTAATTGCATAATGGGTGGGTTCATTCCGTAGGTCTAACCATGCTGACTGAACTTTTAAACTAGATCATAGTTGGTTAGCATATTTATGAATTTTATTTTCAACTGTCATTTTTTCATGTCAAGATCTTTCTGCAATAATATTCAACTGGAAACAACTGGAAGCTGTCAAGTTTATACGTAGCATTAGGACGTGGATTGATGAAACATTTTGCATGGATAAGGGTATCTTGGTGGTGGCCACGGCTGCTCTTCAAGATATGAGATAAGTTCAGAACATATATAAATAGCTGTTTAGTTGGTGGAAGTTCCTGGCAGGACAAACATAATAACTATGCTAATGTGCAGCTCATTGTAGAGGTGCTTACAGTGACTCTAACATTTTTGTGGATTCAAGTTTTTTCCTGCTGTTTTAGTTAAACGTACAACAAACCACAAAAAGACAACTAAATTCAGTCAGACACTTCCTGTCAGAAAACATTTTTGTTCAGTGTTATTACCTTTCTGTTTCTGTTGCTTGACTGCAAATTATTGAATTCTGATTTTATTCAGATAAAAAGAACGAACATGAATAGTCAATGAATTGGACAATAGAGATGAGTAATGTTGTATGTGATGTAGAGTCTCGTGAAGTCCCTCTTTCTTTAAGGCTCTTAGCAGATCAACAATATCAATAGCTATGGGTTGTCCTCTCATTCTTACTTATTATCCTTTCTATCTAATTCTGCTCTGTTTGACCTAATTAATTAGTTAAAAAGAAAGATGAATATTCATTTCCCTTGTAGTTTTTGATAAGTTGTAATTTGTGCTTCCCAGATGACAGTTATAGCACATGTTGATGTAGTTTAGCCTGGTTTTGTTCATGCATATGAGAACCTTGAGCTTTCAGATGCACTGAATGCAAAGGGAATTGCATTTCTTGCCCCCAGCTACATTAATGGCAACACTGTGGGATAACATTGGCTTGTCCTTGATTGCTTAAGCAGCAGATGTTCCTACCCTACCTTGGAGTGGGGCTAATTGGATTACCTCTCTCAAGACGTGCTATAATTTTTGTTTTCAGCATCCTTTCACGTCTAAGATACTTAAATTCTGTCTTCCAGGTGACATATATAGGGAAGCACGTTTATGTACTACATATAACAGAGGAAAGAATTGCTAGTTGTAACTTGTCGATTACCCTGCAATGGTCAAGTTGTCTTGATTAAAGGTGGTAAAAGCCTAAGAAAGGTGTGCTTCATTCATTACTATATTGCAATATCTGATTTATGATTCACTAATGGAATATAGTATGCTAGCATACTTGTAAACTGTTCATACATCTCTGCTATTGTTCAAAAGCAAGGCTTATGATATTATTTATCAGGCCTCTTGGAATGGATACTCTCATACCTTATTTGTATCACTAGTTGAAATAGTTCAAGCTTTCTTTTGAAATTTCAAGGCTTGTAATTGTGAAGTCCGGCCATTGTTCAAGCAAGTTCTACCGTCTTTCACTTAATGAGTCCTTTGGTACTGTCATTAGAGGAGTGTAGATCTTATTCTGATTTTCTTTTTGAATTTTACTAGAGTCGCGAGATTTAGAAGTTCAGTTACGCTGTGATCAATATGGAATGTAGCTCCATAAGTGTGATTGTAGTGTTCCTCCTGCACAAAAGGTGAGTTAATTACTTAAGAGTTAATTTTAAATTTGATGTACTACCTATTTTTTATTGGGTTTTCTTATTTTTGTCACCACTGTCATATAATTCAAGGTACCAGCTCATAGCATCATCCCTCTGTATTTCCTTGTAAGATCTGGTGGTATGATATCCTCCATTTTTGTTAAACAGATAATTGAGGAGGATACAGTCATTGCTGTGCCACTGAAGACTGCCAAAAAGCTAGAGCAGGCAGAACACAGGTCTGCAAAACTCGTGAATTATGAGGAGCAACTACTGTTGAGTGGTTTCTACAGCATGGACACTGACAAGCATTACTTTTTAGGACTTGACCCTCAGATACAGGTGTGTGAACTCTTTATGACGCAATTTTAGATTGGTGTCATGCTCATTGGAAGTTATTTTCATGTGGCCTTTTGCACTGTCTTTGGAGTTTCTTGCGCATTTGTTTCTGTTTTGAAATGTTTTTAATCTAGAAACATATTCAAAGAGGACATGAAAGGATATTAAGCTAGCTGGTAGCCAGAACGCTACTAAAAAAGGTTTTCTATTCTCTGGTTAAGTCATCCAGGACACAATAATCTTCTTGAAAGAATTTGCCAGCCTGGTTCTAACAAACTTGTCTTTGTAGTGTAATATTGTTTCGAAGGCATGGACAAGCATAACAGGTAGCAGTTTTTTACATCATTTTGCTTCTGTCCTGATACAACTAATCTTTTGAGTGAATTGACCTAATTATTTTGTCCTCCAATTGTTGGATTTTTCAGAAGGTCCTTAAACAAATCTGGATGAAGGTGGAGCACCTTGCGACCGAGTGGATTACTGAAATAAATTTGCCAGCAGTGTAGTTTGTCACGGTACATTGTGCAGTTAGATTTTTCCCCTCAGCTGGTTGCTTAATGGTTTGCGGAAAGGATGGATTCTGACCTCTGGGAGAAAGTGCATGGTCCTCATAATGAGTATCAAAGGCAGCTAATTGGTCAGCTTGAGTCAATTGCTTTGCCTGAAATCAAGATTCATGAGCGAATTTTCAACTTCTTTGCCATATACTCTGATAAGTATATGTAATCTGTTTCCTTAAATAAATGGTTGATTCAAAAAAAAAAAAAAAAAAAAGAAAAAAGAAGAAGAAAGCTTTCAATACTGCTGACCTCCCACATCAATTGCAAATTTGATGCTCCAAAATTCTGCTTTCAGTGGTTTTCTTAATATGCAGAATATATATTGATCTTGACAACCACTACTGCTAATATATAGGCTCAATTAACTTAACTGAAGTAATAATAAAGGTTATATATATATATTCGCTAAAACACAAGGTGTAAATAATGGGTTTTCTTATCATGGATTGATTCGATTCCATTAGTAGCAACTGAGGAGATGGCTATGTAAGCTCAACCGAATCGAGAAACATTTATTATTTTCCAAAAGTTCAGTCTGAATTTTCAGGCTGTCAAATGTCCTGTTAGACAACATCTGTAGCATTATCCGAGCTCTGTCGTTTGCGTCTTATCTCGAGCCAAGTGGTCAGGCCCTGCCCCCAGAGGAGAATAGAGAGTGATACAACATTTGTAATATATTTATTTGCTTATCCTTGGAGTGGCTTGATGTCCACGATGAGTCTGGCATGAATCAAAGATAGTCCATGGCCCCTGGATATTATAGAAGGGACTCCCGGAAAAAATAATTCCAGATTACGTTTCTTCTAAATAACCATAAAAGAACAAACTAATGGCCGTGGAACTGGACTTTCTTACCTTGTTTCTCTCCTTCATTTCAGTCCTCATCTTCATTTTCTTCTTCCGCTCCACTTCTCATCCTCCAAGCAAAACCCCATGTCCAGAATCATACCCTATAATCGGAAACCTCCCCAGCCTCCTCCGCAACCGCCACCGCTTCCACGACTGGGTCACCGACATGCTCTCCAAAACCCCATCATCTACTCTGCAAGTCAACAACTTTCTCAACCTCTCTCATATCATCTGCACTGCCAACCCTGTCAATGTAGAGCACCTCCTTGTCACCAACTTCTCCAACTACATCAAAGGCTCTCGCTATCTTGACTTCCTCCAAGAACTCCTTGGCCATGGAATCTTTAACGTTGATGGTCACCTCTGGACTGTACAACGTAAGATTGCTAGCCATGAATTCAACACTAAATCTCTCAAACACTTCATATCAGATGTAGTCAAATCCGAACTATCCAAAAGTCTCGTGCCAAACTTATCCAAAGCATGTGATCAAAGCTTGACCTTTGATTTGCAAGATGTGTTGCAAAAGTTCACTTTCACTAACATATGCAAAGTTGCATTTGGGGTTGACCCTGAACCCATGTCAAGTTTGCCTTTCGTTAGGGCTTTTGATGATGCTGTGGAAATTGGGTTTTCAAGATTTATGGCTCCACTTCCGGCAATATGGAAGCTTCAAAGATCCTTGAATATAGGATCAGAGAAGAGACTTAAAGAAGCTGCTGAAGTAATTAATGAGTTTGCTATGGAGGTAATAAAATCAAGACAAGAACAAGAAAAGAAAATCGAAGATGTTGGAGGCAAGAATCAAGATCTGTTATCAAGATTTATGTTGTTGAGTTCCGACATGGAATTTCAAGATGAAGAACATAGAAGGAAGTTCTTGAGAGACATAATCATAAGTTTTGTACTTGCTGGTAAGGACTCAACTTCAACAGCTTTGACATGGTTTTTTTGGTTAATTGCTGGCAACCCTCGTTGCGAATCTTTGATTTATAATGAATTATCATTGGCAGCCCCGCCGCTGGGGGCTGAGCCGGTGCCGGAGTCAAGGGTAAGGATCTTCAGCTATGAAGAGTTGAAAAGATTTCACTATTTACATGCTGCTGTATCAGAGTCCATGAGGTTGTTTCCACCTGTACCAATCAATTCAAGATCAACGGTGGAAGATGATGTATTACCAGATGGGACCCATGTTAGGAAAGGGTGGGCTGCTGATTATTCTGCTTATGCAATGGGCAGGATGGAGACAGTGTGGGGTCAGGATTGCAGGGAGTTCAAGCCTGAAAGGTGGTTAGATGGTGAAGGAGTGTATCAACCGTTTGATCAATTTAGATATCCTGTGTTTCATTGTGGGCCCAGGATGTGTTTAGGGAAGCAAATGGCTTATATCCAAATGAAGGCAATAGCTGCAGCCGTGATGTATGAGTTTGAGATCTTGCCTGTTGATGGAGGTGCCACTGCAGAGAAAATGATGAACCCACCTTACAGATTATCCATGGTTCTCAAGATGAGAGGTGGCTTGCCTGTGAGGCTAAAGAGGAGAGTGGCAGCTCAACAATTAGTCAAAAGTCAACGAATAAAATAGACAAGCAATAGATCGACTGATTTGAAGCTCATGATGTGGAGTTTTGACCCTTAATAAATTGTTCTATGTCAAGAGCTAAGACATCTTGGACTGTGTAACGATTACTACTTGTTTTCGCATGAACTGAACATCGGTTAATAAATTACAAGAGTATCTGTGGAATGTGGATTTCATTATATTTTGTGTATACAGTTTTCAAATTCTTTTATTTAATATTTGAATGTATCAGATTGTATTTTTTGCTAATTTAGGAGTTTTATTAACTTTATGTTGATGTGATTATTAGCCACACATACAGTACTGTATGTGAACTTTACTGTTTTGTGGTAACAAAAAATAAAAATAAAAATTATTACATGTATAAATTTGCACTTTTTATTTTCGTGTGAATTTTAATTTTTGTTATTTGAGTGTATATATATATATATATATATATATATTTGAGTTGTTTTCTTAACTCTCTTTTCTCTCTCTTTTATTTATTTTTGCAGATTTTTGGCCCACCAAGAAAATCAAAAGTATAAAGCCATGCTAAAATTGAGGGCGAGATGGACTCATGTCTTCATGGACCTTGACTTGGACTGGGCTTTACAATCAGAATCTAAGCTTATAACGACCATGGTTACATCAGATTGCTGCTATGGACCCTTTGACTTGAGTATCAAAAGAGCAAGGGCCACAATTTATATTATCGACTCCACTGGGGATCGAACCCAGAATCTCTGGTTCCGTAGACCAGCGCCTTATCCATTGGGCCATGGAGTCGTTTGATGCTAATGTGTCTGGAATTATGTTAACAAATTTAAAAATAATTCATTTGATGACATCATCACCTATGTACAATGAAGTTTATCTGTAAATCCGGAAAGGAATTACATGCCATAAAACTAGAAAAACCGTAAGGAAAAGGCGAAAAGGGATATCCTCATTGCTCTTAAGGACTCTCTTATAATTTGGTTATAATTTTGTGACAGGCATATAAAAATACTACCAAATAAAATTTCATCTGGTCAATTAGACCATCCAATTTGACAAATCTTATTCAATTAGTCATCGAACAAACTCAAAGTAATGCCTGTTTGAACTGATGAAATCTGTGACCTTTAACTTGGTAACAAAATTTCATGTCTTTAAATAACAAAGTGACGAAATTGGATATTTTTAGAAACCTGAAGCTGACACAATTCTTCACATTAAAATGATGATTTTCATCACATTTGGCCACCTAAAGTGAAGAATTTCATCATTTTAAGCAGCCTAATGTGTCAAAGTTTACACCTCAAGCATAAAAAAATGACAGAATCCATAAGTTTCAATTGCAGAGGTTTGCACTCTTTTGCTTACACGACATGATGATAAATTTTGTGACTTCCAATTAATAGATGTGCAATCATAAGCAGATGCAGTGTGTCAAATTCAATATGCTAACAGAATTTATTTGTGTATAGTCATTTTCCATTAATTTTTTAATTATATTTTCAGTTTTTTCTTTTTTTCATCTTCTTTATCATCAATGAAAAATTATCAAGGGATAATAGAATGCAGCGGGTGCATTGCTAACTGCTGCTGCTGCTGCTATTATTATCTTTTTATATATATATAACGAAGGCCATACTTTGCATATAACATACGGTATGTATGATGCCATGTAATCATATAATTTTTTACGCTACTTTGAAATTAACTGTCAATATGAACTTTTAATGTTGGATGGCGGCTCAAAAAGAAAAAAAAGAATATATTTATTGAATTTCTATTTAAATATCTCAATTTCAATTTTAGATTTGTCAGCTTTTATTTTATTCTAATGTCAACATATGTTAAAAAAAAAAAAAAAGATAATATAATTGTTATTTTGTGCCACATGGAAAAAAAATGGATACAACATTTTTTGTGAGAAAACTACATATTTTATTCCTTATTTTTATTAAATTTCTATTTGAGTATTTTAATTTTAAGATTCTATCTAGCTATTTTAGTTTTTCAACTTTTTTCTTCTAATGTGATACTCTATATTGTAGAAGTTAGAAACCTGATGGCTTGGCTATTATTTTGTGTCACGTGAGGGGGAAAAAAAGTGGATTCATTTTGAAAAAAGGAAGCAAATCATTAAAATGAATAATTTTAAAAAAAATAATCATAAAACAAAACTAAAAATAAAATAAAATATTTATTAATATTAGAGTTGAAAGATCAATTTTTAAAGGCCAACGCCTTTTGTCTCTCTCTCCCTTCTTTGATTAAAATCTAAATGAACACCAATCCAGATTCATGATCATGAAAATAGAATTTATTTTGTTTTGAATGTTTAGTGGACTGTCCGTGATATTATTGGTGGTGCATGCTTAATCTACTACGTTAACTTAACCATGGTTATTGATGATGGTGTAGTTTCAATACTTCGGGTTTTTTTTTTTTTTTTTTTTTTATATACATTCATTTGAGAGCTTTTAAAATTTTTCTCTTATCTCCACCATCAATTAATATTTTATCTAATATTTTTGAAATTATTTTTAAACCTGAAATTTAATTTTTTTTTAATTTCTCTTAAAAAAAATCATTTTCCTGATTTAGTTGGTTTTCCATTTTTCTAGTTCCAATTCATCTTTTTTTCTAATGTTTGCCATGGTAGAGAGAAAACAGAAGCACAGAAACTCAAATAAATAGAATTGAAATTTAGGTATATATAATAAAAAGTTAGGTACCAAATATATTGTTTTTGAGATACTAATTAAATATGCCATTAGCCTATTAAGAGGATTCTATAAATAAATAAATAATTAATAAGACCGTCCCGGAACTTTGGATGTTTAATATTCAACAATCAGCTTTAGCCATCCAACCTCCTCTTCTTATAATTAAATACAAATGTATCAAGTATACTACATACCAATACATAGGTAAATATTCATAGGAATCCTTAATTAATTAATTTGAAATTAATAAAGGCAGTTTCCTTTGAAATCAAAGTAATATATACATATATTCTTCACTACTGATCATTTGCTTTCAATTGATTAGGTTTTCTCTTTGCTGTAACTCATTGCCTACTAGTCTCTTTACTGTCTTTTTCGAGAAATCAGAAACTCTCAGAGTCTCAACCAGGCACCAGCGACCATGCATGGAGAACATGATTCTTCCATCAAACCACCTGCGGGACATAGGTTCTGCCCCTCCGATGTTGAACTTGCTTGTTACTACCTCTACAGGAAGGTTATGGGAATTCCATTTCCTAACATGGTCAAAGATTGCAATCTTTATGGTGATCGCGAACCTTGGGAGATCTAGAAGGCTTTTGGAGGGTCCAACTTGTCTAATAAGGAGGATCTTTTCTTTTTTACTCGACTCAAAAACAGAAGTGCTAAAGATTCAAGGAGCAAACGCCGTGCTGGACGTAATGGGGGTACATGGAAAGGTGAGAAGAAGGGAAGCACATTCACTTCTGATAAGATGGACAAGGAAGAGATTAGGCAATCAGAATCCCAACTCAAAGAAGAATGATGGTTGCAGCTCGATTATGCATGAATACAGTCTGGATGAATCTTTGCTGCCGAACCCGAGCAACTATGTCCTGTCGAGCAACACCATCATCCAAGCATTTGAAGTTGGATCTAGCGCAGCCTCATCAGCTGATATGCAACTGTAACCAGCAAACTGAAGCAATTCTTCCAGCAGCTGATGGTATGTCAGAGTTCGCACAGATAAAGAGTCAAGATATATAAAGCAGGAGATTTTTGATAGCCTTTTGCTCGACTAGTTTTGATGATGCCTTGATCAAGATGACGGGATGGAACAGTGTCTTTTTGGTGGTTGAGGACAACACTCAGGCCTTCGAAACTTTGAGAATTTCAAGATTGGCACGAGATTTGTGCCCACATAACCACAATATACGCAGGATAAGAATGGAATACGTACGGCTTATTTTGGTTTTCACTGAACCACTGGAAGAAAAGATTCGAGGCTCCCCCCTCTTCCTTTAATATGTCAAGTTTATTGCTCAACGCTGCAGATTTGTAAGAGACCTTGCTATGCACTTTACCTTTTGCTTAAGCGTCTAAGTGAATGCCTCGTTGTATCTAAGGCCTCACCGATCGATAGTGTGCATCATTCTTATAAGCAAAATTCATGGGATATATTAATAGAATGAATATTTATTTGTCGTTTATTTGATTTTTGATGCTGTCGTTTCTTTCTTTGTTTTTTTCCCCTTCTTTTTTCTTTGGGAGGCGGTGATCTGCCCCGAACTTTGCTTCCTTCCATATTCCAGCTGCTTTCTCCTTCAATACATGTAAATAGGTTAATAACCAACACTTGAATAAAGAACAGCACGAACTCTCTCCGAGTTTTCCGGTCACCACCAATGCCAACTCCATTCTTGTTTCTTTGTGGATAATCATGACCCACCTCCAACATAATATTTAAGCATCAGTAATCATTGGCCGCCTCTTAATGGCTAAGGCTATGCCATTATGTACACGCAGCATATCACACAACACATCTCATTAGACATACCTCAAGTCAATATAAAACTTGAACTTGCAGTAAACATGAACTAAATCTGCTTGCTTGCAGTCAACCCCAGTCATTTAAGGTTGTTTCTCTTATGAAAGGGCTGTGATTAATGAAGTAATATAATATCATGGTAGCTAGCAAGCGGGGAAAAGAATTGATGCAGAGAAGACCATGTACAATAATATAAATTAAGAGTATTTCTTTAAACAGCTGGCCTATTGCATACGCTACAACACCATCCAATCCACCCTGATGAACCATTTATTAAGATGCAAATAAAGGACATCCTACGATATTAATTTCCCCGAAATGTAAAGCTTCAGTGTACTAGATTATTTTCTTTTAAACTGGAATAAGGGAAAGTCTGGGAGCTACCCAGTCAAGGAACTGGAATTCAATTAACGGCTTGGCTGTGAATTTACATATATGCAGTCACAGCTCCAATGACCTTATAAAATGCTTTCCTTCTTTCTTTCTTTCTTTTTACCCAAGTATCTCCATCCCACGTTAGAGATAGGACTAATCCTATTCAGAAACAAAGTGACAAGGTTTAACCACTCTCAACAAGTAAGGATTCAAACCTTGCATATTGGCATAAAGTTCAACTAGACAACAGCTCGTATCCTACTGGACCAATAATTTGTTGGCATAAAATGCTTTCTTTAAGAGTAAACCAAAAAAAAGTTTGCATTTTTTAAGGATTTTCGTGGTCAAAGAATTAAAGAAACCTTAGCCAATATCCAATACCGATTTCTGTGTTTGAATGGAACAGGCTCAACTACTGGCTCTAGACTCTAGTTACCAACATCAACTTTTCTTTTATTTTCTTTTCTTTTTTTTGGAAAAAAAAACCATCAAATATTGAAATAAGTAAAAGCCTGTTCAGGCCCCAGAAATTAAAGATATAGATTTCATCAACTTGTAATATAATAATTAATTATCCACCAAAAAGAGGTTTCCTCGAACAAGGAATCTGTTTTTGGTGAAGGTGGCTATCTGGGTCTATGGTTTGCCAAATTCACCACAAGACTCCAGCTACAAAACTTATCATTTCCCTCTCAGTCATTACTATTGTTGATGGCAACTATCAACCAATAAAAAACTGAAGTACCTTAGAATGAGATGGTGTTACAAGCAGGACACTTGCAGCAAAGACAAGCAAGAGACAGAAAAACAAGCGAAATCCAATTGCCATCTCTCTCTCTATGTCTTACTGATGTTGAAACTCGCGACCGCAAAACAGAGCATGCTTTCTAAACAAGATATATATGCTATTTCCTCTGGCAACGCTATGATGGTGAAAAATATTGACACAGTTCTATATCCTCATAATCTTTTACTTAAAAGCACAATCTAATCATACTAGAAAGTTCAAAATCATTTGTTATCCATGGTGACCCCCTCTAATGTTAACCAATTCAAAAACGGAGCAAATACCCTTATGCCAATGCAAGGCAAAACAAGACATGGAATCACCCGTTGACCATTTCATAGGTATATTAGTCAACTTGTCAATATGCCCTCATTTGATTGAAGCAAATTATAATCTGACAATTACAAAATCACCGTTCGTACAAGAAAAGATCATATGCATACATGAATTAGGGGTAAAAAAAAAACTACAAGGAGATTCAGAATTCAGCGACAAAATGCACAAATATTTACAGATTCACTTCATTCTGCCAAAGAAAAATCGTACCGTAAAACGGATTTGACAACAACTGATTGAAACACGAACTGATATTCTAAAAACTTGAAGAAACTCATACTTTAGGTGTCGAGACATTTACGGGTACTGCTTGAGCCAAGTAGGCGGCGGCCAAAAAAGCTTTGAACGGCTTGAAAACTTGGATAACCTCCTAGAAATACCATCCTCGAAATCAAAAATCCCAGCCTCAGACCCTGGGCTATCACTACCAGATCCCATGAACAAATAATCAAGAAAACAAATACATTTCCCCTTCCACCAAGCAAAATCTTTAGCCCAAACAAAGAACGAACAACCATCACCAAGAAACAATACAGCATCTTTCAATCCACCCACCTCAATCCAATCACACTCCTCTTCATTCATCTTGTAAATTTTAAATTTGATATGATAATCATCTTCATCATCCGAATCTAACCAATAAAAAAGGTCTTCATGGTACTTCTCAATTAAGAACAAATCCGAAAACCACATGACCAAGTACTTAAACTTATCACCATGTCCAAACCCAGACAGTGGCTTTGCTGAAGCAACTTCCATGATCTCCAACGAAGTTTTCGCTGGATCAATTCTAATGGTTAATCCATTAACACCAATAGCATAAAACTTCCCATTACGATAAGCAACACTATCATACACAGATCCTTCATGAATATCATTCACGTTAGTCCATTTCTTATCTCCCATTCTCCACAAAGCCAGTTTTCCACCATTATATATTACCATAGCAACAAAACCATCATCACCAAATTTATCAAAACTCGAAGAAACAGCAACTTGCTTGATAGAAATACACGACTTCATTTCATTAACAAAAATAGAAGGGAAAGGGGTATTACCTTGCTCAACAAACTCAACATAATACCCTCTGCTTATCTCCTTAACTCTGTAATCCAATAAGTTCAAAACTTTAGGCAAACGATTTGTACCAACAACAGGGTATCGAGCAAGTGGGTCTTTGAAAATAACATTCCCAGACTCTGACTCTTGAAGTTTAATAAGCCAAGTTCTTTTGGGCTCTTTGTTGATGGGTTCGAGAGAGTAAGTAATGGTCTCAATGAGTGCAAAGTAGCCAAGACGGTTAGGATTGAGGTTAGGATTATTGGGGTCAATTGGAAAAGGAAGTTTGAGAAGTGGGGGTTTGGGAGGGAGAGGGAGAGAGGAACGCCATGAGTTGCAAACAGCACGGAGACAAAGCAAATCAATGCGAGTGTTGAGGATGTTGGCGACATTGAACAAGAGATCGCTTGGAAGAGATGACCATTGGGATGGTGAGGTTGAATCCATAACTTAATTTGTTGCTTTTGAGAAAGAAGATTAGTGAACAGAAGAAGAGAGAAATGAAACACAACTGTCTGTATGTACGACGGAGGTTCAAAAAAATACTACAAGCTTCTTAGAAATGACTTATAGTTATTCGTGTAAATCTTCTTATCTTTTGTGCATTATAAAATTTCTCGTCACTTTATGAGCACCTTTTCGCCCACTTACTACTTGGTTTAAAGGCAATTTTTGCGCCATTTAATAATTTTGAATCCATAATACTAAAACATATAATTTTAAATTTTAAAATATTAAATATCGAATAAATATAATTTAAATCATCTAATTTTTATTATATATAATATTAATCTAATTGATTGTTATTTAAAATTTTAAAACGACATTATTTTAACATTTCGCAGTTGATTATGTTTTATAAAAAATATTTTTAAATTCCTAATCTTAAATTTTTTTATAAATTTTTTTCTTATAAAATATTATTATATTTTATAAATTATATAAAAAATATTTTATAAATATATTTAACTCTTTTAATTTTGAAAATTTTTATTTTTTTATAAAATGTTTTTATATAATTTATAAAATTAAGAGGATCAATTCTTAATTATATTTATTTTAATTTATAAAATATTTTTAAAATTTGAAATTATATATTGTTAATTATGTTTTTTTTCAATAATATTTTATAAAAAAAATTAAGTCGTTTAGTTTGATATGTTAGTCATGTAACCAGTACTAAACTCCAATATGAACTGTAACTTAATGAAAAAACTAATGTTTTTCATTAGATTTTTCAAAAAAAATATTTGCTCTGAATCAATTAAATTAAGACAATTATACCTTGATCAATGGGCCAAGCGCTCTGACATCTTTTACCCGTAACTTTATGCTAAAAATTATAAAATATAACACAAATAATTATACTAAAACATATATAATATAACACAAATAAGATTAGCTAATTACGTAACGAGGGAGGACCACTCCCTACTGCGTACCTAAAAGTCCATGGACCTCTAATATATATATATATATATATAAGAAATAATAAATTATATACCAAAATAAAAATTTCAATGTAAAGTGACAATCTATTTAGACAGAAATAAACTTTATCCTTTCGTTGCAATTTAAATTAATAAAAAATAAAAAATATAGTGACAAAACAAAACTAAAATTTCATTATTGCAACAAGATCCTCCCATATAATAAACCAATCTGATGTTTTAAAACATATTTTTATTTGATAAAAAATAAATATGAAACCTATTAAAAAAATAAGTGGTTATTAATCTTCAATCCGTACGCCATGAGGATTTAATTTTCTAGTAAGAGTTAGTTTCATAGTTAACATAGGACTTATTATTAAATTTTTTAAAATAATTTTCTAATTAATATTAGACTTGTTATTGGTTAGTTGAACTTTAAAGTTTCTATAAATATAAAAGCTTCTTATTGTTTTAGGTGTATTTAGTAAAAATAATAATAATAGTAAAATAAAATAAATAAAATAAAAATACTAGCTAGCGTCATGTGTGTACTAAGTTACAATCAATTAGTTTTAAATATGAATTTTAAACAAATTAGTGTATTTAGTAAAGCATACACTAATTTCTCTTTGAATCTGTAAAACAAAGCATTGTGTGTAGGTATTTCAAAATTTTATTTTATTTTTACATTTTTTAAATAAGAATTAAATAGAAAGTGATAAAGAAAATGTATTATCATTAAAAAAAAAAAAAAAAAAAACAATAGAAAACGCATAGGTTCCAATCGACCGTTGTTCATGAAGATTCGGTTTCTATAAATGGAAGATTGTCGTCTATTGACAAAATATAGAAATCATTAAAAAAAAAAAAATAGTTAGACAAGGGTTTGCCAACAGAGCACGGGTTCGTTAATTGGACATCGGTTGGCACTGTCGTGTTTGGTCAAACGAAGGAGACCAAAAAAAAAAAAAAAATGAGAGGATGCGAAATTAGTCCCTCAACTATGAACTAATTATCAATGCAATTCTCAAACATAAATGTTTTTACTCGAATCCCCAAAGGATCATACATTTCTCAATTGGTTCTTGGATAGAAATATTTTCATGATTTTTAATGGAAAATGCCTGATTCTCCCGAGAAAAATATTTTATTGGATATACAAACAATTGAGGTGGAAAATATTACCGGACATGGATGGATGATCAATGGAAGAATGCATTTATATAACAGATGAGGGACTGATTTAATATTTTCCCATAAAAAGGAGAAGAAGAAGCTGACACAGCAAGGCATATGGCTCATTACAGCTCTACTTACAAATCTAACAGCTGCTATTGAAAATTAAGTCTATTTATGAAAAATGAATGTTTGCATGAGTTTTCATTCCGTTTATTCTTCATGACAGTTAATTCATGAAACTGTACCATCCTTAAAGCGCAAGGCTCATTGACCTCTCTCTCTCTCTCTCTCTCCATATATTTTTTAAAGAGTAATTGACCTCTATAAATATGTAGAAGAAGGCAAAAACCAGAAAAAGAAATTAAGACAAAACAATAGTTAGTTTCAAAAAATGGTCACACTCGTTGCTCCGAAGGACTTTTCTCCTGTTGAAGATGCAGAAACAATCAAGAAGGCTTGTCTCGGTTTGATTCGTCCTCCTGATTTTCTTCTTCTTCTTCTTTAATTCTTTTCTTATATAAATTAAAAATGTGATTTAGTATCATTAATTGTGTATTATGAATATCCAAGTTACAAATGAAATTGAATAATATACATATATATATATATATATATATATATATATATATATATATTATTACAAATCAACATGTTGGTTAATTTTACATCCATGTGTGATCTGATTGGATGTAAATCATAATTCTCAGTGTAATTATGTTTCAGGGTGGGGAACGGATGAGAAAGCCCTAATATCAGTACTGGGGAATCGAAATTCGTTTCAGAGGAAACTTATAAGCCTAGCTTATCAAGAGATATACCATGAGGATCTAATCCATCAACTTAAATCTGAGCTTTCTGGAGACTTTGAGGTTTATTATACACATTTAATTACTTGCATGAATTTCTATTTATTACACATATATGTATGATCATGCATTTTCTTGATGATTAAAATTTTTGTTGGACATTAAAATAGAGAGCAATATGCCACTGGACTTTGGAACCAGCTGATAGAGATGCTGTCCTTGTCAATGCGGCTTTGAAAAAGGCAAAACCTGATTACAGAGTAATTGTTGAAACTGCATGCGTTGCATCACCAGAAAATCTCTTGGCAGTGAAGCGTGCCTACCGGTTTCGTTACAAGCATTCCCTCGAAGAAGATGTGGCCTTTCACACCAAGGGTGACATTCGAAAAGTATAATAGATATAGACTTTTATACGGCATGTTTTTTTCTTTTTCTTAATTATCGGCATGCCCTAATAAGAAATACCACTTTAAAGTTGCAGTTATATTTGAAATGAACCACTAAAATGAATGATTTTTGAAGTAGATCAGAAAGACTATAGTTTGAAAATTTGAAGGGAAAAAAACAGAGAATTAAAGCATTAATTTTGATAGAAAAGACAAAGAGTGCTACAATTATGCATAGAACTAATCGGGGCTTAACAATGTTTTGGTTAATTAATGGATCGCCACGCAGGTCTTGGTTGCTCTTGTAAGTGCTTATAGATATGATGGCCATGAAATTGACGAAGATGTGGCGATTTCTGAAGCTGGTCTTCTTCATGATGATATATACGGGAAGGCTTTTAGCCATGAGGAATTGATTAGGGTATTGACTACAAGAAGCAAGGCACAACTTAATGCAACTTTCAACCGGTACCAAGACATCCATGGAAAATCCATTACCAAGGTACGTATAAAGATCAAATCTCTCACAGGACGTAAAAATTAACATTTAGCATAACCTTTTTTCGTTATCTGTTGAGATTAAAAAAAAAAAATCCTTTACAAGGAGACTCATTAATTATTGTTAAAACTCATTCCAGTTCATTTGAATTCTGCTGCTATTTTGGTTATTAGGGATTGCTGGGTGACCCAGTTGATGAATATCTAAGTGCCTTGCGAACTGCAATACGATGCATTCGAGATCCAAAAAAATACTTTGTTAAGGTATATATGACTTTCTAAAAATCATAAAAAGTAAATTATGCTTATAATTAATTTCATCTTGTATACAATATATATTTAATATTGCACTGGCTATAAGATATTTGACATATATGGTTTAATATTTGTGCATAGGTTTTGCGCACGGCCATCAATAAAGAGGATACTGATGAGGATGCTCTTAGTCGTGTGATCATCACCCGTGCAGAAAAAGATTTGAAGGAGATCAAGGAGCTTTACCTGAAGAGAAACAATATCTCTCTCAATCAAGCAGTAGCAGGAGAGACACATGGAGACTACAAGGAATTTCTTCTGACCTTATTAGGGAAGGAAAAGAATCAAGCTCTTAATTAACTATATATATCCAATATGTCTCTTGCTGCTGTGATCGACGCGTTGTATTGCATTTGAATTTGGTGTCATCATCATCTAATCAAGCTTCAAATCGGGATAAGAAGTACGCCAAAATTCGAGAAAAATAATAAAATGTCTATTCTAGCTACAATTTTATCGGAATCAAAGAAAGCTATGGTGTTTTGATTACAAATAATAGGCTTGAAATGAATAAAAATTCAGATCGGATCAAAATTTTATAAATTAGAAATACAAATACAATATTAATAACAGCTCGTTATTTAATTTTTTACATGCCTTTATAGGATTTTTTTAAAAAAAATTAATTTGAAACTTGAAAAAGGATGAAAGAAAAATTATAATGTATAATTGTTTGAAAGAATAACCGTTAATGTAAAGAAAAAAACAAAAATATAGAATATTTCTTAACATTTAGAATAAATAGACCCTAAATCTAAATTTAGTGTCATGTTTTTTTTTCCTTCTTATTTCATATATTTTTATTTTTAAAATATTATATTATTAGAAATAATATTAATTTCGAATTAGATTATTATTGGACTGATGGAAGTAGATTTGTATTTCATCTACTTAACAAATAAGTTAACGAATTCAAATAATAATTGAATTCATATTATAAAAATTATATATCAAATCTATTTAATTATAATAGAATGGAATAAGATTGAGCAAGATTCAATCCATTAACAACTCTAATTGAGCTAAACATAAATAATTATATAAAAATGAAGCATAGAGTTTGATTATTATTATTTTTTGACAAAAAAAATATTGAATTTGAAACATATTAGAAAAAGAGAGACATGCATGGACGCTTTAGTTGAGCTACAAAGTCATTAGCTTTAAATTTAGATATTCAAAATGGGCCTTTAAGTTACCATCAATGTAACTTTAATTTGTTAAATTTGGTTTTGTTGGATAATACTTAACAATTTTTAGATTTTAAATTTTATTTCTTTAATTTTGATTTTTTTTTATTAATACAGAAAGTTGGGTATATGTGGAATTCTTAGTCGACAATTTCTCGAATTAGGTTAATATTGCAATACATCTAGTTCTTGAACAAACCAATATAAACCTAATATCACTAAGAGATATTATGACTAGTAATCCGTAAGTAATGGAAATTGAATCTTCGACCATATTGATAAGAACCATAGATAAGCTGATAATCCGAACCATGGTGGAGCTACTGATCCATTGAGCATACAAGAGCTAGAGCCGAGATGATAAAAGAAGTTTTGAATGGGCTGATTGAAGAAATATGGGCTACACAAGTTTCAAATGGGTGGGCCAACATTAAAACAGGCTTGGAGAGGAGTCTTAAGTTGTATGAACCTCATCCAAACATATGAAGAGACTGGTTGATCTTTCTAGGCTGGAATTATCAGTCTTTTGGCAGAAATTATGCTTGCATTCAAGACCAAAATAATGATTTATGAACATTGAGGCCAGATTAATGTTTGTTGAATTTTATGCCAATTTTTTTGGATTCTAAACCATATTTATGTCATTTTGATGGATTCTTGACCATAATTATATTTGTAGAATTTTAGACATTTTGGTCATTTAGTTTTTTTAATTTGTCATTTCAACCTATAAATAGGCTTATGGGTTGAATTTTGGGGGATATACATTTTTTTTGTGATATTTTAAGTGAAAATTCTTCTCCTTTGGTTCTTTCAAGAACTATTGAACTTATTAAGAATAATCTTCTTGTGGTGTTCTTTAACTTATCACTCTCACTCTCAATTTTTATTTATTTATTTTTTTTTTTTTGAAGTGTGGCATCTACAATCTTTCTGAATACTTTTGGTTTTGCTTCTTTAAGCTTAGAGCCAAGGTTATTTATAAATCTAAGTAATTTGATTTGGCTTTCCTTAAATTCTACAATCTTTCTATTTGTGGATTCTTTAGCTTCATCTAACGGGGTTCATATCAATTTGTATAAAAGTTGAGGATTTAAATCAGGTTGGATTATCAACATGAATAGTTTTATTTCTTATTCTTTCTATTTGTTATTATTTCTGCCATTTTTGATTTCTATCATTATTGTCTCTTTGTTTTTATCCAATATTTTTCTTAGTTACTGAAATAGTATCATATCATAAAAATAAAAATAAAAAATCATAGAAAAAAAAAAGAAGAATCAAATACATTAAATTTCAGGCCAAAAACATCAATTATTAGGTTCTAAGGTGATTGTGATTAGTTTTTTCTTATTTAAACACATCTTTGTGATGATTAGTATCGAATATATTTAAAAGTGTGTTAGTTGAGTTATTCAAATAATTTTATCTAATTACTGGCAAATTCGCCTCGAAAATATTAGTGGTGATACTTGGATCAATTTGTCGCATTTTATTATCTATTATTCTTGATTGGTTTGTTTAGTTAAAAAAAGAACTAAAATATGTAAAAGGCAAGAGTGTGAGTTCATGCTGAGGAAAAAAAAAGTAAACATGAGAGTTGAGTGACATTGAATCAAGAGGGCGTGTTTGTGAGGCATTACTAACATTTTTGTGCAGACTACCATCATGACATCATAGAAAAAAATTGCATGTACAACGGGTGGCCAGGAAGGGACAATCTTGCTTCAAGCCATGAGACAAGAGTTTGAACGCATAAATAGGGTGTCGGGCTCAATGGGGATAGGATGGGGAGGCAAGAGAGTGCCATACCTGAATTGTGAAGGGAACCAGACCGCGACTTTCCTAATGCAAAACACATAAAAGAAAGATTTTTTAATTTCGATCTAACCAACAAAACAAAACGCAATTTTTAAATTTTAAATTTTAAAGATTTGAACACATAAAAGAAAGAACAAGCTTTAATTCCTTCAATTTGAACTCAGAGACCGCATCTGATTGAGACTTTTCTTCATCTCTGATGCCCTTTGCTCATGAATGCTTTTTTCACGGTTCTTGTTCAAATAAGGTACCTGCATTTTTGTCTTTTCTTGCCTTTGAGGGGAATCCATGCGGTCTGACTTCCTTCTTTTTGTGGGTCTGCTTTGCCTTTCTTTTCTCTTAATTTTTGCGAAATCCATGACTTTTTACTGTTAAGAAACAAACCCAATACCTTATTAGGCTCTAATTCGTCAATCAATGTTGCCGCAGCTAACGCATTCGTCGCATAACTCCTTATTGGGCTCTCGTGACTCTTTTGCAAAATGTGCACTTTAAAAACTCTCCACAATCTGTCATTAATGCTGCAAGAGTGGAAAATGTAACAAGTGCATGTACAACCAGACCAAATTTGCAGGATAATTGGGGTTGGGATCACAGAGCAACGAGCGAACCACGTGCATGCACAACCTAGCTCAATGAACAGAAGTGATTTGTGCAGTAAAATTACTCGAGACATCATATTGGAAAGCTATATTATTGTTGAAGGCCAATATCTGATAGAGATTAGGAATTCTACAATACTCGTATTTTAATTTCACATTCAATTCAAAAGTCCATTTGATTAATTCAGGACATTAAAAACATAAAACAAGATACAAAAGAACTTGAGAGAATTTTAGCAGTTTTAAAAATAAACAATGAAAATGATAAAATTTGGTTGAAAAAAATACTAAACTCATTTAAAATTTCCCAAAAAAGAAAAAATGTAAGTAGAATCGAGACCAATCTCTAGATAGAGATTAGGAAAGAGAGGGAGGGAGGAGGCCGAAGGATCATGTTTGCCTTTTGTCAGACATCAAAAAGAACAAACACTAAGAACCAATGGCTGCAACAATTATCTCCTTAAAGTTACTCTACCAAAGATTACAAATTAAGTCCTTTTCTATCTAATTTTCTAATCTGAAAAAAATAATAATAATAATCGCGGGGGAGACTAAAATATGTAGAGTAAAAATAATAATAATAATAATAATAATAATATATAGATATATATAGAGAGAGAGGGGAGACTAAAATGCTTTATTTATTTATTTAATAATTCAAGAAATTGAAGCTTGTTCCTTCTTTTGTGCATTCAAATCTTTAAAATAAGAAAAATAAGGAGAAAACGAAGAGTGAACTTCGTTTTGCTGGTTAGATCGAGATGGAGGAGAGAAAAAATGCTTTTTGTGTTTTTAGATCTATTTTTTCTTTTAATTTCATTTCAGCTAAATTTTTTTGTTTATCTTTTTTTTTTTCAACACAACAATTTAAATTGACCGGTCAGTACACGTGTTTTTTCCTTAAATGTCACGTTTGCTCGAAGAATTAACTAAAAAACTGACTAAAAAACTATAGAAAATGCGACGTTGAGAAAATTTAGAAAGTAAAGAGACGCGATAAAAAAAAATTAGATGAGCTACTTTAAAAAAATATGTAGAGTAAAGAGACTAATCATGAGATTAATCCAAAATAATAATAAGTTAAGTAGTTAACATTTTTATCATGCACTAAATCATGTCCATCTAATTTGAATTCCATAAATTTGATTTTAGAAATATAACGGTCATTGTTTCTAAAAGAACACAAGAGGGTCTACATTCATGGTTTTGCAGCAGCTTGAGACAAAGATTTTAAATTTGGATCCTCTCATGTTTTTAAAAGAGCACTATCTGTCACGTTTCAAATCTCACAATTGATTTTAGATTCAATAATCTGAATTAGGTGAGAAATAAAATAATAAGGTATTGAGTTATTTTTATTTTTATCATGCATTAAATTATGATCATTCAATTTAAATTCAATAAGTTAAATTTAATAAATATGACAGTCATGTTTATTTTATAAATATGAGAAAATTCGAATCTAGGGTTTCTAGGTGGCTTGGTTCTTTCTAACTTTATGTTTTTAACTACGGACTATATATTTAGCATTTTTGTTTTCGTGTTCTCAAATTTAGTTTGTTTTAATTTTCTCAATACATGGTCTTAACATTATTCCGCTTCTTAATGCGATATTCACGAATTTTTTATCAAGAAAAAAATAACCTTTTAATGGTGATTTTGGGATTGATGAATATTGTAGGGATTTTGGCCTTTTGGGGATAACAATATTATTTAGGAAAAGAATGAGTTTCGTTGTCGATTAACCTACAAGAAATAGTTTCCTAAGGTGATTTTTTTTCTTTCTTTTTCTAATTAGTATGTTATATTTATCAGTTATTTTAAATATGTGTCAACCTTTCTTCTTTGCATCCTTCCATGCACCCACTTTCTTCTTCTTTTCATCTACTACTAAGAGGGTCAAGGTTTTTCTTTTTGGTCGCTACAGTCTGACTTTCCTTTCCTTCTAGATGTGGCTTGTGAAGTGTTATTTCATATTTTGATTTACATAATCTGTTTTTCTATCTCTAAATCTCAATTGATATTGAATCTTTTTATGATTTGACCAATGTTTCATAATTCCTCACAGAAGAGGTTAATTCATTTCATGCATAGCACAGCATATCAGGATCTTAATTAATTCTCAACAATAACGTTTGATCACAGTGACGAACGTGAACCGATGCTAAAGCTACTGAACATGGCACAGCAACTTGAAATTAAGAATTAAGAAAGATGGCAATTAATTAAGGAAACAGAACCTTTACTGCCACCCCAATTCTTGTTATCTGGATAAGATCGAGTACAAATCAGCTCCCTTGCAATACAAAACGGGAGCCTGTGTTATTTATTCAAAATATATTTAGGTTAGTATCCAAAATGCTGAATAAAGAAAACATCATGGAATCTTTCAGCCTTTACGGCCACCACCATTGCCACCCCAATTCTTGTTTCTTTGTGAAGGGTCGTGCCCACGGTTTGCTATTGGGTCACCATAATCGTTCAGTGTCATCTTCAAGGACCTCCCCTTTACAGCTAAGGCCACCTCATTATCTGCATGTATATATAATAACACATTTATTAATTAATCGAACACCTTAAGTCAAAATTAGACTCATAGTTTAAATTCACTAAAAGCAAATCCTCTTCATTTCTCAGACTAGTATTATTTACATAAATTATATCAACTTCATATCATAATTATTACTTTTATTCCGAGCGTTTCATTGACAATTAGGATTATTTACATATTAAATACATTAAGGCTGTCCCGTGTCCTCAATTTGGTGTGTTATGAAACAACCAAGGATATTGTCTCTTACGAAAGTGCAGTGATTAGGGAAGTAATATAATGGTAAATTGGTAATAGCTGGTAAGCAGGGACAAGTATCGATGCACAGCAGACCAAGTACACAGAATCTAGCTGGCCTATTGCACACACTACAATGATATCAACCTTATTAACCATAGATTAAGACGTAAGCAACGGGAATCCCCATGATCTTAATTTCCTAGAATCTGGGTTGTGATTAACTTCTCTCAACTTGAGCACAGGGAAAGTCTTGGAGCTTCTCTGCATTCTAAGGAAATGGATTTCAATCATGACTCTGAATTGTGTACGCACATAAATACATGCATCATTACAATTACATTACAAGTTGCAGCAACAACAGAAAAGCTTGCAATCTTTAAGGACTTCCATAGCTTAGGAATAAAGAAACTTTAGCTAGCCAAATGGCCCATATATATCTTGATGTTGCTATTTCCGATCAACCAATCTAGACGACGGCCAAATATCTAAGATATCCGGTAAAGCGGTGACAGATTCTGTCATGGTCAAAAAAGTTTGGGCCAGATGTCAAACATACGGTCCATCCAAAGAATAAATACGCTTTGATTTCAACCAAAAGAAAGGTACGATGACCTGTATTATACTCCATGACCAATAAAACAGAAGACAACATACCTGAGAATGAAATGGTATTACGAGCAGAAGATGTTACAGCAAAGACAAGCAAGAGGCACAAACACAAGCGAACTCCAAATGTCATCTTTCTCTCTCGATTATTGATGTTGAAACTCGTGACTGCAAAATTGCAAGCAGACAATGCTCTCTATTTATAGACCAATGAATTTTGCGGAAATGCCACGTGGCAAATAATGATTGCAAGGCGAGAGTTGACGTTTTACAAATCGTGGATACCACTTTTGATATCTGTTGCGGATGCATCTGGGCCGCTCAGCTTTTGGTCAATAGGGTTGCTGTCGCTTCCTTTACCAGAAAAGGCAGAGGGCTTTTGCTTTTTCTACCAATAGAAATTTTATTCTACTCATATTTGTAATTCTGACTTTATAAAGCATTAGCCATTTAACAAAATATTAGACTTTAAATAATAGATAAAAATAAAAATAAAAATAAGACTGTGCAAATAAACAGATTATATGAAAAAATATATATATTATACAATAAACAGAGAGGAGTAATATTAAATGTAAGAATTAAGACTGTGCAAATAAACAGATTATATATATATATATATAATAAACAGAGAGGAGTAATATTAAATGTAGGAATTCTAAATAATATCGTTTCCCACGATTATTTATAAGAACTTTTTGTATTTTACATTAAACTTTTTATAAAAAATTGGCTTCGAAATCAATTGAGATGGCACTAAACTCAAGATTCCTTATTTAAATATTGAGTTTGAAAAAAAGTAGAATTCTTATGAATTTTCTGATTTCATAATATGTGGTTTTTTCAATTGAATCCAAAAAATATACTTACTCTTGATATATAAATAATAAACTATCATGAATATTAAAATTCATTAAAATTATGTAGTACGTTTGTTTCAAACTTTGGAGGTAAGCCGAAAGTATTTTTTTTAAAATACTCAATTAATTTTGTTACAATTTACAAAAAGCAAAAAAAATAGTATAATTTAACGATTGTGTATCTGAGTAATTTTTTTTAACAAAACATATTTGAATTTCAATCATTTCAATTTATTTAATTATTATATAATGGAGAAGGAATAAATTTATTATATAGTCTAAAGCCTTCACAATTCTCTTAATAAACTATATTGGAGTTTCCGTAAGTCTGTTTTAAAGTCAAAGGTTTGACTTTCATTGGTATTAATGTGACTTATGAGAAAGAATCTCAAACATGCAACATATGATGGTATATAAATTTTTAATAATTTTTTAATTAAGTATATAAATTTTAATATTTTTTTTAGTATATTAATATTTTCAAAATTATCAACTAAATATTTGTTATCCTTTCATATTGCTATTAACAGGGACTTGACTATGGAGTACAACTTGGTTCTCAGGCAAAAAGAAATTATGTGGTTTCAGAAAGGTCGGGTCCAATGGTTATAATTAGGTGGCAAGGCTATTTGTTTCATTCATGCTACCATTATTTGCAGAAGGAAACGTGACAGAATTGAGAAGTTGAAGCTGGATTTTGGGGAATGGATGTTGGATGCTGATAGAATTCAAGCGGTAGTCACCGGTCATTTTAAAGGTATCGTTTGCACTACCAAGAACGAGATGTGCCACCTCTTCCTAAGGTCTCTCAGGATGATTGCCACTCTCTTCTTCAGCCAGTTACTAAGGAGAAGGCTCTTAATTAGTCTATGAAACCATACAAGAGCCCGAGACCAGATAGTTCGCAACCCATTTTTTTCTAAACCTTTTGGCATGTGGTGAGTGATACTGTTCGTGAGAGGGTTAATGTTGCTTTCCGGACAGGTATCTTCCCCTCGGAGTCAGTTGAAACTCTTATTATTCTTATTCCTAAGGAGAATAGTCCGACTACAGCGACTCATTTCAGACCTATTAATTAGTTTGTGTAATTTGGCTCTTAAAATCTTGACGAAGGTTATTGTTAATCGTACTTGCCCTCTTTTTGATAACTTGATTAATCCGCTTCAAGTTAGCTTTATCCCAGGTCGGCTTAAAGCGAATAATATACTTGTTGCTCAAGAAGTTCTTCACTCTATTCGAAAGAACAAGGGTAGGAAGAGAGGAATGGCTTTAAAGGTTGATCTTGCCAAGGCCTGTGATCGGATTGATTGGAGTTATCTTAAAGCCACAAGTAGAGTTTGGGTTCCCTGATGTTTACGTACGTTACTTTAGTTATAAATTGTGTGACTTAGTCCTTTCTGTCTATTGTCTGGAATAGGCAGAAGCTGGAACCTGGAAGCTTTTTCTCTGCAGTAGGGGATTAGACAAGAGGATCCGTTGTCACCTTATCTCTTTGTTCTTTGCATGAAGAAGGTTTTTTTTATACTCAAGAGGAGAATTGCTTGAGGGGAATGGGAGCCAGTTGAGGTTCATTCTAATGGGTCGAAGATATATCTCATTTACTTTTCGCAGATGTCGTTTTGTTCTTTGTGAAGGCATCGGTAGCTAATACTCAAGCTATTGACTTTACTCTACAAAAGTTTTGTGTGATGTCAGGAATGGAGGTCATCGTAGCTAAGTCCAAAAAAGTTACAGTTAGTCCCTCCATTAATGGCACGCGTAGAGACCAGTTAAGCAGAATTTTGAATATGAAGTTTTCTCATGATAAAAGTTAAGTATCTTGGAGTCCCTCTTTGTACTCTGAGAGTTACGAAGGCTGCTTAGTATCATTGATAAGGTTAAAAATCGATTGTCTGGCTGGAAAGGAAAACTTCTGAATAAAGTTTGAAGAGCCATTTTAATACAAAATACTATCACCATTATCCTTCTTTATGTCATGCAGACCACCTTGTTACCTAGAACAGTTTGTGATGAAATCGATAAATTAGCTAGACAGTTTCTATGGGGGACTACAGGTGGTAGGCGTGGAGCGCACCTTGTCATCTGGGATACCATGGTAGGTTAGGCATCAAGCAAGCTCGAGATTGCAATACCCCTATGATTGGAAAGCTGGTTTGGAGTTTATTACATGAACCTCATAAACCATGGATTCGAATTATGAAGTCTAAATATTTGCAGGATTGTGACTAGTTTGAGCATACTGTCCCTATGCTTTTCTTCTCCTAACTGGAAGGGCATTTGTAAAGGCAGGCATTTTCTCAAGGATGGATGTATCGGGGATGGTTCTGTTATATCATTCAGCTGCTTTGATAATTAGTGCGAAGGGGTCTTATTTCTTTTAGTGTTGGCGGGACCCCGGAGCAAGATAAGTCTTTTGAAAGTTAGTGATGTTATTTCTATTTCAGGAGAATGGAATCTGGACTTGCTTAAACGTTTGGTTCTCGCTTTTGTGATTTAACAGGGTTCACGCTATTCATTCAAGTGGCAGCCCGAATACCAGTAATACTTGCATATGGGTAGAAGTTCTGATGGTAAATAATAAATATATTGTTAAGTGATGAGTCCGGATGACTCGTGTCATTCGGAATGCTCCAGGCACATTACATCCGAAAACAGAAAATACGATCCCTTTAAGGACTGGCCGGGCAACTTATAACGAAAGACAATTCTCCCTTTAACACTAGACCCCTGCCTGGCAAAGAAGGATACGTTTCAACAACTACCAAGAACAGAAAAAACAGACATTCAATGAAGACGCCCTTTCGAGATTATTTTTGTCCAATCCGCCTTAATTACGACAATGTTAGAGAGCAAATCACATCAAGGATATAAGCTGGCATTTAAGACTGTCAATAGTTAAGAAATTAGCAATTCTACGCTCTTCACCATACAATTGACTGAAAGGTTCTAGTTGCTAACGCTGCACTACTACAGTATTCATTATCTCTCCCACTCACACAACTGAAAGTCTAATCAGGTCACTTTTCTTTTCAATCGCTAACTTTAGAGAGGGTCCTCAACCCGCTAGGGAGAATTATTTTGCAGGTGGCATACGCTTAAAGGATCATCAAAAACGATCTTCATCGCCCATTATTAGCCATCAAGAGCCACGTGGTCTTTAATTACTGTTAGAATTTTTAGCATTCACCTCTTTTACAACATAATTAGAAACATTATCGTCAATGTATTGACTAATAAAACAACAAATTTATTTATTCTCAAACTTCCAATCCTCATCTATTTTTGTCTTAGGTTTATTCGAAATAAATATAGATAGATGTCAAATCTTTACATGTAAGAGATCTTTCATTTTTCTCTTTCACATGTGATAATTGATTCCATTCGGGCTTATCATTTTAATATTACTATCCATATTGTTTAATCTAAAAATAAGCAACCAAGCTCGATATCATTTATTGAGCAAAAAAACACAAATAACACAATGGAAACTATTTGCCTTTGTTTAAACAAATAAACACAGAGCTATAACTAAATACCCAAGCCAAAACAAGTAACTAATAATTTGAAATATAAAATGTCAATCATACTAGGAACACACAAGTTTTTACATGGAAAACCTCCTAAATTTGAGAAGAGAAAAACCACAAGATCGGAGTCTACAATAACTTCCACTATCAACAATAATAGGCAATACAAGGAGTCATCTCTAGATTAAATTAGAGGAATACATCAGCTACAAACATCAAAGGTTACATATGCTTGGGAAATCACATCAATAGATAATACACAAAGAAAGGAAAAGAAACCAATTTCAGATTTCACAAAAAAAAACACTATTGCGAGTATTATATCTCACTCTTCAGGTCTCTAAACCAAATCTTCACCTTTCGGAATGTGCTTCTATCTCTTCTGAATGTACCCATCAAATTTGAGTTTGATTCAACGGTTAACGAATCCAAAAACTTAATTTATGCGTGACTAGTCTCGTGCTGAAATTTTCTTTCCTTTTTTTTTTTTCCTCCTTTTTAACTTTTTTACTAATCTGATTTCAGAATAAAAGAGAGAGAGAGTTTATTTTGAAAATACTAAAATTACTATTTAATTACTATTTAAGTGATTAAAAAGTCCTCTAGTACATGGTTAAGATTTGGACTCATGGAGGCAAATCTTTGAGCCATCCCCCAACTAGAGGGAAACCCAACACTCATCACTGACGATGGCTTCTCTTATCTAATGGAAGCTGGTCCGATCGTGAGGATGGATAATTGGTGCTGGATTTGGACGAGTGCGGTTGAATAGAAGCATAAATTCTTCATTTGGCAAGCAGCTTGGAAGAGGCTACTTACTAATGACGTTCCTTATGATCGTGGCATGGCCCCTCCCTCTTTGTGTGCTAGATGTAGTAGTAAACCCGAAACTATTCTTCACACGCCAAGTGACTGAGAGAAAGTTCTAGCAGTCATCCTTCTTTGAAGATGATTTGTGCACCGAGCTCTCTTCTAATTGCTTGCGCAGTGATATGGAGTGTTTGTTTTTCATATGCATCTGTTGGTGTATTTGGAAAAATCGAAACGCAGAGGTTATTAGTGGGGGGCTATGAATTCTCATGTGTTATTCCAACAGATCCCTTTTTTGGTGGATGATTACAAAAATGATGCTTTTGGGAGTGGTTTTTGGAAGCTGAATGTTGACGGCAGCTCTTTAGGGTGTCCTCGTAAATCAAGTAGCGGTGGCGTCCTTCATGCCTCGTCTGGTAGATGAATTTTTGGTTTCTCTGCTTATATTGTCCATACTACTAATATGGTTGCTGAGTTGTGGAGCATCTGGAAAGGTATATCTTTAGATATCGATAAAGGGTATACTCGGCTAGAAATTGAAGTTGATTTCATAGAAGCTTTAAGGATTATTGACAATGATCCTCCTTGCTGCCATCCTCAAGCCTCTCTTATTTAGAAAATTAGAATGCTTATTTCAGGAGGTGGGCATGTTAAATTCATTCATTCTCTGTGAAGGCAATCAGTGTGCCGATTTTTAGCTCGGTTGGGGTCTTCTTAGTCTACTCCTCTACACAACTAGACTGAGCCACCTCTAGGAGTGAAGAATCTCCTTTCAACTGATCGAATGGGTGTTGTTTTTGTTCGTAGCTAGTTCTTTTTGCTTATTCTTTTGTACCAAAAAAATAAAATAAAAAACCGATTCATTTAAATAACTCGTATGTTTCTTTTTTCTTCCCAATTAGTTGAGAGTTATCCTTTGATAGCAATTAGCGAATTTAGATTAAACAATTTTCTTTCCCAACAGTTAATTCACTAGTATAAAAATAGAAATCGAGTTTTAAAAGGAAAAAAAATTAAAGAAAATTAAATATTAATGATGTATATCATAAAATAAGAGTACAATCCAAAACTTTAAAACAAGATGGGAAAATATACCACACAGCAAGATTGGTGCAGTACTGGAGCTTTAGTCGTATGCAACCACATGGAGCCAATTACATCAATCAAACATAAAATTTTATCCGAAATCATATGCTTAGGGAAAATATTCATGTGACGATGAGATTGTGTGTTGGTGGAAACTTGCAAAGAGTGTTCAACAAAGTGCTACAATTTTTTGCACAAAAAAGATTAGCATAGAGTAGTGTTCTTGTACAAATGTATGCTAAGACTAAACTAGCCAATAAAATACCATCACAGTTAAAACCAAAAGGAAAACAGAGGTAAGGAATTTCTTGTCCGCAAAAAGACTTTCACATTTATAGTCATCAAGACTCGGACCATTTGTGTAAATCTTCAAATCTCTCTATTTCATGCCCAAACATGACACTGCAATGTCCTGTATGGATGGCATCAGTGGTATAACAGTGAATGATGGAACGGATGTTTGTTGCTGTACCAAAGTCAATACATTCATGCAAGATCAATTCGTTCTTTCTCCCTAGAAAGAAATGCGTCATCTGATTAGGTCCAAGACTAGTGGCACTACCATCATCTAGTGCAGACACTAAAACAGTGCAAAGAAATGCGTCGTCTGATTCGGGCTAAGACTAGTGGCACTACCATCGTCTAGTGCAGCCACTAAAACAGTACCTATGCAGTGACTGACATCTGGTCAGTTTTGGTACCGTGAATGCAAAGTGCAGTTCAAGGTACTAATGGTGCAAAAGATAAATTTTCCACTTCCAGAACAACGAAAAAAACCTAGGCTTTCTAGCTGCCTGCCCACAGAAAAATGATCAAAGCAAATGAATGGACTTGTATTTTTTTTTTTTTTTTTTAATCATCTCTCCTTTATAGTCAACATTCCTGCTCTTGCCTGCCCGGTGGCTGATGATACAGGTCAATGATGACGATAAAGGTTGGAGGTAGACAACCAAAAAAGCTTGAACCAGAAAAGACTCATGTCAACAGCATTGTAGATTTCATAGTCTAATCATCGAAGTTGGCCAGAAATTAGACATCCTAAATACTGAAGAACATGATCACCTGAGAAGATAATATTAAGCAAACAGTAATGGCACTACTACCAACATTAATCCTGCAGAAGGCAAAACCAAAAACTTAAAAAGTAGTAATAAACACAACCTAACAGAAAAACATGATATTAAACCATAAAGGCTCAATTAAGAGATTAATATTTCTCACAACTCGAGCTAAAAACCGAATTTCACGTTATCAACTTGGACAAAAGCTAACATTAGTGAATGAAACATACTGCTAGGGAAGAGGAGCCTAACTATTTGCCAGCATGCCTGGAAATAAATCCAAGTCAATTAGATTATAAACAACAGGCTAGAATTCATAACATCATAGAGGACAAGATGTGGCACTAATACAATCCAAGTACGTTGCATTAAGCAACATCAATATTGTTTTTAAAACGACTAGGGGTAATATCAGCAATACAATCTCAGGAACTAAAAACCTGTTCCAACATTTTAGATTGAATGCACCAGTGAGAAAAAAAGCACTACACCATCATCTTTTCTTAAAACCATATTTCTTACGTTCATAGAACAGATCCGTTTTGGCACTCCCTAAATTAACAATTTTTGGACACCCATCCCTATCCTTCTCCTGTTGAGTGCACTCTTTGCAATAGTAGGCATCAGAGATTCCCACTCCTCCACAAATAACACATCGACCTTGGAAGGATCCATAGTTGCATTCATCACAAACTCGCACAAGCGTGCAAGGACGCACATAGGAGTCACAGATTACACATTTCCCATCACACTTCTCGCAAAGGCGTCCAATAGCAATTCCTGGCTGCTTCCGGCACATAATCAAATCAGGATGATGCTTGGCCATGATTTCCTCAAGATCTTAAGTGCTACTACTTGCACCTGTGACAACCATAACTGTAAACTTACATAGGGTAGATTGCATTTTGGTTAAAAAAAAAAAAAAATTCACCCTCATATTCATAACAAGAACAAACTGTACATTCACAGGGAGACAACTAACAAACATCTCCTTTCATCTTTCTGAGATGAACCAAACGAATTTCGATATCTCATATTAGCATATAAAACGCAAATTAAATCAAATAATAACAACACAAGAGGGATCAAATTTAAAACAGGAAATCCTAAAACGGTAGACTCCATATATATACTCATACAGCCATGCCAACTTTCTCACATCAACTAGAAGCAGAAGCAATGGAATACATTTTGTGACCTGAAAATAAAAAAGCAGATCCATGATTTTCCGTGGCCGGAAGTATCAGACTAATGAACCTAGTGCCAATTTTGAGGCTGAAACTTAACTAAACTATCATTCTAATTGAATTGAACAAGTTAATGTTTGCTTTGGGACTTTTAAGATCGAAAATTTTTGCTTTCCAAAAAAGAAGCTTTGAGATGACAGGTGCTATTTTGTACTTCTAATAGACGAAAAAGACCTATTTTAATAAGACAAGTAGCTCCCGTAAAAAACCCATTAAAACCAGTTACAACCAATCCAGATTATAAAGTAAAGAAAGTAAGAAACCAAATACACCAAAAATCGCAACATCAAGAGTCATACAAAAATCAAATGTAAAATATGGATAAGGAGAAAGACATGTACCTACAGGCTACAGGAATGGATTGGAGACTCGGTTGCTTCTCTTTCTGTAGAGAGAGAGAGAGGGATAAACCTGGAGAGTGGGGGGTTTTTGATGGTTTTGTTAGAAGTATGTGTAGATGGGCTTACAAGAGAATAATCGAGAAACTACGCGAAGTTAGGATTCTAAACCGACAATGAAACTGGACCTGGGCTGTCACTAATGTCTGCCCAAATAATACAATGCGGTAATGAAACGTCGACGGGTTTGGAATTCTAAACGACGTGTCGTCCAAATTTTGTTTAGACTTTAGAAAGAGACATTGGAGATTTCAAGAATTTTGGAAATTTTGAAATTCTTGGGTGTTTCTGTTGCATCTTGATGGATCTTTTTCCTTTCCTTGTATACAAAAGAATATTCTGCCCTGTACTTGACTAATTAAAAGAAAGATAAGAGTAATGTAAAATTTCTCGATATTAGATCATAGACAGATAAAGCTATGTATATTTATCATTTCAGTCAGTCAATAGAAAACAAAATACTAGCTCTTTTTCTTTATAATTAAGTCCACCAATCATTTTTGCATGTTTCCATTTATAAGAAACCTCTTCTACATCACTCTTTGTGGCCCGTGAAATTTAGTCCTCTCAATCACACTTTCTTCGTCCCCATTTGCCTTTTTAACTTCCTCAAATTTTCGGAAAAAAGCAAACAATATACATAAATCATGGCAGGCAATGCAACAAAATCTTGAGATTGCGAATGGTTGAGGGTAAACTACTATATATCGTTATTACTCTTTTCTAGTAATCTCAATATGTTGATTACCTGTAGAATCACTTGACGTTTCATTTCATTATGTTGATGTTTAGAGTCACTTGACTGACTGTTTCATTATATTGATGGTAACCTCATTATCATTTGACCTCTTTCAAAATGATATTAAACACCTTGAACAAGAGATAAACCATTGAAATATTTGCTGGTTAGTAAATAGCAGCTGGAAAAAAGGACAATGCATCTGCTTTTCGATTTATCTGTAAGCACTAGCAATATTCAGCTCTATGGGCCTTGATCTTGGTTTACTGCAGAATGTTACCTCATGTTTTACTTGGGTTGAAAGTTCTAAGGTTTTCAAACTTGATTGCAACACAAACACCAACCAAATAAATCACGAATAAGATTATCAAAAACAACCATCTATGTTAGCCATCAGAAGATCTCTTGATATGAGGTTGGAGGTTCAGACAAGTAGCTTGGCCTTCAAGTGAGTGTTATTCCTGCTAGTTAGAGTAGTATACCTTAAGTCCTCAACTATAGAATATGGAGTTGTCTCTCTTTTTAACTTTTTAATAATTGAATGGGATGTCTTTCACAAATACATGCAACCAATCTAAGCATCACAATCTCAAAATTGTCGATACCAAAAATTTCTACCGTCCCTTCTGGGTGATTTCCCATTTTGGGCCAGCCAGCATTAGCAAGCCTCTGTTATGATCAGTACCTCAACGATGACCAAGGAAGACTGTAGGGCGTTTTCACTTCAACAATGTGAAAATCATATTTTCAACAACAGACATTTAGATTTATCTTGCCACTTCTAAGGACTACCCCTCAAACAACCAAGAAAAATGAGGAACAGATAAATATACCATCAGAATTCAAAGTCTCTAAGAGTTTTTAGCCAAAACTAGCTTGCGAATCATCAGCGCCATAGTTGCAACTAAATTTATTTCCTCACATAATCCAACTTCATTAGACCATAAACACTTGATTTGAAGTAAGCAAACCATAAAAGGAGGAAAAACACTAGACCTTGCTATGGTACAACCCAACTCCATTTGATCAAAGCCAACATAATTAAGAGCGTTACACAATGACTAGAAATACCATTTGGATGCAGTTCAAGAACTAGAACATTGTTCATCAATTTTAATTTGGTCTCACTGAGTTCTGGTGAACAATGGCAGACAAAAACAACCACTGATGTAACCATTTGCTTAAAAATATCACAAATGTGCCGAAACTAGATAATAAATCCCAAGGCATTTTTGCAATTATCAATTAGCATCAAATGAAAATGTCATAAAACTAAAACTCAATATCTCATGCAACTAAAACGCAAGCAAGTTAGAGTTCAAATAGAGAGCAACCAGAAAGAAAAATGCGGATGACCCAAACAAAATCAAAGTCCAATAGATTGTACAACACAACATTCCATAGTTGAAGTAATCACAACATAAAAAGAAACAAGACACAAGCATGGCTTGAATACAATACTAGACAATCAGATTACAATCGACAGTTTGAGTATTTTTGAGTTTAGAGGTGTTACCTAGTAAAAAAATTATGAACAACAATGTTTCAAGAAGTCTTGTAGTTACTTCTGCAGATACTTTGTTCATCATTTTAAACTGGGTCTGTCCAAGTCTAGTACCTAACAGCAGATAGAAAACACTGCAATTAGTTACCCCTTACTCATCACCTTCTCTTAAAACCATATTTCTTGCATTCGTATAACAAATCCGTCTTTGCACTCCCTAAATTGACGATTTTTGGACATCCATCCCTATCTTTCTCTAGCTGTGTGCACTCTTTGCAATAGTAAGCATCAGAGATTCCAATTCCTCCACAAATAACACAACGACCTTGGAAGGATCCATAATTGCACTCATCACAAATTCGCACAAGTGTGCAAGGACGCACCAGGGAGTCGCAGATCACACATTTCCCATCATCTTTCTCACAAAGTCGTCCAATGGCAATCCCTGGCTGCTTCCGGCACATGATCAAATCAGGATGATGCTTTGCCATGTTGCTTTCCGAAAGCTCTAGTTTCTAATATGCCTGTAACCAACAGAATATGGATGCATAAGTGAGAATAATAAAAACTTCATCATGTTCAATATGGCAATTTGCAAATTGAAGACCATGAGTTAAATTGTATATTCACAAGAACAACCAAGCAGAGCCATAAGCAAACATTTTCTTTGATCTGTCAGAGTTAAATGTGTCGAAATGACATGTAAATCAAAAGACAGTTACATCAAACAATAAAAAGACACAATAAATTTCTAACCCATTAACAGTAAACTATCAGGTTCTTGAACCAAGATCAACTAAATTAGAATGCCTAATTAACACTTTACATCAGTCAAGATTAATAGATGAACCTTGCGGAATGAATTTTGCAGTGTAAGATTTCTCCAGATTGACTAACTTTCGACTTTTTTAAAACCAATAACCCGAACTTTATTAGTCAAGTTCTTATTAACTTAACAACTATGCCAAAAAAGATAAACGGGATATCATTCAACTTAATCGGATTTTAATTTTATCTCACATTCGTGAATTCATTTATCGTTTCTCTTACATTGATTGAATAGCTCATGAATGTGCAGGCATGGCGTTTAACTTCTAAAGTTCTTAAGTTTTAACTCAAGGCAAGAGGAGTTAAAAGAAGTAATATTGACATGTCGTGGTTTATAGTCATGCTAGTAACTTCTTCAAGAACTGAAACCATCAAAAGAGAAACAATTTAGCGTGAAAGAAAAAATCCAAAACATGAAAACTGGAATCAAAACCAGATAGAAGCCCAAAACACACAAAAAGAAGGGGGAAAGGGACGAATATGAAATCGATTTATGGAGTGAGAGAGCTTACCTGATTTTCTGCAAGTTAGGGCAGGCAGATAGGAACAGAAAGAAGAAGAGAGCTTCATTTCTTATTTCTTCTGGGTAGATTACTTGCAGAGGAATAAAATGCTGACGCTGAGAAATTTGACTTCTTGGCCGGCAAGGGTTTTTTCTAGCATTTGGAGACGAGACCCCATATATACATATACTGATTTTATAATGGTTCGGTGTCCTCCACGGCTCCACACTTCTACCCTTCAACAAGTCATTCATAACCACGTCCAGAATTCAGATTGATCATTCATAGCCATATAATTACACTGATATAAGAAATTTCTTTTACTTTCTTTATTCTAATCAGGCTAATTGGTTCCATGTACTTAATTTGTATTATCAGTTGACGGCAGACTAATACTCCAAATTATTTCTTTTTTAATTTGAATACTACAACTATTTTTTTATTTATAATTAAATCCGTCAATTTCATTAATTAAATTTCGAGCACATTTTTTACACGTGATCATGCTAGCATTGTCTAATAAATAAAAGACATGAGAACTCTTTGTTAGTGTTGTCTCTATTTCCGACCAATATGACCCTATGAAAATACAAAATAATCTAAATTAAAACCAACGATTAAGATTTTTTGTTTGATTAATTTTTTTAATACTTTTTCTTTTCCTTTTTCTTTTTTATAAACAAAAGAATCTAAAAAAAGACCCATCTTACAAGAATCGAAGAGAGTCCTAAAAAGACTATATATATATATATATATATATATATATATATATATATATATATATATATATCTTTTGTCAAAGAATTAACCCCGAGAGAGAATAACAAAACCACATATGGAAAATTGAATTTGAAACAGAGAAGTTGATAGAAATCTTGAGGAAATGAATATCAAAAAATTGATTTTATACCACATGGATTGCTATTATTAGCACACAATCAAAACAAAAAAAAATAATCATAAATAGCGACGAAATTTGATCCGTCGCTAAATAGCAAATAAATAGCGACGAATAGCAATTGTTGTAATTAGTAACAAAATAGCAATGGATTAGTGACTCGTTTATTAGCAACAAATACTAATCCGTCAATAATTTTGATGGTAAAATCTTTTCAAAAGTTTTAAAAACGATTTAGAGACGGAATTGTTAATCCATCTCCATTTTTAATATATAGATTTAGTGATAAAAATTTTATCGCTAAAACAAATATCCCTAGCAATTTAGAGATAGAAAATTCTATTGCTAAAGGTGAAAAATTCAATAGATTTTTAAAAACTCAAAATTTTCCAATTAAAGATGGACATTTATGTCCGTCGCTATATGTGAAAAATGAGAGGTCAAGCCGTAATAAATTAGCTTCCCATTTTGAGACGGATTAGAAACGGACATAAATGTTAGTGACGGATCAATGAGAGGATCGCTTCGTTGTTATTTTTCAATTCCTAATTTGACCCCTTTCTTCTTCCTCCTCCTACATTTTCTTCCCCTCTCCATCTCCGACCAATAGCCGTTGGTCTCCCCCTTTTCAAACCACCACCAAACTCCACTCCTCCACTCTCAACCAATCCACACCAACTCCAAGCTCATTTCTCCAAAAAAAATCTCGAGTTTTTTATTTTTTTTCTCTTGTTGTAATTCCATCTAAATTAGACAAGATTTTTCTTTATTTTATTTTCTTAATTCAAGTTAACAACTTGTTGTAATTGTTAGGTTAATGTTAAGTTTAATTGCTTGATTTATAATTGTATATATGTTTGATTTTTATTTTGCTAATTTAATTATTAAATTGTTAATTTTTGTTAAATGTTGGCTAATTTGTTGATTAATTTATTAAATTGTTAATTTTTGTTAATTTTTAGGAAAATTTACTAATTAATTATAATTTAAATTTAATCGGAATTGATTTTTAATTAACTAAAATAATTTTATTTATGCTTAGTTAATTAATTAGGTTAATTTTGCTTAATTGGTTGAACTAGAATAAATTTTTTAATTAATTAAAATTTTGTTAATTAATTGTTTAATTTTTCTTAATTAAGTTAATTTAATTGTTATTTTAAATTTAATTTGGTTAGAATTAGAATTAATTAAGTTAATTTTATTTATATTTAATTAATTAATTAGGTTGATTTTTTAATTGATTGGATTATAATTTTTTTATATAAAAATTATTAATTAATTTTTATTTTAAATTTAATTTGGCTAGAAATAGAATTAACTAAGTTAATTTGATTTATATTTATTTAATTAATTAGGATAATTTTTTTAATTGGTTAAATTATAACTTTATTTATAGCACAATTTGTTAATTTATTGTCATTTTAAATTTGATTTATTTAGAATTAACTAAGTTAATTTGATTTATAATTAATTAATTAATTAGGTTAATTTTGTTTAATTGGTTGAATTATAACTTCATATATATTAGAACTTGTTAATTTATTGGTATTTTAAATTTAATTTGGTTAGAATTAGAATTAATTAAGTTAATTTGATTTATATTTAATTAATTAGGTTAATTTTGTTTAATTGGTTGAATTATAATTTCATTTATATTAGAACTTGTTAATTTATTGTTATTTTAAACTTAATTAGGTTATAATTAGAATAATTATTTTAATTATTTTTTATATAATTATTGAAGTGTGTCGAGATACGTCATAGTATGTCGAGATACATTAGAGGGTCGGAGATCCTCGGGAATTGAAGAGAAATAATGTTTGTTCAATGCTCTATGATGAAGCTAGGAGAGCGAGTTTGGAATTTAATTTCGATGGAGTATCCGAAACAATTATCAATTTCGATGTGCGTAAATTGATTATTGGTTAATCTAGTTTTAATGTTTGTGTGATCATTTGGAGTATCTATTAATTTAAAAATATGCAATTTATAGGGGAGACTTTGCCAAAATTTTATTAGATGTTTAGAAAAAAATTAATTAAATAATTGTATGTTGCTTCAAAAATGCAAAAATTTTATTTTAATTCATAATAATTTATAATATATTTTCAATCAAATTGTTGTTCATTTGTTAACTTGTTTTGGTATTGTTTTTGAGTTATACCTCGTGGATTAGACTGATCCGGTCACAATGTCAACGGTCGTGGCTTTAATGTTGATCGAGTGATTGATAGTGGCGGTGTATATAGACACGGCACTTGCTAGTGCAAGTGTCCGAGGTTATGGACTTCATAGTGGTGTCAACACATACACATCCCCTCTAGTATTGCCCTCGTTAGTTATGTTCTTATTGTCGGTATCTCCCGTTGTAGATGATCCCACTACGATTTTTTTAGCTCTAAAAAGCTCTACTCGGATCCGATGATGGACGAATCATTTAGGTTGTGAATAAATGGTAAGTAATATGTTTTACATGCAATAATGAGTTTTATATTTTAATATATTATATTGGAATCATCAATTGACCATTTATTTATTATTCATTTATTTTGTTCGACAGACTTGGTTCTATCAAGCAAGTGATTCACAAAAATCATCATAATTTTCAAAGACCAATTGGACGTCACTAGCTTCATATGGAAGTCTCGTCTCCATAGAGACAAAAGACTTTTACTTTAATAAAGTTAAGGTAACATATTAATTATTTGCTTACATTTCATTTAAAAGTGTTAATTTAACATGAAAAGTACTACTATTATTTTTTCTTTCACGTAAAAGTACTTTTTATAAGATGGAATCGTCGACACGCCGATTAAGGATATGTGGGAGAGTCTAGCATGGAGGCGATATAGCGACAAACTTAACAAGTCGAAGCATAAGTATAACGGACATGTGTTTGTTAAACAAAAGGTTCGAGAAGCATAGGATCGGGATTGGGCCACTCTAGATTATCGAGTCCGATCTCGGCAGCCATCTCGAAAGTAAATGTTGGAGATGGATGGTGTCGATGCTAGCTTATCCAAGCATACTAGAGGGTTCATCTCTTTGATCGAGCATGCCGAGCATTTGATAAATCTTATATTATCTATTGTGTTATAAATTCATTGGTGCATTTATTACATCTCATATTGTTTGTTTATTTTTTCAACATAATAAATCGGATCATAACTCAAATCCTTACGAGTTATTTGTGACCATTCACAAGCAAAAAGAAAAGACATTCGTCGATAGGCTTAGACAATAACGGTAAGGTTATATATTTCAAAAATATATATACATCTATCGATATAATCTAAAAATATATTTATGATTTAATATTATAATTATTTCAATGATATAGGAAAGCATGCAATCTATGCAAGAAGTAGTTGCTAAGGAACAATGGGATGGTGATTCATCATCTCAAGATATCAATATGTCCAAGATATATTTGGATGTTATCGGACGAAAGAAGAAGTATAAATTATACAATATCGAAACTTATACGTCCTAGTATTACTCACATTCCGACGCCATCTCCTCCTCTCGTCATTTTGCGGTATCTTGTTGGTAATATCCGGGAGGTTTCTATCCAATACAAAGATAGGATCAAGGAAATGGAGGCTATCATCCAACAATACCCTAGTCAAGTTAGCAACATGCAGAGTTAGTTACGGACAATGATGGGGTTGTTACAAAACCCGTAGTAACCTTGTGTCCCTCCAAGTCGACCCTCTAACAATCCAAGAGTCGGTCGTTTCTCTTAACACCCATCGGCTAAAAGACAACGTAGAAGATGATGATAATAAAGACTAAATTTAAAAAAAAAATTCAATGTTTTTGTATATCTTAACACATTTATACATTTATTTTATTTTATTTATATAATTTTAATTTTATTAAATAATATATGGTGTTGTAATCATATGTTGTTTATAGTTGTTTGTGATTATAATTAACAATATAAGGCTATTGATTTAAAATAAAAATTCTTTTGTGTAGCGATAGATTTAGCGACGAAATTATGAGGATATTTGACGATAAAGACATATACGATCGCTCAATAGCTACGATTTAGCGACGAATTGTAAGAATTTTAGCAATTATAATTTAACGACACCCGTTCCATTGCTAAATAGCGTGGGCTATAAGTGGAAATAACAACGACATGATTATAGAAATAGGACCTTTCGGATAAATATTTTAGTTCGATTTAGCAATGGAAAGTCAAATAAATTAGCGATGGATTTTCCATAGCTAATCAAAGACGTAAAAGAAATTTTGATCGCCGAGAAAATAACGACCACCATATTAACGATGAAGTTCATATTACCTCTAATTTGTCGCTAGTAGCATATAGCAACGGATTTTCAACATATAGCAACAGACACATCCATAACTAAATGCCAAAATATTGATATTGAATTAAAGTAAAAGAAACAGTGAAAAACCATTAAAAAGAAAACAAACGCAAAGAATCTAAGTGAAAGATTATCAAATAAGAAAAGAAAAAAATTATGATGATCAAGTTGACCAAGTAAGCAAGAGAAAAAGAAAGATGCCAAAGAATATGTAAGAGAGAAAAACGGGAAATTTCTTCACTCTTGATTTCTTTGATGAGAAAGAAAATTCTTTTTTTCGTATTCCTCTCCTTTATTCTCTTCTTTTACAGGTCCAATTGAAACTATCACCACCGTCACTCTATCCAACAAAAGACGACCTCCCTCTTCCCAATCCTCGTTGAAACCCTCACGAAACCCTAACAAAACCCAATACAAATCAATCCCACCCAGCCGCTGACCATAGTCATGTCGATTCCAACCATCTATCTCATCCTCCCACAGCCCGACTGCACAACTCGTTGCTACACCCACCTAGCCGAACCACTCATAAGTTTTCTACTACTAAGAGAAACCAAATTTTGATGAATCCAACTTTGGTTGTTCTTCTTCTTTCGTAGCCAAAACCAAGACCCCATTTTTCCTAGGAAACCAAAATTCTCTCCTTTTACTTCCTGTTCTTACTGAATTTTTATGTCCTAAGAGAAGTGTTTTTGTTTGTTTGGTGTGTCAAAGCATTGCTGGGAATTTTTTAGAGCTTAAGAAGGAAAAAAAATAAAATAAAAGGTGAGAGAGAGAAAAGGAGGGGGAAAAACAAAAAAGGAAAAAGAGGATAAAGATTGTTCGGTCATTTTACCATCACACGCTTATCACGCGTATCCCGAATTTAATTAACGGGATCAACGGACTTGATTATAAATCAAAAAAATAATTATAATATTCTAATTAAAAAAAAATAGTTCAAGGTACCAGTCTACAATCAATGCATAATAGAAAATACTATGAACAAATTAGTTTTCTAATTAACATCTACATGCATACTGCCTCGTTACTGGGCTTGAGCTACAAGTCGCCCCAAACTCGGATTCTTGTCCCAAAATCTTTCCTCGTAGAGTGAAAACTTGAGACCGACTTTAGTTTGATTGAGAAATAAAATTAGCAAGAGTCTTCATATTACCAAAAAGATAAATAATTTGTGTACTGAAATTTCTATGCTTATCTTTCGGGGAACCAAACAATACTATCTACAGTACTAGAAATGAAAAGAGATTCTAGTCCCTTTCCAAATTCCAAACGAAATGACTGGGAGTGTCTTCAAAGAATTGGGACAGGGACGCTGGCCGAATTTTATTCCAGTATTCATGACTCTTTAGTTGGTTTCCTTCCACCCGATTTGCTCCAAGACAACCATGCCTTGAAGTTCGCTAAAGAAAAACAGGAATTTAGCAAAATGACAATAATGAAAGGAGATATTTGCAATTATCATTCCACATCATGAATGCTTAGAAGGTTGCTTACTAGTAATAATTTCACTGACACGAACAGGCTGATAGCTTAAAATCATGGCATCACAATCAATGGATTTTCAGTAAGGACTCTCCAGTTCAGCCTATTTTATCTTATCTCCTTTGGTCCACCATTTCTAATGCCATATCTGATAACCATTCTAGCTCCTAGTAGTATATCTAGATGTTCAGTTGAATTATTTTTTTGACAAAAAACAAGAACTAGATAAGAAAAGAAAAGAGCAAATCCTTCCAATATCACCGTTCATTAGACAGACAATCATTTCTACCTCCATAATAATTCAACTAAATTCCTACCGTAAAGAGGAAAGATGGAAAGGAACACTTAACCAAAGAACTTCTCAATAAAACAAAGAAGTTATCTGCCACAATTACATCACAAGGAAGAAGAAATTATGCAGACATCCACGTGCTTTCATTCTGGATCAGGGGAACCACCAGGAACCAGCTGTATTGCAAACAAATATTAGAAAATCCATCTATATCTAGAAAACTGCAGCTTTCACTCACTAGAACAAAATAAAACACATTCTAGACCTCTTTAATTCACACAGAGAGTCCTTTTTTCCGAGATTTCAACAGTGTAAGGGCAACTCGCCAATAAAATCACAAGACACGAGCACAAAGAAATGCCAAATACTGGAACGCTGATCACAACTGTACTTTGGTGGGCTTAGATTAGAATTAAAATAAGTCATAGGTAATCATACTTACAATGGCAATGTTATTTCCATTCAGTAATATCTGATCAAGCTTGGTTATGCGTCGCCCTTCAGCCGTGATTTCACTGCAACATTGATAAAGAAACATTAACAAGCAAGCAGTCTTTCAGCAGTCTATTACATAAGATGATGTTTTAGTGAATATATGGGATGGAAAGTACTCTAATCTCCGTGCAAAGTCACTCGCTAATGGCTTGCAAGAAAGAGAAGTCATGGGCAAAATGTACAGCCACAACGCACAAACCAACCATAAAACTCCATCACTCAGTCAGCAATTCAGCATCAAGCTATAAACATTACCCGAAGTAAAACATCAATCCCTTCATATCATTATTGGCTACAATCTTGTTCAATATTTTGCTTCAATTAGTAAAAATAAAAGCGTAATGTAAAACTCACAACCAAGTCTTACACCCAGTACATACAAATCCAGCTCAATATATTACAAGCAATCAAAGACAATGATGCTAGCAATTCCAAACATCATAAGCCAAGAACCTGTCCTCATAAAAGACAGCAACTTATGCAGGATACCAAAAAGTTCTTGCAGATCATTACCATAGTTAAAAAAAATGTCACTAAACACCCAAATTACCAGAGTAAAGAAACATTAAGCAAACCCCTTCGCATTTCAACAAAAAAAAAGAGATTTTTGCATGTATTTATTAAAACCCTAAAATTTCAAGAAAAAAGAGAAGAAAGAAAAAAAAACAGAAAAAGAGTGTTAATCATTACATACTATTCAGTAACGTCTTCAAGTACCATGTTGACATAGACGTCGAAGCCCCTGAGAGTACCAACAAGCTCCTTGTCTCCTTTCATTATCACCCATATTTTCGACCCCACGCACCTGTCTATTAGCTCTGTGTTTTTTCAAAAATAAAAATAAAAATAAACCAAAATCACCACTGTTACTAATGATTTTCTCAAGAAAATTGAGAAGAGTGCAAAACACATAAAGAAGAAAGAAAAATGGAGCTGACCTGACGGGAGGAGCTGTGATGGATTGGTGTTTGCCATTAGCCTAGCTTCAGCAACAGCGAGCGCGATTTAAAGTAGGGCGTCATCAACGGAAAGGGAGCGGTATTTATTCATCACTAAGAAGAGACTACGAGTCGTTTGGTACCTAGAATTTTAGGTTTTAAGAAAGAGGTTTTGAAAGAATATATATGGGCCTAGGCTTTAGCAATGGAATAATATATATATATATATATATATATATATATATATATATATATATATATAACCCCAAGGCAACTCGTGCTAGAGAGCCTGGAGAAATTGAGCGTGCAAAAGAATTTCATGTTCCTCTTGGACTGTTTGTTTAATGGAAAATAAGTTAGAGTAACTTGTTTTTTTTTTCCTCGTTTTTCTATATTTATTTCTTGTTTAGAAAAAAATTAACAAAATTTAATTTTCAGTCAATAGAATTTGATAGGTTATTTTTTGAGAAGTGTTTTCCTAATTAAAAAAGAGAAAAACATTTTTTCTTTCTCTCACGAACTCGTTTCGTCTTCACGTTAATCGCCTCTCTCTCGATATATATGTTAATAATTTTTTTTCTCTGTTCTCCTTTTATTTAAAATATATTAAATTAATTTTTAATCATTTCTTATCAATTATTATTAATTATTTAAATATATTTTTCTCTATTTCTACAAACATTTGATTTTTTCGATTTATAAATACATTAAAAATTATTTTTATACCTTAAAATTATTTTTATAATAAATATTTTAATAATTTATCTCTATTTTTTTACCATTATCTCAAACACCACCTAAACTACATTTAAATAACTGAAAATAATTATTACAAGACTACAATTATTTGTGAAAAAATAAAACTAATTAATTCATTAATAAATACATTAGTTTCTTGACACTTTTCATTTACAACAAATCAATAGTTTGTGACTAATTTTAATCGATTGTAAAATTTTGTTGGTACTTGTAATCAATAATTAGTTATAAATTATTCCAACATTAATCTTTTGAAACCAAATGATTAATTATCCGCAAATGATAACTAATAATTTATAAAACTATTTTTTAAATTAAATTCTCAGTTCAATTTTCAAAAAAGAAAAAGAATTCTTAATTGAGTTATCAAAATAACAATGCTATGATTATTTAGAAATTTTTTTATTAAATTTGAATATTGACTTGATTTTGTCTCAAGTAGTTTTGATAAATTAGTTTGATATTTAAAAATGTACATTTTATTTTTTTAATTTTTTGAATTTAAATCTTAATGTCAATATTTATAAAAATTTATTAAATTTTTCTAAATACATTTTATATTGTGAGATTGTGAATATACCTTGTTGAAGTTCTCTTAAAACTCAGTAATATAACAATCTTATTTTTGTATTTCAGTTTTCCGTATCAAATAAATGTTGAAATATATTTATATTTTCCAACAGTTAACAAACGGCAAAAAATATTTTTTAAAAAAATAACTTCAGAATTATTTTTTCTATTAAAAGTTTTCCACCAAACAAACAAGCTTGATTGAATTCCAAAATACCGAGCCGTTTTTTTTTTTTTCCTTAGTTATCTTGAGATATTAAGTACTGATTATCTATGAGCTTCTTCAGTCACCACAACTGTTCCTCTATTGTTGAGCTGGAGATCCCATGCTTGACAGCAAAAAAATCGCTTGAAAATTTTTGGAAAGAAATTTCAAAAAATATATATTTGACCACCACTCAATTGTTTCACTTTGAAGAGTTACAGCTGAAGAGTCGAAAGAGTAATTAAACAGTAGTAGAAGACTGAATAATTTGATCCAACTCTACAACAATCGGATATTATGCTAAGGTGACATTTAGAAAAAATAAATTACTCGTCACTAATCACACCAGTCTTCAAACACAATTTCTTTCGTAAGTACTTAACCAATCATATGTTCTACAATAATCCCATTTCCTAATATCAGATCAATGGATGACAGGCTTTAGTGGATGAGCTCTCAGACTTGACAAGTCAAGATGAGCATCAAGCTCTTCATCAAGTTCCCCAACAATGCTTCTGCAAGAAAAAGCGAAGGAAAAACTTACTGTTAGAAGTAGTGATACAGTTAGGGAACTTACATAGGATCAGCCTAACATTATGAATACAGAAAAAAGGAAAATTGAAGATGGCATTTACATGTTGTCACCCCTTATTATGTACAAGCCCAACACTAGTTGTTGAACACCTTCCTGCAAAATGAATCAAGCATATATTATTCAAGTGGCAATGTGACACCAAAAAGACACAAACATATTTGTTATCATTAGCTCTTCAAAGCATAACACAGCTCTGTATTAGATGGCGGAGGAGCAAGAATATCATAATTTAAATAAATAAAGTCGCTTAAAATTAAACATTCCCTAAAAAACTATACATCTACATTGAACTTAGCCAGATGAAAACAAGATTAATTCACTGCAACATGTATCTAAGTTACTGCGAATCCCTTTCCTCTTTAATCACTAAGGTTCATATAAGCAATGGAAGACAAAGAAATTGGAAGCTAGATAAGGATACAAACCTTGGTGGAGTAAACACGCTCATGAGATTCATCAAGGATAATATTTGTGGCCTGGTCGAAGCCTTTTAAGACTCCCTAAATCAAAAGGAACGCCTTTAAAATTAATATATTATTGTAAACAATCACATGAATGTATTAGATAGACATAATAACTCACCACTATATTCCGGCCATCATTTGTGATAACTGAAATTGTTTCTACAGAGGAAAAAAGGGTAATTGTATAATAAGAACGCTGCATCAAGGAAAATAAGCCCTGCATACATTGAACTAAAAAATTGCAAGCAATTAAGCATGGAGAAGTATATCCTGAAATCAACTGTTTCAAAAGACTTGCTATAAACCCCAACTCAAAGCAAGGGATATGCCTCAAGGCTTAGAATAGTGTTCATTAGGCATTGCTATTCCCAGCCACTGCACACCCTTAGTTGCTCTCTGAATTGGGAATCCTGTGCCTTATGAGCGGACTCTTATCATGACTTTTTTTTTATTTTCCTATTAAACCCATGTCAATTCAAGTTCTGAAATATAACTTTTGTATAATCATGTTAGTAGTCTTCAACAATGTTTTCATATGTTGTTGGCTTCTATAATCTAATCTGTCATTTTATTACACTTCTAACTGCTTTCATTATTCTTTCAGCATGCCTGGCGACTATACCACCATACCAAAGGTTTTACCTTAAAAAACAACTCCCACATTAAAACTGAAATGTTTATGCCGGAACATGATGCTTTTGAAATGTTTCCATTCAAACAACTAAAATGACTAGGCCGGGTCTTACTTCAGACCTCAACAATCAAATGATCGCATCAAAGGCAGTAAAACAACTAGCATTGTAACATTAGCCTATAAGAAGTAAAAAACATGATTAAACACAAAACTAACAAAAAGGATTTATAAAGAATTTGCTAACTTACGATCTACAAGAGTCTCGAGTCCAGTTCCAAGAGACATTTTTCAAGCCCCGAAACTGCCGACTTCTTGGCAAGACTGGTTGTGAACAAATTATAATTCTGCAACAAGAACCTATTAGTTCCCTAAACTATTACACGCAGCTAAAAAGCTAAAAATCCAAGCTTTAAAATCAAAATAAGCGAGAACCCAGATAGTAAAGCGTAAAGATAAAACAGAAACGCTAGCGGGAAAACCCGAAAATTGAAACATTCAATGTGAACCCAAAAACACAAGTTTGAAAACCTAGAGCCCACAAAAAGAACTCAAAAAATCAACATCTAATTTGAAGTTTATTTAAAGAGTGGGGGAGTTTTACCTGTCTAACTCGACTTTTATGCTTCTTGTTGTTTGGATTTGAATAGAGAGGGTGTTCCGAGGAGCTTTGAACTAAGGTAAGAGGTAGAGGGAAGAGTAGAAACTCGAGAGAGAGCCTCTACGCTTTTAAGGTTTTAACACGAAAAAACGTTAGGGCAGAGAGGGAGGGTTTTGATGGTTTAAGAGGAGAGGATTTGTCAGATCTGGGCTGGGTTAAGCAGACAAAGACAGGGGCTGCACTTCTATTGATTGGGGCTTGTTCTTGGGCCTGATCTATCATTTTCATTTTTATTCTTTTCGGCTTTTGGAGCAAATTTTGGCTCAATTGGCAAGGATGAGCCCTATTCGGTTTCTATTGAAAAACCAAAATGAATCTAACTGCAAGATCAATTTTTAGATTAAAATTAAAAAAAAAAATGAACCAAATTTATTTTTGTTTTTTGAATTCAGTTCGGTTTTTGAATTTTTTGTTCAATTAAATCAAAAAACCAAATTAAATTTTTTTAATATATATATTTTTTGAAATCCTAATAAAAAAAATTATACAAGTAATACTCTCGAGTGTTGTTTGATTACTAAAAATAGAATCGTAAAAGTATAAATGAGAGTTTTATTTCTACTTTGTATCTATTGAGTTGAAAAAATAAAATTAAAATTAAATATATTTTTATTACTATGGAAGGAGGTGATGATAAAAACAAAGAATGAAAATGAATTTTTTTTTGAAGTAATGATATATTGTTTTTATTTATTATATACTAACTACTTCTACAACCACTTCCATCTTCACCATTACCACTATCACTACAAGTACCGCTATCACTACCATCATTGGCGATGATGATAAAAATAAAAATTCAAACCAAACTATTATTAATATTATTTCATCACCATTCATTCTCAACTATCAACATTATTTTTATTATTCCACCACCACCGGTATTATTAACGATGTCTGATAAACAAAATTATTATTATTATTATTATTATTATTATTATTATTATTATTATTTCGTCGCCACTTTTTCTCTACCACCATTATTATTTTTATTATATTATTACCATCACTCTTCTTCCACCTTCATCTTTTATGGTGGTGATATCAATTTTAAATATATATATATTTTATTACTAGATTGCTATTATTGCCACCTTCTCCTCTTGTTCAATCACAATTATCTTTATGATTTTTACTACCATCGTAGTTGATAAAATTATCTTTAAAATTATTATTCTTATTCAAATAAAAAAAACATATATTAAAAAATTTAACTATCATCTCGATTTTTTTTAATATTTCAAACACGATATGAAAATATAAATATCATTTTAATTTCTTAATTTTTATTTTAATTTTTATATTTTCATTCTAAATCTTTTATTTTTAATAACCATAAGAAATCTCAATCTCTTTCGAAAGCCACCTTCTCCCTTCCATCGACCCCTCACACTCACACAGACCAAAGAAGAGACACGTTCCTTCCTTTCTTTAGCCCTTACTCATCCACAATTAACAGTCTAACCCACTCCCACTCTCTCATGTCTCAGCCCTCCCACTCATCAAAGAAAGTTTATCACTCACACACGTATCTTTCTTCCACTTTTAGTTTTGACTTTCACGTAATCATAGTGAGTTCACTCACGAGTCATGCCCCTCCTTCCCTTTAGTCAATCAACTCCCATGCGCTTCTTCTTCCTCCTTCACTCTTAGCCAGACAACCACTTCTTTCATCTTCATTCAAGATTTCAAGAAAAGATTTGAAATCTAAATTTGATGTGGATTCGAATGTGAGAAATCGTAATAAATTTAACGTAGATTCGAATAATTGAATGTATGAAATTGAAAGAAGAAATTTTGATGTGGTTTTGAATAATTGAAATTTGAAATAAAAAATTAAAGACTAGCAATTTCGTTGCTAACAGTCTCTAGCAAGTTGTCAAATTTAACAATTAGCATGTTTTGAATATTCAAAGGAATAACTTGTGCATGTTATGCTTTATGAAAAAGTAAGAAATGAAAAATTCTTACCACTTGTCTTAACACTAATAAATTAATTAAGTGATGGCTACCTGATTTTTGGGTGTATATATATATATATATATATATTGAAAATTATGAGATTAAATCTCTAGCTAAAGTCAAAAAGATTAAATGATACATTTTGAGAGATGTGACTAATCCCATAAAAAAATAAAATCACTTATGTGGATATTATACTTGGAGATTGGAGATCTCAAAAACTAAATTTAAGGAAAAGAACGAGCATATAGTTATTTTGTTACATGTACAGTTTATATTTGAGTTAAAATACTCATATATTCATTCATATGGTGTAAGTTTATGAATTCCATAACAAAAGAAAGGTTGAGTTTTTTAGAAAAAACTTTTCATGCGGTCTATAGTTTTTTTTTATGAAATATTAGAGTTATTGAAGTATCTTTGACAAACACACCTACATGAGTGATGAAGTGGAGTTATTTCCTATAAGAATAAGGCTAATTCTCTAAAATACTCATAGAAGTCAGAATCAAATACAAGGTCGTAATGTGTGTCGCTACCCGACATTATAGGACTTCTAAATTTTTAAGCTAAGGGAAAATAATTAAAAAGGTTTTGGAGTTGTCACATAATATTGAAAGAAACTAAAAAACCTAATGAAGGCACTCGGATTCGGAGATTTCAAATAAGTAGTTGATTATGCCTTTGCAAAGATAACCATCACCCAAAAGTACTATTTAAAAAAAAAAAAAAGGTATAGAGTTCGATTTAATCCTAAAAGTATCTCTTCAAAATTATGTTTGTCAAATTATTTTCTAAGTCTCGTTTTCAAGTTTGTCTATCGTCTAGCTAGATCAAATTGTTTTTTTTTTTTTTATAGTGAAATCATATTAAATTGATATTAGATTCTAAAATTGGGAGTCTCCTCAATATGATATTAGATTCAATTACGTCCCGACACGATCGACATATCGAGAAATGATCTAATTATTTTAGGGTATTAAACTAACTTGTACCTATCCTATCCAATTTTCTTTATTTTGTTTCTTTTATATATATATATATATATATCAAGACCAATGTCCATTCCTATTTAAAATAAGAGGCTCGTTAGCTCGACTTAATTTTCTTAATTAACTTTTAAAGAGATATTCATTTCTTAATTATAAATCAAACTTGATATCTATGGGATTGCCATCATTCTTTAGAATTTAGAAGACTCAATTATCTCACATCTAGTCCGATAAATCTCCATTCAACAATTAACATGTTAAAAATAATCATAAGCGCGACATCAAAACAATACCGAAATAAATACTAAACATAATCTAAATGCAACAAAATTTTTACAGAAACTAATTGGCATATATATATACACATCTCCTAAAAAATTCAAGCTGAAATTACAATGGGAACAGGCTCAATTTAATTTAATTTTTGAAATAGTCCCTCACGAATAAATTAATTGACAACAGAATATATATAAAAAAAGTACAAATAAATATAAAACCAAACTCCTAAAATTACAAAAATTTAAAAAACAAGCTAAGATATACACAAATCCTAAAAATTTCAGATTAAAATGATCAGAACAGCCCTGCCAAATAATTAGTTTACGGAACCAGTCTGTAGGATTAAGATTCTTCCGATTTAAAACCGATTCTTTTAAGAAATAAGGACACAATCACAAGTCTTTTACATTAATCCGTATTGAAAGTAACAACCGTAATAAGCCTAGGTACCAGACCTTAAATTGCATGAGACAGTAACCCAAACAAATTCAAACCCTAATGATTCCTGCTATGAAACATCTCCGTTCCCATTTTCATTTTTAAAGCGACAAAATTTTTTTTTATTTATCATTATTGCCATTTCCACCATAACCTTGTTACTATTTTTATTTTGCAGCTTCTAAATACATCTTAACGCTAGGTTTTCTATCAAAAGAAAAGAATCTCTTTTATTTGCTCATCCTATTCCTCCACTGCAATTTCAAACACCAGATCCTACCTCCATCCTTTTTCTCTTGTTTTTTTTTTTTCCTTTCCTTTCTTTCCCTTCTACCACCTTTATTAACAATGGTTTATCAACTGTCTTTCTTATCGAAAGAAAACAAAACAAAAGGAACACAAAGGCACAACAATCATATTTACTGCGTTCAAATAAGCCATGGCTAGAAGCAACCTCTTCATGTTCCTTTTTGTATGATGACATCCATTCAACAATAGAGAAAAATGAGAGGCGTATAACTGTTGAAATTTGAAGGATAGAAGTGAAACGATACCGTGAAGTGGTGCAGCCAGAGTTACAGTGATGATTCCCTCTTGCAATTTTCACTTTCTTGTGGCTGGACCTCTCCAAAACTCTCTTTTTTTATATCATTGTTCTACCTTTCCCTCCGTCAAAACTAGAGAAAATAAATCTCTCTCTCTCCCTCTCTCTCTCTATTCTTCTTGTTTCTACTCTCTCGAAACCATAGAAAATAAGCCTCTGTTTTTTTTTTTTGCTACTACCGAATGAATCCCTCCGTTTTGGGCTATGTTTCACACTTATATTTCCCCATCCAATTTTGATCTCAATTGTTCATTCTTACTCCCTCCATTCTGACCTTCTGTTTTACATCTTCACCAGACGCTCCTCCCCTTTTCTTTCATCTAGCCCTTATCCAAACTTTATAATCGGTTACTTTCATGGCCAGTCTCTTTAAAGGCAAAAATGTCGGACCAGTACCCCAGCTGGCTTCTGTTCTTTTTTGATGTTATAGGGAGGGTGATCCAAGGTACGTGCTAGGCTGGATGGAGGTTTGTCCTTGGGTGAAATATGGCACCAACGATGCTATGCAAAGACGATCTGGTTTTGTTGTTTTTTGAGTGAGAAAGATGTACAGTAGCAGGAAAATTTTGGCAGGTTGGGGAAAGGTAGTGACAGACGACAAGTCTTCTGCAATGGGTGTTTAAAATCATCTTTGCACTCACACTTTTCCTCCACTTTAGTTCTCGTGTGCCTTAATTCTTCCACAATGAAGTCCCTCTGTTTGGATAATTTTGGTCCTTCTTGGTTTAATTTCCACTAATGACCACCCATTCCTCTCAATTGCTTCCCCAATATTTTTGTATTTCTAAATTGACTCATAATACTTTCAAAATAACTGCAATTAAAACCCTTGATAAAAATCCGAAATGATTTTTTTTTTTTTGTGTTTTCATCTTTTTTTTTTTTCTATTTGTGACAAAAATAATAAATATAATTGAACTAAAATTAAAATCGTGTGATAAGACAAAACTAATAATAAAAATAAAATATTTATAGAAAAACTATAATGTGTAAATAAAAAGAAATTTGTAAAAAAGGATCTAAAATAATTGTAGGGTCAAAATTGAATTATGATAATGTGATGATTCTAGAACTCATCACAAAGTATCTATATGTAATATTTGTTTTTCCTAAAAGAAAACTTAGTTCAAGACGATATTCACTTACTCGAGAGTGATATTATTGAAATATTAAGTAAAGATTTAAACCATTAGCATCCTTTTTATGTATTATATTTATTTTATTATCTAAAATTATATGACTAATATTTTATTAAAAAATAAATAGAAGATTGTTGGATTATTTTTAATAAAATATTTCACAATTGTAAAAAACAAAAAAAAGACAAGTTACTCGTTTGAAACAATAACGTGTATTGTTCTCTCTCTCTCTCTCTCTCTCTCTCTCTCTCTCTCTCTCTCTCTCTCTCTCTCTCTCTCTCTATATATATATATATATATATATATATATATATAGAGAGAGAGAGAGAGAGAGAGAGAGAGAGAGATGATCTTGCTATTTGATGTGGCACACAACAACAATAGTTCTTACCTTGCATAGATTGAGAAAATAGCAAAAAAATTTCTTTACCATACACAGAGAGAACTATTTCTATCAAAATTTGTTTGCTTTTTTCTTCCACTATAAAACCATATAATACTTATTTATACTATGTTTGGATAAAAATTGTATTATTTTATTTAAAGCTTCAAATCTTATCGGTAATGTAAATTTATTAAGATATGACAACATAACTAAATTTTGTATCCGAAACATCGTATGCAATGGGTGTTTGAAATCATCTTTGCACTTACACTTTTCCTCCACTTTAATCCTCGTGCGCCTTGATTCTTTCACAATGAAGTCCCTCTGTTTGGATAATTTTGGTCCTTCTTGTTTTAATTCTCACCAATGACCACCCATTCCTCTCAATTGCTTCCCCAAGATTTTTGTATTTCTAAATTGACTCACAATACTTTCAAAACAATCGCAATTAAAACCCTTGATAAAAATTTGAAATTATTATTATTTTTTTTTGTGTTTTCATCTTTTTTTGTTGTTGTTGTATTTGTGACAAAAATAATAAATATAATTGAACTAAAATTAAAATCTAATGATAAGACAAATCTAATAATAAAAATAAAATATTTATAGAAAACCTACAATGTGTAAATAAAAAGAAATTTGTAAAGAAAGATCTAAAATAATTATAGGGTCAAAATTGAATTATGATAATGTGATGGTTCTGAAACTCATCACAAAGTATCTGTATATAATATATGTGATGCAATATTTATTTTTTTCTAAAAAAAACCTTAGTTCAAGACGATATTCACTTATTTAAGAGTAATGTTATTGAAATATTAAGTAAAGATTTAAACTATTAGCATCCTTTTTATGTATTATGTTTATTTTGTTATCGAAAATTATAATGCTAATATTTAAAAAAAAATAAGTAAAAGATTGTTGGATTATTTTTAATAAAATATTTCACAATTGTAAAAAAAAAAAAAAAAAAAAAGAGACAAGTTACTGTTAAAAACTGTTTCGAAACAGTCACAAAACAAGTGTTGGACATTAAATGCAAGGCTGTCGGTTTTGTTATTAAAAAATATGCACGTTTGGTTTTAGCTTCTGCATTCAATTTCAAACGACTTTTTTCCTTGCCAGCTATATATACGTAGGTGATCTTGCCATTTGACGGGACACACAACAACAACAGTTCTTACCTTATGCAGAGAGAGAAAATGGCAAAATTTTGTTTGCTTTTTTCTTCCACTGCAAAAACCGCATAATACTTATTTATTTTATTTTTTGATAAAAATTATATTATTTTATTTAAAGTTTCAAATCTCTATAAATTTGTTGAGATACAATAAGATAATTAAATTTATTATATCTGAAACATAATGTAACATATTCTTAATCTCTTGTATCAAATAAATTTTATAAACGATGAGTATTGTCTTATGAAAGCAATATAGCTGTACCTTAGGATAATTACCTAAAATTTTTGATAAAATTATTTTTATAGTTCGATCCTTTTTATATCATAAAACATGATTATATGTTTTAATTCCTATTTTTTTTAATGATCAAGGTAAAAAAATTTAATTCTTTATCTATCTTAATTTACAATCAATTTATTTATTTATTTATGTTTTTTTTATGTGCGGAGAACAATATCATGTAATTGTTAATGAAAGTATCAATAGTAGTCTCTACATGTCATTGAAAACATTTAGAAAAATATTGTTATTTTTAGTATAGGATTTTTTTGGTTATGAAATCCAATAGATACCAAGTTTTTTTAAGCCTAATATTGTTTTGATGTAGATCCTGCCCTGACAAGAACTGGTTTTGGAATCTCAATAGCGCCTGATGTATATTGAATTAGGTACACTTTCAAATTTTTTTTTTTAATAGAAATAATGTTCTCTTATGAGAAACCTTCTCTTTGTAGTCAAATATTTATGTACAGGTTCTTTTTTATTAGACCAGATTCTGATAATTTTGGATTTATGGTATTTTCTAAACCTGTGGCAATCTTTGATCAGATTACTTTTCGTTTTCGTTTCACAGATGATGCATTCCCGTTTTTAAAATTCTAAAATACAGGTATATTGATCTTAGAGTTGGTTAAATATGTGTTGTCGATAAAATATATTTAAATTTATTAAACACAAATAAGCATGAAAGTTTTCTAAAGTCTTTTACGCTATACGTGTTTATCATTCTAGGTTTTTTTTTCCCCGGTTTATTGAGCAATTTATTGTGGGCCCTTGAGTGTCTATAGTCTATAATAGTCTTCAAGCATGGGAGTTTTATTTACATCAAGATTTTCAAACTACTCTTAAGTATTTTTCATCTTTTTCGAATCAGTTATTGACTATAAATTGTTTACTTTTGATTTTTTTTTAAAAAAATTCATATTGTTTTATGAAAATTAAGAAAATAAAAAACTTGTGAGTCAGAAACTAAACCATAATTAAACTGATGTACTAATTCAAATTTGAAGTTTCTTCTCGGACATTGAAAATAGTTTTGACTCATGTTTAATGTTCTTAGCAGGATGCATGAGACTCTGAGACGGTGGAGTTGGAGACTATAGGTTAAGTTTTCTAGCTTATTGATTTTCCTTGCTGAAGTATAGTGGTGTAATGAGTTCCTTAACATGTGAGAGCTTCTCCAGTACTGTCCCAGCACCAATAAACAACCGTCTTCACCACAGACCCCAAAACCACCCCAGCCACTTTATCACAGTTTGTCCTCTTCTCTACTGCCGCCAGCACCCACAAACCCAAAGCCACCATATTGTTTCCTCCTAACCCGACAGTCCACTCTAGCCATCTTTAACACCTTTCAATTGGGTTCGCGGTTGCAGAACAAGAGGATTAGGGATTTTGCAACGAGAAGAAGGACAGCTCTTGGTTTTGCAATCTGGGAATTAGAAAATTTTCAATTAGGTTTGAGAATGATTTACTTGTAGTTCATAATTAAAGAGTTAATTTGTTAAATAAATCACATGTTATTTATGTCATGCCATCATCCCATCAATCACGCGACATCAGCTAAAAGTAAAATTTCAGTTGAAAAGATGTAAATATGCTAATATGATTATTAGAAATTTAATTTATGTTTTATCTATCTAACATTAAAAAAACAAGCTAACATGTTTTTTTAAAATGTTAAATTTGTAATTTTATGATATATATATATATATATATACACACACAATTAATTTAGACTTAGCATGATCGCAAATTCCTAACCATATGAGTCAAGCATTAAGAAGCTAATATATATCTAACTAAATCAAAATTTACCCATCTTACTAAATAATATGTCATAATCAGTATTGTGTCGTCTTCCTTTTTTATTAAACTTTGCTAGCTATCATTAACATTTTAAGAACCGGATACAGTCATCAGACGAGAGTTTAATAAAGATATTCAACTCGTATAGTTAATTAGTCATCTGAATAAATATAAATCTCATCCACATATAAAGCATAAATCAACTTAATAGAATATGGAATCATTTACATCAAAAGAAAAATACATGTTTATAAATACATTAACCTGGATATGAAAGATCCGTTTAAAATCTAATTTGAAGGAATTTAATTAAAAAAAACTAGTGCATATTGAACATCTTGACTGCCGAGACAGAATAAAAGGCCCGTAAGAAAACGATGACGATGGAAAGTGGAAAGCAAATTCGGGAATATGCGCCAATTCACGATACTCTAGCTGCCAAGCTCTTACGTAAATGGCCAATACCCACAAAGTATTCTTCTTCTTTTTTACTTTAATAAGCATATTGCGTGGTTTTTTGCCGGTCACCACCTGATCGATTTGGCAGAACCTTTTGTCCTTGTTCTCGTTCTGTCATCAATTACATGAACCTTTTAGTCTTCCCACTGAATTGTTCTGTCCATTAGTCCCTTATGATCATTTCATCAAAAAAGTTCACTTCCTTTGATACGGTGAATGTAGACTTACCGATCAAATAAACATAGTGGATGCCTAATTCTTTAAACAATTATTATATTCCTAAAAGCTTCTTCCTTATTCCATCACAAATGCCTGGATCAAATACCAACAACACGGCCTTTTTATCGAGTTAAATGCAAGAGGGAATAAAAAAACCGACATCTCACCCTCAAAAAAAAAAAAAAAAAGTTTCTTTTTCTTGATTGCTTGAATATTGTAGGCCGGGTATTTGATTCTGCGTTTCAATCGCTGACAAGCAATGAAGCTCACATGTTAATATAATTGGATTAGAAGCTATAAAATCACCACCATTTCCATGTATTAAAGGTATGTGGTTGGCCGCTGGCCGGTTGAATTTATGAATTATATATATATTTGGACTACATTTTTATATTGCAAAACAGGCACAAGACGAGCTCTCTAGAAGTGGGGGAAAATGGAAATTGAATTCGGAACATCACATCACCTAAAGTCAAATGTTAATTCATTGTTTTACTATTTGTTGTTTTAATTTGCTATTTATGTTTGTATATTACAATTTTTAATATGAGAAATTATTAGATATCTCAAAAATTATATTATGTTGTCTCATAAAAAATAATTTATAAATATCGATTTTAATTAAAAAAAATAACATAGTTCTCAATATATTCAATAATTTATCCATTAATAAATATCTATTTAATTAAAAATGTTTTTGTTTTAGCCTTTTTATAATAGCTCTTATAGATTTTTGTAAAGATTTGTATAATAATTCAAGACAATAGAAAATTTGTAATAGGACGTTGGTATCTCATTAAAAAAAAAAAATACAACATATATATTTTTTAGAAAAAAATAACGAGGTGAGATCGAGTAATCTTTTCTTAATTTCGGACAAAATTTTGATTAGAACACCATCATATATTTCTATCAACATCAAAATCTATTAAAATATCTTTACAGACAAGATTAATAAATTTTTATAGACAAGAGCATAAGATGCTGAATTGCCATCAATTCAAAAGCTATCGTTTCATTGCTTGATCATAGTCTCTTCTGCAAAGATGAATGATAATCTTGTAATCAACTCCTTGTTTAAGTTTCATGACTTGCGAGAATAAAAGCATCGGCAAGCCTTAATGTCTATTTTACAAGTAAATTTGAATCTACACCGTGCTTCGGACACAATGTGATGGAGGAAAGGAAAGCGAAGAAAAACATTAAAATATGAAAAATGAGATGAATGAAAAATCACTTATTTTCCTCCGTGGAAAAAATGAGAGGAAAGAAAATGATGAGAAAGTCAAATTCACTATTTTATTTCCTTCATTCTAAACAATTAAGCAAGTTGTTCTTAAAACGATAAAATGATAATTTCATAAACTTTTACCCATTTATAATGACAAAAGTGGGTCTATGAAGAAAATTTTCCTTCCCTTTCTCCTTCCCTTTTCTTTGAAAACAACGGAAAATACAAAAAAATTTTGTGCTTTTCTTCCCCATTTGTTTTCCTCTCCCAAACACATTGTTAAGGATTTCTTTTACTATCTTATTTTGATTCAATTGTCTAACAGATAATATTGTGTTAAGAAGATGATAATATTGTTATTGAGAGTTGAGACGACAAAAACACAACAAAACGTGTTGATAGAAGTTCCTGCCATTTATCCGACTTTTTTTTTCAGCTATTTTACTCGAATGTCGTCATGTTAAAATGTTTCAGTGAACTAGTAAACTACTCCATAGTAGTAGATACCTTGATAATATCAAGGGACAATGTTTCATCAGGACGATGCCCACGTGATTATCAAGGGACAATGTTCCATCAGGACAGTGCCGACGTGGGCATTTGTGATCCCATATGCCAGGTGGACCCCAGTCTTAGAATTCATTAATTTCCTTACCGACTCCCACCCACCAGCATCATGTTATGTAGTTAATACTCTCTTGTAATGTTTTGGTTTGGAAAATATGTTTTTTTTTTTTTTTTTAGTCCTGATGCTAGTTGACCCATTATAAATATCATTTTAAACTCACCCAGAAAGATAATTAAAAAAAAATTACTCACCCAAAAAGATTTGGCAGAAGAAGTAAAATTTCAAATGAGTCTAAACTGTCTGGGTGGTTATCAATAAGTTACGGATTTCAATTTTAACATTTATTTAATTGAGTTTGTTCAGATATTATGTAAGGAGAGTGAAATGGCCGAGTTAACACAACTTTTTTCCAAAAGTTTTTGATAATAAGATTAGCATTAACCATAAATCATCTATCAATTTATTAAAAAAAAAAAAAAAAACCTTCGCATTTACATCGATGCGCATAAGAACCACGTATCAAAATTCGATTTTCAAGGACACTGGTTGTATGGTCCTAACTTCAGATGATCAAAACAAAACCCCCCATTTGTTTCAGTAGATTATAAATTAGTCCTTCTATTATTTGAGAAACAAATTTATTAATTTTTTTGTTTTAAAAATTAATTATTTAATCATTCAATCAACAATGATTATATTTAATTTAATATTATTTTATTTTAAAATATATCATATTTTCTTATCAATCCTTCCATAATTTTTACATTTTTTCCTATATCAAAATAAAAAAACCAAAATAAATTTAAAAAGAAAGAAAAAATTAAGTTATAAAATTTTAAAAATATAGAGATTAAATAAATAGTTTTTGAAATAAAAAAGACTAATTAACCTGTTTCTCAAAACTAAAAGAATTAAGTTATAATTTACTCCATTTATTAACAAAAAAAGAAAAAAGAAAAGATAGGAGTCGTATAATATTTCGCCACTATAACAAATAATTACGAGTGTGTGTGTATATAATTATATATACAGCTCTCTGGGAGAAATTAAAGACCTAGGACAATGCCTCAAGCGGCCCTTGGATCCTACCCCCTGAGTTTCTTCAAGGAAGAAACTCAGCCAGAAGCACAGATCAAGATGGTACCATCCAGCAGGAAATGCAAGATTTTGACCCAGTACCTATAATAGATCTACAGTGCCTAGACCTGGACAAGCTAGGAGTGGTTTGCAAAGACTGGGGCCTGTTTCATTTGGTCAACCATGATGTTCCTTTAACCCTTTTGAGCCAACTTCAAGACCATGCCATAAAGCTTTTTTCTCTATCTTTTGAATCCAAACAAGCGCGATTCACTAGCCCAGTGTCCTACTTCTGGGGCACCCCTGCTCTGACTCCGTCCGGAGCACCCCTTTCTACAGGCCCTCAGAATGTGAACTGGGTAGAAGGTTTGAATGTTCCTCTCAAGCAACTTTCTCAGTTTGAAGCTGAAGATCCCATGCTTGATGCTTTCAGGTACACTTTTCATTTCCTTAAATCTTGTCCTTTTTTTATCTTGTCGATGATTGTCAAACTTCTTGAGATTTGCACTTACATGGTATAATTTGTTCTGATCGGTAAATTATGACTCTAGGTTTTGAGAGAATATATATATATATATATATATATATATATATGTGCCATTTTATTTTTGATTTTTTTTTAAAAAAAATCAACAGACATATTTCTGTACCTTTTAACTACTTGTGACTTGTGAGCTGGTTGTTTCAAGTTTTAATCAACAGCAATTGAAAACCTGAATGAGAGTTTTGGTCAAATTCAGAAACTTTTGAGACCAAATGGTACTGCTATGCAACAACAGCACAAAAAATGTTAAAGCTATAAAACTGTTAGTACTTGCTAAATTTGTACCGAGCTTAATTAATAATTAAGATGATAATGGACATGGTACTAAGTTTGTGAATTAACGATTATCGTGATAGTAAGAAATGTTCTGAAAGTCTTGCATCTCTTTTGTCACTAGTTATATAATATTTCTGGATATAACGTTTAATTTTAGATTTGTAACAAAAAATTGACCCAAATATTCGTCCTTGGATCATAGTAATTCTGTATTTCAACGATAATGGTAAAAGAGACGCTCTCATAACTTTCTTTTTCCTTACTTTCGTTGGTGCTGTGTGAATGTAATAAATTACTTTATGAATTGCATTAATTAAAATTGGACCGAAATTAATAAGAACGCAAATTAGGTGATATTGGGCATCGTGGAAAGAGGAAAATATGTTTGGTTCAATTCTTGTGTTTAATTTTTTCTACAAATAATTTTAAGAACTAAAAAGAAGTTTTTTAAGACAACAAATGTTGTTTTTTTTTTGTATTAATTTACAGAAATTGGTTCCCCCACATCATTATTATCTTTTCAACCTGTGTGATGGTAAAACCATTATCATTATCATAGTTAGTTATCACACCTATCATTTTTTAAATTATTTTTTTTATCATAACCGATCACTTCTCATATTGTTATCGCTATTATTATTAATTCTATTTCCTACTGCAACGGTATTTCCTCCGCGTCGAATCGGCTGTGACTAGGGTTGGGAACAAAATGACAGGCTAAAAGTGTAATCGGTGGTATTGTTATTAATAAAATTACATTATATAAATTATATTGAAATTTTATTTGGACTTACCCATATTTGATCCTTATACTCTTAGAATTATTTTAATTAAAACCTTTTATTTTTTTTAAATTGATTAAAATTTTTTATTTTAAAAAATTTATTGATTCGAATACTTTATTATAACTTCATTAATTATTCATATTATTCATATGACGTTGCAGATTAAAATTAACAATCATCAATAATTGAACGACACATTGCATGTTAAAATTTATTGAAATCACTGTTTCTCAATAAAAAAATATTTTAAAATATTTTTATTAATAAATCAATACATAAAATTAAAAAAAAAGTGATAGAAAAATACCAAATCACCCCACCCCTGTTATCTTCCAACCCTATCGTTTTTCATTGACAAATCCATTGTCTCTCCTCTTTGTCATTAACCGGACCTTTCAAGTTTCAATTTACAGTTGAAAGAATGATGGAACCCAAAAGTTTCAATTTACTAAAATTGGTCTTGTAACAAAACTTGAACTAAGCAAATGGAATCTTTTCGTTGGATTTGAAGATGGGCTTTCTCTTCCTCACCCTTCTTCCTTTTCTTCCTTTTCAAATTTCATCCTCTCAAACACTGCCTGCATATTAATTCACAGTTGGGCTTTCTCTTCTTCTCCCTTTTTTCTTTTCAATTTTCGTTCTCTCAAACATTGCCTGCATATTAATTCAGGTTTGTGAGAGAAAATGACCGTACTTATTCGCCTGGCTAAGAACTAAATTCCCTTGACTTCTTATTTTCCATCCCTACAAGGCTCCATAACTATAACTGTCATTGAACATTGCTGGTACACGATATATAGCTACAAAATTAATGGTCCAGTCCAGGCTAAATATAATCTAGTTTTATTTAGTTAATCATAAAGCAAAGGAACAAAACGAAATAAAATAAAAAAACCTTTGTAGCCAAAGGCTCCAGATAGAGAAGATTGACCAAAACCATCGAAATCGAAGTAAAAAAATTATAACATTGAAATATTTCAGCCTTGTTGGAGAACAAGTTCAGAAAAAGCATGATATGGATTTGGGTTAATGTGATTTTCAGTGATTTAGAGATTACAAATTTTCAGCTAGAGAGATTGGAGAATGAGTTTGACAAAAGAACTGAAGCTCAATGATGAAAAAGAAAGAGTTGGTTAAGGATAATAGGCCTGGGGCAGTTTATCTTTTCTAATTTACTTTTAAACACTAAATATTAATTTAATAATAATTTTTTTTAATTTTAATTTTTTAATGAAAAACTGTGAAATTTTGAGCCTACAATGTCACATGCATACTCATAATTAGTTACCGTTAATTTTAACATGTTACGGCAAATTAACGAGTTAACGGAAAGTCGGAATCAATAAATTTTTAAAAATATAAGGTTTCAATTAAGATGAAAAATTATAAAAGGTCTTAATAAAAAAATTTTAAACTGTACGAAGACCAAATGTGTAATAAATCTAATTTTATTTTAATGAATATGTGTTTTAAGTGATAATTAACAATATTTTATTAAGTAAGATGAAATACAATTAATAAAATAAATTATTATTATATTGTACGATATACTTGTATATTACTTTATCATGCTGAGACAAGAATGAAATTCAATTGTTAAAGCAATTTGTTATTACATAGTTATCACCTCTAAGATTTTGAAAACCAAATACATAGCTTTGTCTATTAGATTCAAACGTTATGAACGCCCAATATACCCCTAATCCCAAATGGGAATCATAATCCTTGCATACATAATATAACTATGGTTAGGATATTCTTGCAATCATTTCAACCATATCATTGTGGTCTGCTACAGTAATCACTATTTATTAATAAAATAACAATCATTATCAATGAAATGCCATTATAATCATTGTTATTAGTATTAGCATCATCACAACTACTATTGCGTTGCGGCAGCCATTGTCACCTTGTACATAATCCATAAGATGATAGGATATATATATATATATATATAAGTACATAGAATAGAATTTATTTATATTTATCTATGTTAATCTCTGTTAGTTCAAATGTATGTTTTTGTAATCTATTTATACGATAATACAGAAAGCACCAAGGGAGTGACATTCACTAAAATTCTAGTATTCTATAACAATAATCTTATCTCCATAATTAAATCATGTTATTAACTAATAATTTCTTTTTAATAAATTTCTTAATCTAAATATTATAAAAAAATTCATTCATATACCTATTTAAGAAAATATCAGCAATAAATGAGAAATATTTTTTAGTTTCTTAAAATCAAAAGCATGAAATGACACCAAAAAAATCCTTAATCACGAGCATTTGATATTCTGAAATTTTAATTCGAACCTGCTATATATATACGTACTTAAACAATTTAATTAATCCGTACAGATATACATTAAATGTCAATATTTTAATTAATTAATGCATTTGGACTTTTAGCTGCAATTAATTTAGTTCACAAGCCCTATTAACAAGAAACACTAAAATAGATGGAGCAAATGAATAGTAATTAATGTTCATTGTCTCACTTTTATTGTAGACTATGTGGTAATTTTGGTAATTTTCGACAGTAGTGTTTTCATGATTTTTGGATATTCGTATACAAATTTTACCACATATCCTATTTTGGTCCTTCGCGTTCTAAAAAATAGTTTTGACCCTTCATTTTTCTAAAATATATTTTTGGTTTAGAGAGAGAGAGAGAGAGTCATGGTCGAACCAGATTTCGGCTATTTTGCCACCAATCTTGTATTGAGATTGTTTATCTTGGTAAAAAGGGTGTATTCATTATCCTTTTCAAGTAATAAAATAATTAAAAAAATAAATATAAACAAAAAAAATTCAATTTGATTTGTTATTTTTTTTAATGTGTATTGAAATGTTTTTTTAAAGTTTCAAATGAGTTTACTGACCTTAGTTAAGTGATTTGAGAAAAAAATTATGTCGGAAATGGGTTTTAGGGGTTTGAAAACTGCCTTTCAATGATTCTAGCGATGATTTTGATGAATTTTAGTTCGCCAGAAGTTACAGGTGGGCGACGAGTTCAACCCAACACGTCGCTACCTAACGCAACCAGCACGTCGTCCATGTTTATATATATATATATATATGGGCCTTTTCGACCTGTTTCTACATGCCTGCACGCATGGTTAGCTTTTTTTTTTTTTTTTTTTTTTTTTGCAATTTATGTTTGTCCTTTGTTATTGAATCGTGTGTGAAAATTATAGAAAAGCAATAGTTATTTTCTTTTCTGATAGACTGACTATATATATATACATATTATTTTTATTATTTAAATTTGATCTCTTCAATTTGTCATTTTTCATAAAAGAGTTTATGACATTATTATTTTTATTTTTTATATAATTTTATTTATTAATAAATATATATTTTTTACGTATTGATTTTTAAATAAGTTTTTAAAAACAAATAACCAATTAAATAATAAAAATTATGTTTTTTTATTTACTTATTCTTTATATAATCAAATTTTATTGAAATCAATTTTGTAGTTATTTTTACTCCATTTTATTAATTTCAATATAATTCTTACAATTTGATTTTTTTTAATATCTTTTGATTTATATTACACACTCTATTCCATTAAGTATGAGCATGCTGTATATAAAAAAATTAAGATTATTAATTTTATTAAAAATTAAATATGCATCTATACACATAACATCAATTATTTGCTATTAATTTTTTTAAATATTCTAAAATTAATTTTTTTAAATAAAATAATTAAAATAATATTTTAGAATAACCACTTAATAATTCAAACACATCTTTTTATAGTATTATTATTGACTATTTTTTATAAATATATGTGAATCAAAAGTACATATTTTTAAAAAGTTAAAAAAGATTAATTTGTTAATTTTTTATACAAGTCTTTATATCAACAACTGTTTTATTTTTTGGGTGTAATTTTGAAAAAAAAATTTAATTTTATATTAAATTTTTATTTATATTATCACATGTTTTTATTTAAGAATGAATGCAGAATGAAGATCATATCTTTGTTTTTTAAAACTATAAAATTTATAAAAAAAAATAATAAAATATAAAATTTTGATTGAAAATTATAAAATTAAATAAAATTTTATCTTTTACTTTTGATTAAATATATTTTAATAAAACGATATGATAACAGAAACTATCAAATTAAAATAAAATATAAGAATACGGTTAGTATCTAACTATATGATAATTTGTTTTTGTGGTTAGGATGAATGATAAACTAGTTCGAGGCTTTGTTCTAGCTAGGGTCAAGGGTCCCTATTCCTTAATCAACTGTCATGACGAATGCGTGCTCCGTTGAGAAATTGTTGATCAAGTTATATTATGTTTAATATTCTTATTGATATGTTTTAGTATTTACTGATAAAGCGCGCAATAATTTGGTCCTTAACGAATACCTTGTCAATCATACCAACTAGAAAGACCTCGAAGCAAAATTATTTCATATCCATCGCAGAATGTCAATCAGTACCAACATTGTGGAAGAAAATTGAAATTTTCCTGACAATTTGAAATTTTTTACGTATTCTCCAACATGATACTATTAATCAAAAAATTATGTACAAGCTAAAAGGTGAGTTTAGAGCATTGGCATATTTTTATTGAAATGTTGGATTTGAATGAGTTAATAAAAATAAATTATTAAATGCAATCCATTAGTCCAATTGATTTTTTCATCCGGCGAGCCTAGAAGGCCAGAAGGGGTGACCAGATTGCCAGACTAGAGACAGTTAGCACAACAGTAGAGAGAGCTCACGGGAACACGTGTCAAAAAACAAATCGGGTGGACCTCTCGCAGGACGCATATTCTTCAATAACCTCCCATTTTGCTTATAATTTCCCCTTTAACTAGTAGCAGCTCTGCTTAGATTTTGGTTTAAAAAACCAAAGAAATTAAGCATGTCTGAAATATTGAACCTTAAATCCTACCCTCCTGTGTTTCGCCAACAAAACACTGGCCTGGACAATACCACCAAAGAAATTCAAGAGGTTATTAATGATGATGCCGTACCTGTATTAGACTTTCAGTGCCTAAACCTGGATGAACTCGGAGAGGCTTGTAAAGATTGGGGCTTGTTTCGTTTGGTGAATCATGGGATTCCTGTAACCCTAATGAGCCAGCTCAGAGACCATGCAAGAAACCTTTTATCTCTTACTTTTCAATCAAAACAAGAACTATTCACTAGCCCCGTATCCTATTTTTGGGGCACCCCCGCCCTAACTCCAACTGGGGCATCTCTTTCAATAGGACCTCATAACATCAACTGGGTAGAAGGTTTCAATGCTCCTCTTAGTCAACTCTCTCAGTTTCATGGTGGAAATCCCGTGCTTGATTGGTTCAGGTACAAGTTTTCGAACCTTTCATTTGTCCTGTTTTTGTGGACTTCTTAGTTTTGTACAGTTTTTTTGAGTGGGCAAGAATGGTATAGAAGGGACATGTCGATTAGATTGTCTAGATCTTTTGGGAAACGGAGAAGATTGGCATGTGGTCAGCGTTAATAACTTTTTCATGGTTAACGATTGGACAGTTTGTATTGAAGTTATAAAAGCAATAACATTAGCGAAAGATTTTGATTACTATAACTATTAAACCGACAAATATTTGCATCATGCATTTCTTCTGGCCAAATTCAATGGCAACAGAGTATGAACTCGTGGCACCTTATAACAAAAAGTAAAACCCAATAAATCTTAAGGTGACAGCCACTCATGGCACCTCGGTAACAGTGTTAAACCCAGCCTATTCCCACCGTTTTCGGAATTTAGCCTCATATTAATAGTTGAGACAAGAAGGCGCTTGTACAGCTGTTGCCCCATTTGTCGTTGCCCATTTGGGAATTGATGTGATTGGCATGTGCCTCAGAATTCTTGAGAAAACAAAAGGAGGATGGGGATTGGCAATGATTTCTACGAGTTGGGTCTCAAAGACCTACATGGCCCATGCCGTTGAGCTTCCAGAAATTTTTTTAAAAAATTAATGCATTTTTTTCCAAATTAAGCATTAATCCATTAAAAGCAAAAGGAGCCCTGTTCCAAAGATAGGGAATGCAACCCGGTGACAGATACATCAATATCACAATAGCCATTTAGCCTGTGATTCTGTGAATGAATTTGTATTTTCTTTTTAGGTTAGTTTATTATATATGTATTTATATTCTTTTTCGTACAATTTTCCTTTCTTTTTTTGTGGTTAATTATTACATAGTCTGAACTTTGGAATTGAATAGCACAATCACAAGATGGATTCGAATTCCCCATACAATGCAGCACACGGGTGCATTATTTTATGTCAAATCCTGCATAAATGGAAAAATATCCCATGCTTAGAACTTGTAGAGTGAAAAGAAGGAACAAGCATATATGATCATGTCTTTATTTGTGTTAATTAAAGCCAGATTATGCTAGCTGTTCTGATACCATTTGTTTCTCTCTCTTATTCTTTCATCACATGTCTCTTCTAATTGTTGATAGATCAGTAAAAAAAATAAAAATGCCACCTTAATTATAAAAAGAAATTCTCATGTTGGTTTGATTTTACATTTTTCTTTTCAATTTTAGCTGTAGTTCAAGCGAGATTCAAAACCTTTGTCAAATGTGTCTATTGTTATATGCACAGTGTATGTCGCATTATTCTCCTTAGCGTGTTTCTTTTTGTGAACATTTTTTTTTTCACTAGATTTTTGTTGGAAGAATATGGAAGGCACCTGGCTAGACTTGCAACGACTATATTCGGAGCAATGGCCAAAAACCTCAATCTTGATGCAGAAAAATCAAAATCGTATCTGTCAGAATCTACAGGATTTATACGTGTTTACCGATACCCACAATGCTCTAGGGAAAGCGAGGCATGGGGCATGAATGTGCACACAGACAGCTCAGTTCTTTCAATACTGAACCAAGACCAAGTGGGTGGACTTCAAGTTCTCAAGGATGATAAATGGCTCCATGTAAAACCTATTCCTAACTCATTGATTTTCAACCTTGGAGATATGATGCAGGTCCGTTTATCTTGAAATGAGCTCAATAACTTGTTATGTTAATTACTTTTATTTATTTATTTATTTTTTTACCAGTTTCTTATATTAATGATATTCACTAATACATACTTTTAAATTTGTTAATCAGGCTATGAGTGACGACCAATACACCAGTGTGAAACATAGAGTGAAGGTGAACAAAGACGAAGAGAGATTCTCCATCTGCTACTTTGTCTTCCCAGCTGAAGGCAGTGTCATACAGAGCTCAAAGTATAAGCCTTTCACTTACAGTGATTTCCAATCACAAGTACAACAAGACGTAAAGACACTAGGATTTAAAGTTGGGCTTGAGAGGTTCAAGCTCAATGTCACTGAGGCTGCTGGTTGATTTTGCTTCGCTGATTGAAAATAGCGATCAAGTTCCCTCCTCTAATTTAGTAAGGTCTGTTCTACAATTACAAATAAATGTTGAAAATGGCATATCAGCCATCAGTATTAGTTTTGATCACCAGTATATGTAAGAAACATCATAGAAGGAGGTGGACGTTGCTTCTCGTCGGACAAAATGGGTGCGCAAGCTGAGGAGCCAATCTTTTCATTTGATTTGGGCCACTGTGGGCTTGCATATTCTGTATTTAAAAGACATATAAGCCCCAACTCTTGCGAAATTAATAATAATGATATATATATTGCCTTGAGAAATTCTATCTGATAATCATCAAACGTGCTATACTGATATCACCTTCTCCTTATTATTTTTCGTTTTATTGTTGTTATATTTATTTACTTTCGTTTTATAAAATCCTAAATTAACTGTGGATTACAAAACCCTAACTGCCTCCCTTTTTTCTCTCTATATATTTCCTCTGGAAACCACTATGGCTCACCTCAAGTGGATTGTTGGGGCTTCTGTTTTTTCTTTTTCCCACATTTCTTTAATTCAATCTATGTTCTTGGATTGTACGAGTTCCTAGCTAGCTATCTCCTCCTTGTTCATAATTAATAGTTATGGAATTTTTATATCTTCTATTCGCAGTAATTATTATTCCTATTTTAGGACTTAATCGACCGGGGTTGGAGATCATAATATTGATTTATTCTTTAGTCTTTTCTTACTTTCTTAAATGGGTAATGGGGTGATATGATGTTGCAACTATTGAATTGTCTTTGATGGATTAGATTCTACTCAATTGGAAAGCTATTGTTTTATGCTTTTGTGGATGGATTCCATCGATCAATGAAGCTACTCTGAGGCAATGCAGTAAATAAATTTCGTAAGTTTTGCCTTTTATACAATTAGATTTATGTTTTTTTTCCTTTCTATATTGTCTTTATGGATTATCAATCCCAGTTGTACAGATTGATCTTATTTCAATGTATAGGTATTTCCTCAGAAACAATTTATTCTGAAAATGATTGTTTGATCCTATATATCCTAAAATTTAATGATGCGAGATCTTGGGTTTTTTTTTTCCTTCACAGTACTCAACTAGTACTAGTGTTTCCTTAGGAATACATAATGAACCACCTTTTCTCGTGACCAGCTAGAAATGATTTTTTTTTACTTTTTATTTACGCATTCAAGACTCTTAACAAAATTAGTCTTTTAGGATTTGAATTTATGATTTTTTATTGCAATAGGCCGCTTCAATTGGACTACAAACTCTTTAGTAAAAATGAAAAATCTTCCATGCTAGTGCTCTGGGTGGTTTAATGGCAAAAATTATTGGTAAACTATATTGATTTATGGTAATTTGGACTCCAAATTATTATATTTTTAAGTAAGTAGTACTCTTCTTCCGTTCTCTTTGACTGAAAACATTTATGTTTAAGCATTCTAGTTTTTTTTTTTTTTATTATTAATTGTTAAAAATTACCTCAAACTATTGGATTTATTGTAATTTAAGGTGTTTATTATCGATTTGGATTATTTGGATCCTAAACTATTTTTTTTAGCAAGTATTATCCTTCTTTCGTTTAAAAAATTCATTTTGTGATTTTTTTAAAGAATATATATATAATGATTGTTAATGCAAATTACATGTTCAAATGAATTAATTGAACTAAATAAAAGGAAAAAATGCTGTATTGTTAAAGTATCATTGGGATTACTTCTAGAATTTATGATTTTTTATATCAATATTTTAAGCCCGATTAAGTCAAGAACACAAGAAAAGGAGACATGAATCGAATTTGAAGTATATCTACAGGAAAGCATAAGTTCTAAAGATACTTCCAACAACATTTTAGTAATGCAGTCTTTTTTTATCCATTCAGTGTTCTCATTAGAATAACATGCCGTCTGTATATATATATTGAATTTTTTTCTTTTTTTACAAAAAAATAACGAAAAAAAGATAATATAAATTGCTATAATCCCAATAGTTTGAAAATAATTTTTGCTATTAAACATTCAAACTACCGATTAACGTTAACGATTTGATAATAATAAAAAAAATTATTCAAAAAATAATTGTTTTAGATCCAAATAACTCAAATGAATAATAAAAATTTTAATTGCCATAATCTAATCATTTGAGAGCATCTTTTGCCATTAAATCTCTCCGAGGAATTCCTTGCAGCAATTTGAGATTGCTGATATGGGCACTTTTGCCCCAGGTGGTGGATCTACTTTTGAATTTCACGCCGGTTATCAAAACTTGGTAAGGCCGTGGCTTTGCCACTAAAGAAGCTATACGATTTATTCCATCAGTCAGTTTCAATTTCGATGTGTATCACTCAAGTTAGCTACTAACTGAATTCGTTGCTCAAGAGCCCATAATTCATCCCAGAAAAAAAGAAAATAAAAATTTAACTGAACTAATGGTTACTTCAAGTCATTAAAACAAAAAAAATCATAATTCAGCCCTCAAGTTTGTAGTACTGACAAATGTACGAGAATTCCTCCAAGCTAATTGACAAGATGATCTCTTACAAGTTATAATCCCACTAGCTAGCACCTATTTTGCCGAGGTTCCCAATTACTGCTCCGTGGGTCGACATACATTTAACCTCCTTTAATGGTATTGGATTCGATTAATATCTTTGTTTAAATATCACAGGAATAATATAAATACATATAACTATATTAATTAGCAATGTTAATTTCAATAAAATTATCCTATAAAATATTAATACTAATAAAATACTTATTAAAAAATTCAAACTATTAAAATTAGATATTTTATTTATGGTTCAGGCAATGTTAAATGAATTATATAATTCATCAATATTAGAAAAGACGTGTAATTCAAATATCTATCACAAATAAGTCCCGACTTATAAATATGATATGAATAGTGGAGTGCAACTTCATTTTTTCTGTGTTTTTCAATGCAAAAACCATAAAAAGCAAAAAAGAAACATCAATTTCATTTCATTTTATTTTTTCATACCAAAAAAAAAAAAAAATAGAAATACAAGGCCAAACAGTGTTTTAAACCCGTGGATTGCAAGAATCAACAATATATATATATATATATATATATCAATTAGAAAATTAGAAACTCATTTAGTGTGAAGATGTAAATTTGAATGAGTTAAAACACTTTTTGTCTTTTTTTTTTTTTTTTTCACAAGCAAGGAGATACCATGAATTAGTTATCAAAACCAATTAGAAAGAACAAGAACATTTTGAGGGATTTGCACTTAGTTGTGTTTCTATTGCATCCATCAAATTCTTCGTGCCAGGAGTTACTCATGCAATTTTGTTGTGGGGTGGTTGTCGAAATAATATTATGGAGGATCATGCAATAAACGAAGAATCCTCCCGTGGAAGAGTTTAATGATAACTTTTTTAACCAATCTTCACATATTCTCCAGATAATGAAAGGAGAAAATTGTGGGGAATGAATCATCACACAGTACCTATTTGCGTACAGTTTCAAACTGCAGTAAAATACCATCATGAAAACGACATTTAAAAAAAAAAAAAACTTATGAAATGCACCCAAATTTTGCAGTAATTCAACGGTTGACATCCCATCATCAAACTTTAGAAACTCAATAAAGAAACAAAGCTGCACCCAGTACTTTTAACATCGTCTCTACCCATCATCGTCACATCGCAGGCATTAGAATTTAGAAGCCCAAAAATAAAAACAATAAGAAAAGGGTCCACACAAAATCTTGACCCATTAAATAAATATCTGAATATACTCCTGCGTCGTATAATACTGTTTGCACGTTCTTTTTATTAAACCCTAACTACTACCGTACGCATCCCAATAAAATTGCAAAGTAGTAATTAAATATTATCGCCAAGATAACAGTAACAATAATAAAAATAAATAAATAAATCAAATATTAAATACAAACAAACCAAACCACATTTTTAGGGAGAGAAGGAGAGATTTGCTTTGTTGCTTGGCGAGAAAGAATTGACCGAGTGAAGGGGGGCTTGAGAGAGTAACCCAGCCCCAGCCAACCATATAAAAGCTCTCCGTTTTTTCGAGGTCACTTTTCTCTCTCTCTCTGACCGACTGACCAAAGAAAGAAAAATTTCAAAGTTCTCTGCTTTCGATCAAAACTTGTTGCCAATGGCACTGGACTTTGAGAATCAACAATCTGCGAGCAGGAGGAAACGCAAAAGAACCAAAAGAGACCTTTCTCCTAATGAGAAAGTAGAGGTAATAATAATAACGCCCTTTTCTTTTTGAATGGTTCTTGTGGGGTTTAGACACCCTTTTGCCTGTTTTTGATTGATTGTGTTTTTTTATTACTTTTTTTTGTTTGTTTATTGAATTTTGAGTTTAATGTCCAGGTTTTAAGTTGGCTTTCTGTTTGATTGGTACTGCATTGTGGTTTTTATTGGTTTATGTCACTGTTATTGTTCATCTATGGTTTTAATATGTTTTATTTTTGGACATGCAAGGCTTGATTATGGGTTCTTTAGTGGGTAACAAATAATTAGTCAAATTTAATGTAATGGTTTTTGTCTTATTTTTCTTGTCAAGTTATTACCTCGCTATTATATGGAAATTTGCCCTATTGGGTTTTTTCGTTTTGTTAAATTTTGGTAACGTCTTAAATTTGCGCAGTAGTTATTTATTTATATTTTGACAATGTAATGGTTTTTTTTCATATCTGTGTTTGTTCAATTTGGATAAAGTATTTGTATGTTAAATTTTCAAACTTTATAGGTAAGGAGTGAGGAAGATGGATTTCAGGGCTCATGGCACCCGGGAACTGTGATTGCATTTAGTAGGCAAGGGTTGGACTTGAAATATGAAGTTAAATACAATCATATACTTACTGCTGACGAGTCTGACTATCTTGTTGATCAAGTGTGTGTTTCCCTTCCCGTTGATGACACTGATTGTGCCAATGCAAACCGGTGTAACTATCGTGGCCTCATTAGGCCAGCACCACCGACGTTTCAGTTTGGCAAATATGGTCTTCCTTATGGAATGTGTGTGGATGTGCATTACCAAGAAGCTTGGTGGGAAGGTGTGATTTTTGATCACGAGGATGGTTCAGAGGAGAGGAAGGTATTTTTCCCTGATTTGGGCGATGAAATGATGGCAAGTATCAGTAAGGTAAGGATTACTCAGGATTGGAATGAAGTCGATGAGACTTGGGGGCAACGTGGGACCTGGTTGTTTCTTGTGGTGATTGAGGAATACGAACAAAAACAATATATTCCTGTTTCCATAAAACAACTTTGGTATGATATGCGAGAGAAAGATAGTTTTGAGAAGCTTGGAGAGTGGACTTCTACCGTGAAAGCTTTGTGGAGAGACTTGGTATTGGAGGCAATTGATGATAACCTTAAACTAGTGGTGAATCATCTTTTGCAGGTGATAGGCATTCCAGAGGCTACACAGCAGGCATTGCAGATCGCTAAACCTGTTAATGATGTTAACATGCACTGGAAAGAAGGTCTGGTTGAGACTCATGACATAATAACAGTTGAAAATTCACCAAATGATGATTTGCTGTTGAATCCTAGCTGTCCTGATGTTGAATCCACTCTTGACGGGCTCGTGCCAAAATTTTCCTGTGATGATAAACCAGCTGTGTGTATGCAGCCTCAGACTTTTTTCACCTTGCCTTCTAACCTGGATGGAATTCCTGTTCTCAGTTCTATAATCAGCGATGAAGGATTTTCTAACTCCAATTCCAATAAACTCAATTGGTCATCTTCAGGTTCAACATGCTTCCAAAGGGGTTGGTTACCTGCTGGCTCAGACATAGTTCCTGGACCTGAATTTTGCCCAGATGCCATTATCAAATATGCACAAATGGGTGACGAAAGGCCCAGGAGCACTCTAATCAATGATGTGAGGAAGCATCTTTTACATCAGAAGTGGAAAATTGAATTCATGAGAGATAAAGGCATGCCTAGACTGCGTTACACCTCACCCGATGGGAAGCTGTACTATTCTCTTCGCCAGGTTTGTCTAAATTTTAGTGAAACTGACAGAGGGATTCTTTCTACACCCTCTGAAGGTAAGCAGAGCAGTTTGCATACTTCTCGTGGTGATTCATCTTCTCATATTGAGCAACCACCAGAGAATTGGGATCCTTATTGTAGCTCTAAAGCTGTGAGTTCTTCTAATTCTGAAGTGGTTGTTTATGAACCTGAATATTGTCCTGAAGCAATTGTGGAGTGGTGTAATCGCTGGTGTAAGCATGGATCTGGGAAGAGATCCTGGGGAAAGCTTAAAAAAGCTGATATGGCACTAAGAGCTAGGAAGCATCTTGCAGCCCTGGGATGGGTGTTTGGCCGTAAAACATTTAATGGGAGGAGTCTACTTTACCATCGTTCTCCAATGGGGAGGACATACTGGTCACTACGACAAGCCATCAAAGACAATTTGGATGAAGGAGCTGATATTTCTAGAGATATGGAAACGGAAAATGTCAGTGACATAGTTGAGGGACAGTTTTCTTGTGAAAAACTATCTTCTGCAATTTGTAGAATGGATATTCAGAAGTTAAAAAACTGTTCTAAAGAGTCTTTTCACATATCACAGTCCAGAAAACATCACGAGCTGTACAAAATAAATGTTCAAACGACTAGAAAGGCACGAAGGAAAAGAAAGGATGGTTTACATGTTGAAACCCATTCAGATGCCCAAAACACAAGCTGCCCAAAGTCAATAAGTAGGATTCCATCTGGAGTTTCGATTAAATTACAAAATGATAAGAAACATACTAAGAGGGTTCGTGTGCTACGATCAAGCAAAAGAGTGCAGCGTGTGGTAGCTCCTGACCCATCACATCATAAACCTCGAACTGTGTTGTCTTGGTTGATAGACAATAATATTGTATTGCCAAGGACAAAAGTACATTACGGTAGCCGAAAGGACAGAGATCGAGCTGTGGAAGGGCGCATAACTCGTAGTGGGATCAAGTGCAGTTGTTGCGGGAAGGTTTACACCCTTAGTGGCTTTGAACTTCATGCTGGCAGCAAATCCGGCACGTCAGCTACTAGCAAATACTGCAAGCCAGCTGCCAGCATCTTTCTAGATGATGGGAGGTCTCTGCTAGAATGCCAGAGACAAATGATGCATGACGAGAAGATGAATAATCGCAAGGCAAAAACACCTTATATTTTGAAAAGAAGTTGGGATCAAGATGAGAATGATAATGTATGCTCTGTTTGTCACTATGGTGGTGAATTAATTTTATGTGACCAGTGTCCATCCTCTTTCCATAAAAGATGTCTGGGCATGAAGGTGAATTATGTGTTTGGTCTTCGGTTCTTTTAGAAATTCTTGTAATATTTTATTATTGAGATATTTGACTTCTCATGTGAGACTAAACTGTTGCGCTTTTTTTTGACACTCTTTCATGCTTCCATAGGATGTTCCGGGTGGGGACTGGTTCTGCCCATCATGTTGTTGTAAAATTTGTGGCAAAAACAAATTGGAAAAAGACACCAAGGATTTTATTGATGGCGTTCTTAATTGTACTCAATGCGAGCATAAATGTAGGTCAATTTTATCTGTTTGCAGCTAAAGCTTATAACAAATGGATGTACAATTTGCATGTTTGTGATGTCTCTAATACGCCTTTTGTCTATCTGATGTAGATCATATTCTGTGTCTGAGGAATAATGGAACAGATGAATGGGAGCATTATCCTAAAGAAAATTGGTTTTGCAGCAAAAAATGCAAAGCGGTACTTCAAACTCACTTTCTCCTCCTATTCTTGTTGTGTGTAATCAAGCTGGATTTCCATGTATTTGGCTGTTAATGATGATTACTTGGAGAACAGAATTAGAATTACTTAACTTGTTTTCATCCAATTAACATATAATATCATTGTTGATGACTTGCTTCGTTAGCCTTGTTTATGGTTTTCTGGAAACTCCTAAGGCAGAATTCATGCTAATGGCTTCTGAATCAGCTGGTTTTGTTTTGCATATAGCTGGTTTTGATTCCATTTTAGATGAAGCTGAAGAGTCAGTGGATTTCCTACACCTGCCCAATCAACCAAGATCATTTTAGGGGCAAAGATTCGGGGATGATAGTCCTGAAGTAAAATTGAAGTAAAAATGTGAAAAAAATGGTTATATTGCTACTTTGGAAGGATGATGGTATGCAGTTAGAAGCTTTAGAACCTTAGGCATAATAAGTTCTTGATCTGTTCCCTAAGTTCTACCCCCTATAGAGACATAAGAGAACTTAATCAATATGCTACCATTTAATTTACACTCTTTCTAGAATTTGTCTTTCTTCCCTTCTCTTGTTTTTTTAGCATGGCTACACCGCCTTCAACTGTTTGATTGAGTAGGAACTATATGCACAAGTTTTAAGGGGGTGGTTCTTTTTCTCAGATTTTTAGAGACTTTATGATGTGATTTATGCGATCAAAGTGAAACTAGAAGTTTTTTTCTATTAAGAGATTCAAAGTTGTGCTATTATAATATTAAATCAGCCTGGTTGGTTACACTTAATGATGTTGTATTGGAAGTATATGAGGATCAATTGACAGTATCAATTAATGTATGAGCTGTAAAGATGAGTACGAATTTCATTGTAGGCTATTTTTTATCATGAAACAAATGAGAAATCACCGTAGACTATCATATCATGCATGGTGTGGTAGCTTATACTTGCCACAAAAGTATATATTCAATGACCATGCTTCTTGGAATGTCATGTGGGTTGCCACACTTTGATTTTACTGTTGTGATTGTGTCAATATTGTAGATATTTTTGGGCCTCCAAAAGCTTCTTGGAAAACCAATTCCAGTGGGTGTGGACAATCTTACTTGGACATTATTCAAGTCTATGCAGTCTGATAATCATAAACTTGATGATTATGATGATGAGACCCTGGTTGAGACCTACAGCAAGCTCAACATCGCACTGGATGTGATGCATGAATGTTTCGAGCCTGTTGAGGAATCTTGCACCAGGAGGGATCTTATGCAAGATGTTATTTTTAGTATTGGGTGAGAATTCATATTCTAAGACAAATCATCCTAGCCACTTTCTTTTGCCTGTTACATGGTACTTGGTGTATTTTATTCATAGAGCATACTTGAAGTAGTAACTTAAATTTGCACAGCATAAATCTAACTATTTTGGTTATCATATTACTGAATCAAGAGGCTCCCGATGTTGTCATAATTTGTTTTTAGTTTGAAACACAAACAAAATTCATATTGAGCACATTTTAATTGGTTGCCAATGTGTTTTTCTATAACAAGTGCAGAAAAACTGGAAGCTTTCAGAAACATGTTTCAGGAAGAAAAACAAGTATACACAGAGACAAAAGATGGTTTAAAAAATAATGAAAACAAGTTCAGAATGAGAAAATTGTTTGGATTTGCGCTATTTCCACCCCAACAACACCACATCCCCCCCCCCCCAACCCAACATAATTTGCTCTACACACCATTGTAATTATTTTCTGTTCCCTACTTATTTTGTTGATCTTTTGTCATCTTTTATGAAATGTGTGGATTAGTCACTGGTCTCTCTTGGTACATTCTAATTTATGGATTATTGAGTTATCATTATCTAGCAACAGTGAGGATGAGTTTTTATGTTATTGGTGGCAGGTTATTGTCAATTGACTATCTACTTGACCATTATTCTTCTTGATTTTGAAATAATTCTATGTGCTTACCTTGATTTTGATTCTCTCCATACCAGATGCCAGGCATGGTAAATGTTTCTGTGTTTGACTTTTGCAGGTCGGAACTTAACCGTTTGAACTTTCAGGGGTTCTACACCATACTTTTGGAGAAGAATGATGAATTAGTTACTGTGGCTACTGTAAGGTAACTTTCATAGAATCTCTTTATTCAAAAATTGGTAGTTAGCGTGAGATTAGAGATATTCTCTGAGTGGCCTTGCATTTATGTTTTGTTAGATAATGGTTATCTGACAATATAGCTTCTTGTTCAAGGATTTATGGAGACAATGTGGCAGAAATACCACTTGTTGGTACTAGATTCCAATATCGGCGACTTGGAATGTGTCGCATACTAATGGATGTGCTTGAAAAGGTAATGCCCTGTGCTGTGGGTGTAACCTGGCATCTTCTTTTATTAGTTTTTATTTTTATTTTTCTCAATTCCCTCATTCTTTTTGAAATTTGGCTTCTAACTCCGGTATTGCTTTCCTTCACTTTAAACTTTGATAATTGCAAAACATCAAATGGCTGTGATAGTCATCACATTAATCTATTGGATGAGTAGGCTTGTCATGATAATTTTCAAAGCGCTGATTGAATGCCAATGAAAACGTGAAAATAATGTCAAGTTTTACAACGTTGTGGAAATTAGGAATAGCTTTCTGAAAAGAGAGGTTTTTGTTCTTACGTGTTGTCGATGTCTTTTCTTGATTTGAGGGAGGAATGCATTTATTTATCAAGGATGACGCAAGTCCAAGGGATAGTGATCTCTTTTCAAGTATGCTGTTACAAGTGGATATATTTTGGCCAAAATTTTCATTGCTGTTCTGTTTTTCGTTTTTTTTTTCCTTTAGAAGCTCATGGAATTAGGAGTCCAGAGACTGGTTTTGCCTGCAGTTCCTGGTGTCCTAAGCACATGGACTGGTTCATTTGGGTTTTCAAAGATGAAGGATTCAGAAAGATTGCAGTTTTTAGATTATACTTTCTTGGATTTTCAGGACACTGTCATGTGCCAGAAACCATTAATGAAGTTGCCTTCTGCTCAAACAAGCCCATCGAAAGGTTTGTTTAATATCCCCCACTTACTCTGTTTGAGGACAAGTAAATAAGCAATATTAGTATATTAATCATCATACATGTTCTTGTGTCCTGTAATGCAGAAATCCAACCTACAGTTCTTGATTATGTTTATGGGAGTGGTAAAAGCATTGGTGTCAATGGATCTAGTCCTGTCTCTGAAGTACTGCAAACAGATCAAAATGAGGATGGCGGAATCATGGAACAAGGACCAGTGGAGTATGTCAAGTCTCTTACTTCCTCTATTAAGAAAATGGAAAAAGGAAATAAAATCATCTAGAAAACAACAAAACACAAGGGCTTAAATTGCTTTATTTATGAGGATCAGAGTAAATTTAATCTGGAAAGAAAATAATCTAGAAAATTATTTATAGTTACATGATATGGGGCTAGGTTTGAAAAGTGTCGTTCAGAAAGTTGTCCTTATTTGAGAATCAGAGTAATTAATTTGTATAAATTTGCTAAGAATAATCACAGGCTGATAATTAAAATGGTCGGATAAAATTTGTTTTATAGATTTCCAGTTACTTTATGTTCACCTTATGCTTGTGGAAAGGGAGAGAAACTGGCAAGTGAATCCTTAGAGACTTCCTTCTACTTGGCAGTATCACGATAGCTGCTCAAAAGATCTGTTTGGTATTTATATTGGATGGCATGTGTTGCTTTTGCAAGAAATCTAATGATAAACTGCCCTGTAGACTTGATTAGAATCAGGTTGAGAGAGGATTAAGGAAAAAGGAAATAACCCAATATGAAATATTGATAAGGCTGGTGCAATGATTTCTATCTCATGTTCTGTTGTCCTTCTCCACTATATATGAATATTCACTTGATATGGTAAGCATCGTACTACTTATCAAGTCCAAGTGGAATGAGTAAATTTCTGCTAGATTAAATCAAGTAAGAAAATCTGGGAGCTCTGACAAGACACATTCTAGCACTAGGTCCAATATATTAAACCCTTGTTGCAAGCAGAGTTATCATTTCATGTTTGTGTGTCTCCTTGCACAAATTTTATGAGTATCTTCTTTTTGATTTAATTATTAGCGCCAACCTGGGGGGTTTATGTCATGTCAAGCAGCTAGAAGGAATCTACCATTTAATTAGCAGCCACAGAAAGCAATGCAACATTTGGAGGTAGAAAGGACTGTGGGGTACGTTTGTTCAGGGCAGATGGCTATTACTGATTTCTAGCAGTTATAAATAAGATAGAATTCATTTTTTGACCACCACTTAAAGGCATCTCCCGTTTTGTCTCAGTAGAGGGATATTTAATTGGCTTAGAAAATTGACATCAATTTTTTTTCATTTTGTGCTTAGAATTTCTATCCGGATTAGCTAGTTATGTTGCTGAGTACTGACTATTGTGATTGTCAACAGTGTTGCTGCAAGCAGTACTAGCGATGGCATCAAAAGGCCAGTTCATCAAGCAGTTGTGGTAAGTTATGGCACTTGGAACAAAGAACCATGTCATCTTCTATCATGTCTTTGTGGAACTTTATTTTCTCATTTTTACAAGATTCTTTGACGTGTTTCTTGTCAGGTTAACCAACCAAATCATCCTGAATGTGAACCCTGCAATAGCAAAATCAATGAGTCCTCGGTTGAGGGTTCTGCTTTTAAGAAGGAAGGTAGGGTTGGTGATAGTGGTTCAAGCATTCTTAAACGTGAAAGATTGTTTAGTAAAGTGGGTAACTTGAAGTGTTACCAAAGAAGAAAGACATTAGCCCGTCAGAACTGAGTTTCATTTTGCTTGCAAAGACTAACGTTGCATGACCAAATTCCAATCTGGGTTTATTGAGATAAAATCTATCTCACCGTGGCATAAGTGGAGCCTGCCATCTTGATTGGCCTAGCACTAAAATTTTGCTTTATACTATAAAATTCTGATGTACAGAATATCAAGTGAAAAATAGGATTTCATCGTTGGTCTATGCATTATATGTCTAGCAGCTGTAGATACGAAGATGAGCTCATTTTGGGTTATCTATTTTGGAAAGGAGCTCAGGGTAGGAATGTAATCAGGCCATATTTATTTGTTACGGAAATTTAATTTCTGGATTAAATAATCAATCACTTACCTGATTTTTTTTTATTATTATTTTTTGATAATGAGGTGTTTTTTCAGTTGCTCCATAGCTGCATTAGGCCACTGATATTTTATGCTATGGACGGTTCCAAGCTCTGATGTCTAGGGTAAACTATTTGAGTATTTGTGAACGTGAATGGGGCATATGCATGTGTATACATGAATAGTTATGATGGGATAGCGTTGTTGGTGACAATTATGCAAAACGATTCTTCCTCCAATCTCGTGCCTAGTTTCTGGAGGATGAAGGTTGCCTGAAGTGCTTGATTTTCTTGCCGATGAGGAACTGTTATCCTCTGAAAATTCTGATTCTTTTGCTTGTTAATTATATTTTCTTGTTATTGAATAATTTTATTATTTTTTTGTGTTCTTTTCTCAAAATCATAAATTTGGGAAGATACATGATAATTGATCATGTAATGTTGTATTGTATCAATTCCTACATGTGCAAAAGTAGTGAATACCTTTTAACTTGTAATGCCATTGACCGAAGAACTAGGCCATTCATTCCTAATTGCCACCTCACTTAAATCCGGGGTTTAATAGTTTGACTTTTCTTAATATAATGGGTTGAGTTTTTAATCTATTTTTATATTTTAAAATAAATCAATTATATTTTTATTATTTAATCAAGTTTATTTTTGTTATTTAATCAAGTTTTTACTCTGTTTTTTTAGTCAAACCATCTAAAAATATCACAGCATATAATTTTTTTTATTTTAAGATATCAACTTTTCAATCCGTTCTTATATAATGGATTGAGTGTCTAATCCATTCTTAATGTAAAAGGGTTGATTATATTATTTTTAATAATTTTTTTGATACTGTATTACACTATAGTGAAATTTTTGTTCGTTAAAATTTTTTTAAAATAATAATACATGTTAGCATGTAAATTTTCAAGAAATTGTCATTTAATATATTTGTAATGCTAAAGAATCCATTATTATATTATTGTCATTATAATAATTCATTTATGTATAATATTGAACAAATTAATGTAATATAGTATATATTAAATCATTTTTATTATGAAAAAAGCATGTGAATTGCGTGTGAAATAATAAATAATTATGTAGTTGAAGAAAACATGAAATTATTTGTCTTTTAAGTAATCAATTAATAATCATTTAAATGTAATTTTTTATTTTTTAATTACATGCTTAAGATACTAATTAATAATATGTTAATATAATGAATTATTTAGCTATAAAAATATGTTAAATGACAATTTCTTGAACACATACATATTGAATTATTTCTATATATTTTTAACTAACATAAAATTCACCATAATGCAATACATTATTAGAAAAGTTATGAACAATAATATAATGAACTTTTTGATCAATGACAAATTGAAAACTCAACTCATTATTTAAGAACATATTGAAAATTTGATATGTTAAGTTGAGAGGAGCATTTTCATTAAATAAAAGGTCATATGCAGATCATGTGTTATTTTCAAATGATTTGATCGAAAAAATTAATCCAAAGATAGATTGAAAACTTGATTAAATAACATAAATATAATTAACTTATTTTCAGATATAAAGATAGATTAAAACTTTATTTCGTTGTATAAGAACAGATCAGGCTACTAATCCTAAATCCAGATTTTCCTTCCCTAGTCCCTATTACCTGTCTTGCTGGTAGCTGCCTAAGCTTCTCGGCAAAAGAGGAAAAGAAGGTGATAATAATAGTAATAAGGGTACAATAAAAAAAAACCATGGAATGATGTTTTTACTTACCAATTTGGGTAATCAATTTTGCCCTTAAAATTATTTTGCATGTCCAATTTTACCCTTTCAATCCGTCTATACTAAAAATAATTTATGGATTTACATGTCATGCATATGTTTCATCACACAAGCAAAATGAAGGGAAAAACACATCATCACATATTCAACCTAATGTCGCAATAAAATGCGCATTTAATATTTTTGAGCAAATTTGTGGATTTTCGATTATTTTTCTCTTTTTTTAGAATTAATGAAACATATGTGTGACATATGATTGTATTAACTATTTCTTAAAAAATGAAATGAAAGGTGATATTGAAAGTGTTTGGTGACGTTAAAGGGTAAATTTTGTTGCTAGAGTTGATAAAGGGTAATATTGTGAACCAGGTTGTAGATTAAGGACATTTTCGTAGTTAACCCCAATAATAATAATAATATAAGAAGCTCTAACTCCTCTCACTCCGCACATTATACATACATGTTCATGGTCACTGGGTGCTGTTATCTAATAATTAATTAATAAATAAATAATATATGGTTTTTTACTCTAACTAAATGAATCGAAACGACATTGTTTTAATCAATTTTAGTTCAAAAAGACGTCCTTTTCACAAAAACAATAAGCGATGTTTTTTTTTTAAAAAAATATATATATAAGTTCATGGTCGCTGGGTTTTGTTATCTAATAATTAATAAATAAATAAATAATATATGGTTTTTTACTCTAACTAAATTATAATAAATGAATTAAAACGACGTTATCTTAATCAATTTTAGTTCAAAAAAGATGTCCTTTTCACAAAAACAATAAGTGATATATATATATATATATATTTTTTTAAAAAAAAAAAAGTTCATAATCATCTATGTTTAGTTTTTTATAAATATGAATTCATTTTTTGGCTAATTTATATGGAATATCTTTAAATTTTACTACATTAAAATAAGATCTTTGAAAGTTGAGGGAATTGTTGTTGTTGTTTTTTATTTTTTGTGTTTTTAGAATTGATTAAAACATGTTTTGAGGTTTAAAAATGGTTTTTACATGTTTTTGGGATGATTTTAAGGTGTTTGAAAATAAAAAAAAATGATGTAAAAATTAGGTCTGTAAGGCAAAAACCAGCGACCTTCGATTTTCTGGCCACATTTGAACATCAGAAATTGCAGGCTGCAGATTCGATGGCACATCAACCCTCGCAAACAACTCATCATCTGCATCTATTTTTTGTTTTAAAATGTTTGGATCAGATGTGTCTAGTCTAGAGGTGCGGGCGTGGCACTGGCCCATCCTTAGCTTCATTTCTTTTTCTTTTTTAAGCTTTTATTTTATTATATTATTTATTATTTGCTTAAAATAATTTATTTTTTCAATAGTTAATGAATGTTTTGTGAATTTTTTTAGACTCGTTAATTAAAATTAAATACTCTTTCAATATACATTGATTTAGCTCCCTTGCGGTATTAGTTTTTGCAATTTGATTCAACTATTCTAATTTGGTTTTTTTATATAAATAAATAATTAATTACGTTTTTTATATAAAAAACAAACATATTTATATGACATATTTTAACTCAAATATAAAATACACCCATAATATTAAATATTATGCCATACATATTAAATTAAGAAATTTCCACAATTCATTTGGATTCATTTTCACTGCATCCACTTTGATTTTTAAAATTAATTAAAACATTAAAATAGATTTTATCAATAAATTAAAACAGACGTTATAGACTTATGTGTATCCGGCAACGCATTGATGCTATAGTTCTATACGAACCTATAGTACTAACCAGTCAACTTCGGCTTGTGAATACACCCCCGCTTCCATCTACGGCAGTTAGTCCCCTAGACATTGCTTTTGATGCTGCTGGTCTTGGTCAATTCACGGGTGTCTCTGATGGTAAAGTCCTCAAGTATGTCAAGTTGTCAACTCCTCGTTATCCTGAGAGCTGAATGATGGAAGACTCGGATGCGACTCCATTAAGAGTCTTTTCCGGTTACGCCAACCGTTGGATTCACAGATTTTGCCATCACTTCAGCAAACAGATACTAATGAATCACTTAAAATACAAATTCCTGAGAGCTGTATGTACGTACTGAAAAGTATGCCAGCGCAGAAAAACCGTAAGTCTAATTAATTAGTGTTGCAATATTTGCTGCTTCGACCCAAAAGTCTTCGCGATGGCACGAGTAATCCTGCATTAGAACCCATTTGTGGCATAGGTTTGGCATCCAGTAAGAAAGCTGGTGACCTATACATCACTGAGTGAGTCATATGGTTTGAAGTAAAATTGATGGAATCTAACATGTTTCATCGTCATGCTGAGGAATCTAACAAAATAAAGTAAATACATTAATTAAACAATTAGGGTATAAACTGAGGAATTTCTGTCTTCCCCTTTGCGGAGCAGGGCAGGGCAAAATCGAAATGCTCCTCCTCGCCTGCACCTCCCTTGTTTCATCGTCATCATCCGTTTTCAATTCCTTACTCACCCATTCCTCTAATCTTAAACACATCCACCAGACACATGCCTTCATGCTTCTCAGAGCCCTCGATGCAGACAACCGCCTCCTTGGCTGATTCATTCACGCCTGCTCTTCTCTCGGCTTCTCTTCCTATGCTTATTCTATCTTCGCCTCCATTACTTACTCCCCCGGTATCTATCTCTACAACACCATCATCAACGCTCTCTCTTGCTCTCCTTCCCCGATCTAGTATAAAACTTTTCTTAAAATAACAAATTTAGTTCCACTTTATTACTTGAAACATCAAATTAACAATACCCATAGTGCTTAAACATGAAAATAATCATATTAGAGTCTCATGTGTCTTTAAAGATGATATTATTCTTTCAATGTTATTTTGTATTTTTTTATCGGCGAATGTTTGTTGTGTGAAAACTTGACTTTCACACTATTCATCCCCTTTCATCTTGTTAACAAAGAATCTTTTACTGAATTATGATATCACATTATCAGCTCATAATCCCTTGATTATGTCAATCAATAACATAATTGCAATTCTATAAGTTTAAGAGCAAGGTATGTAAGTCTATAAGTTTAGAAATAGTATATGTAATTTTCTTATTTGGTGATTTGCTATTTGTATCTAATCCTTGCCCAGCAATGCAATAGACATAATAATTCTTCATCATTTTTATGTGCTCTTATTTAATATTTTACATCTTTATAATATGAATTTGTTTCGTGTTATTTATCGATGAATATTTATTATGTGAGAACTTAACTATGGCGTTATTCATCCTCTTTCAATCTTTCGAACAAACATATCCCTTTTTGTCATCATTCAAAAATCTTTATTAAATAGTTTGTCGGTATGGTGATAGTAGAAAAAATCAATGTTTTTTTTCTTGGGAGTGAGGTGCCTTAAGATAGAAGGATTTCTAGGCTCTTTTTTAAGGGGCGACCTATCTTTCAGAAACTTTGGACTCGCCCAATGAGTTAGTATTTTTTGATGAGTTTTGAATTTGAGTCAGATATTGTGAATATAAAATTGAGTTGTTTATTTTTTTAGAGTCAATGAATGAGCTGATAAGCATTGATGTTTTGCTATTATTATATTTGATTTGTATGGCATTAGTACGATTATAATGAATAATAATTCAATTGATGTCATAATTAAAAAATCTTTATTAAATGATTTATTGTTTTGGTGGCTCTTTTTTAGGGTGACTTATCTTTAAGTATTTTTTGATGAGTTATGAATCCAAACGGGATCAGATAAATATGACATTGAGCGTCTATGTGTCTATTATGTTGTGTTAGGCTATTCTGGGGTCAGGTTCCCCATCAGCTACCCTTGCAGATTTCGATGAGACGGTATTTGCAGGGATTGCAAATTTAAGAATTGTTGGATACAAATTGCTCCATTTTCATACCTGCCGCTCACTGTTGTCTTAGTTTCCCTTTTAAAAGAAGAATAAATGTGAGAATCAAACGGGCGTTGCCCGGTTACGGCGGGAGGGGGCCCAAAGTTTATTTTAGTCCTTCTTAAATATACCCTTACAGGATTATTAATTAGGCCGATTCGAAATATGTATAAAATAAGATTTTCAAAGAGTATGAGGTATTTTAACAATAATAAATTATTTTTCTCGTGATCTACATCTGATTTTATGTAGTTTCTCATTTAGTGTCAATTAAAATAATTTATATGAGAAAAAAATAATGAAATGATTACTTTTTATTATTTAGATAATAATGCGGACTAAATGTTGTGCTTACATGTGCTTCTATCAAACAATAATAATAATAACAATAATAATGGATAACATGATGACGTGTAACAGGTAAATAACTAAGCTGATCGACATTCAAGAAAAGGGCATAAATTTTCAGAAATTGTTACAAGCAAGGAGATCGAAATCAACATTCCGATCATTTTTTTTTCCGACGTCCATATTGTGAATTTTATTTTATTTTTATTCTAGCCCTCACATTCCATCAATCTTATGGTTCCTGGTCATTTTCGAAGAGTGGTGCCAGTCCTCGAATTTGTATCCATCTAGAGCAATACATCATTCATTGAAAACAAAACAAAAACCCCAAAATCAGCATTAATATATGTGGCGAACTCGAGAGATTACTTATATGCAAGAAGCCTGGAGCCAACAAATGAACTGAACTCCAGAAGAAAAGCTCTCTTCCCCTATGATCACAAACAGTTGACTCTCTTTCCCAAATTGATCTACCCCCAAAAAGGTCTCCAACTTTTCCATATGGAGCCAGAATTAAATGGATGGACCCCTTGGATTGGATTAGCTATTTTTCCAACTACATGTATCCCAGTTTTCTCGTGCAAGGAAGATACGACTACATAGCAGTTAATAAATTTTCATTGAGATGGTCTTCATCCACGTCTTTTTATTTTTATTTTTTAATTATTATTATTAGTTTTTGTTGAATCATCCACAGTTATTGGCAGAAATTGTTCTCCCAATCCATTTTATTGTTTAAAATTCTCGCGGAATGAAGATGATCCCAATGGAGCTAGTGGAAGGCACAAAAGTTTGCATAAAGTTTACATTTATGCTATTGGATTTTTTATTGAATTTAAATAAAAAAATGGAAAAAAGGTAAAGACATAACTTATCATTCTCTCTCTTTTTTTTTTTTAAAAAAAAAGTGAAGATAAACATATTTTTTTAATCTAAAATATCCTTTTTGGGCTTAAATTTGTCTTTATAATAACGAGCAAATTTTGAGTATAAAATAAAATAAATATAATTTTTTTAAAAAAAATTGAGTATAAAATAAAAGATTTATGGTACTTTTTAAAATGTGAAGAGAATTTTAGTTAAATGTTAAAATTAAGAAATTTGTAAAATCAAATAAATAAGTTATATTATATTCTTTTGACGTATTATAAAATTATAAATATCATTCAAAAGTTTAAAAATTAATTAAACTTTTCCTCACATTAAAAAAATAAATATATATAAATATCTTATTTTATACTTAAAATTCATATATATAAAATTAAACCCATAAAGAATATTTTAGATAAAAAAAAGTATTTTAGTTTTTATTCATTTTTTTTAGATAAAATGACAGAAATATCTTCACTTTTTTCCCCTTTTTATCTTTAAAATTTTATTTATTTAAATTCGATTAAAAAAAGATTAAAATGAAAAAGAGATGAGATTAAGATAGGAAAAAAAGTATCGTTGTTAGTTTAAAAGTTAATGAAATAATGAGATTAAGAGAGAAATTAAATATAAATGGATGAATTTAAGACAAATAGAAAAAAAAAAAAGAAACCAAGATAAAGACCAAAAAAAAAAGTATGAGAGATCTATGCAATTATTAAACCCAACCCAAAAGACCAAAAAGATGGAGTAGAAGTGAACAGAAAGAAGTTCTTGCGTATGTGCACGAAGGAAAGAAAAGAACATTTTGCATTGAAAAGATTGATCCTTTGATAAGAAGGAAAATATATGTTCTTTATCTATGTTAACCAGTATTCCTCTCTTTTCTATTGAAGATAGATAGCATCTCAAACTTTTGAGGCGCCTCCATGATTTTAACATTACAAAAACAACAGACAATCCACCAAGTGGAGATGACCTCACCCACCTTGTTGTCCCTCCATAACATAAAGCAAATGATAAAAAGATAAAACAATGGTTCCAAACCCTTTTGGCCCCATTTCCAACTGGCCTCCTCTTCGATCTTCATACACATAGAAGAAACTAGTGCTATACTACTAAATGCCATGCATCCTTCTCTGCTTTTTTTGCTTTAAAAAATTTCCTCGTTCCTTCTTGCCACTTTTCACGGAACGTGTTAGTAATTAATATCTGTACTAGAGTCTAACATAACTATGAGTGGATCCAATAACACCCCATGAGTTCTGGACAAAAAGATAAGTTGCAGATGAACCAATTGCCTCTCAATTAAAGAACTCTGTCCAAAAAAGCCCAAATCAAAACCTTCAATAATCCAATACTTAACTCACGTGAACCCATCTCAGCTACTATCACATGCACACAACAGAACAAAAACCCCACCCTTCTTTAAAAGACACAACACAATCCTCCTAGTCCTATCTCCCTCTCCGTTTTTTTTTTTTTTTTTTCTTTTTTATAGTAATCACTTGCTTCCTTTTTACTAGTAGCTTTTCAGCACTACTTCCTTTTGCTTTTCTCTCTCACCCTTCCTTCCTCCAAAAATGTCCCTTCCTTGTATCCAGTCCTCTTGCAATCTATTAGCATCATGTTTTGCAATTCTTTTCTTGGTCTTGCTTCAAACCAAGATTGCAACTTCAGCATTGATAATGAGCATGAGAAACCACCATAACAACCACCAGCATAGAAGGCCAATGCTGCAAGGTAATCAAAGTACTTGTGCATTGTTTGTTGGCACTTGGATTCGTGATGAATCCTACCCATTGTACCAATCTTCTAGTTGTCCAACTATTATTGACGCTGAATTCAATTGCCAAATGTATGGTAGGCCTGACTCTGATTATCTCAAGTATAGATGGCAGCCTCTCAATTGTGAGCTCCCAAGGTAACAGACAGCACCAGTTATTGGTGAATTCTTTTGGGTTTTCTTTCTGTTTTACATTTTTAGCTTTGAGAATGCAATTGTAGGACTTATGTTTTATTTTTTGATGGTATAGATTCAATGGACTTGAATTTTTAATCCAAATGAGAGGGAAAAGTATGATGTTTGTGGGGGATTCTCTTGGACGGAATCAATGGGAGTCTTTGATTTGTATGATTTCATCGTCGGTGCCGAGAACTTCTACAAAAATGAGCAGAGGAGATCCCTTTTCCATCTTCAAGTTCTTGGTAAGTTCCTCTGTTTGAAATGCTAATTGATAAGGTTTCAATGCTTGCCATTATTTGTGGCCTACGAGGCTGCAATTTGAACTCCAAAAAATGTTGAATTCGCTGGAATCTTTTCATTATCATGAACCCACTGATAGAGTGATAAAACATGGAAGTAGTGGTGGGTTTTTTTTTTTTTTTTTTTGCCGGGACTTCTTTTTTTCCTAACAACCGAGCTTTATTTATGGACTTGGTCAAATAGTGTCCATCTCATTTCTTAACATCATAGTATCATGTCCAGGAAAATAAATTTTCTCACACAAAAAGAGAAGAAAATATTACTAAGTTTACAATGTTGTTCTCTATTTTTCAAAATTCAATCTCGAAATGTACAAGTTTTAGTCAAAAAAGAGAAATGGGGGTGGTTGTTCTAATAAAGGGTTGTGATCGATATTTAATCAAAATCAGACGGCTATTATTGCACTGATTTAAACAACACGAAAAGTCAGATACGGTGATCCTAGTCTCGAGGGGCCCTAAGCTCTTATCTATTTTGGTGTAACTTTAGCACTGTCGATGCCAAGTTGCCAGCTGCAATACATTGGCTAGGTAAATCTTGGCCGACAAAAAGGTGATTAATGAAAAGAAGATTAGTTTCCTAATCTGGGTTTTGTATTATGCAGGATTACGATGTGTCTATGTCATTTTATAAAGCTCCATATTTGGTAGACATAGATGTGGTACAAGGGAAGAGAGTTCTAAGGCTAGAGGAAATTTCCGGAAATGCCAACGCCTGGCGAAATGCTGATGTGCTGGTGTTTAACACCGGTCACTGGTGGAGTCACCAAGGTTCTCTCCAAGCGTAAGCACTGTTACAATTTTCCTTGTTTTTTAATCATAATTTTTGTTCATTAATTTGTTATCTTTTTCCAATCATGATGTAAATGTAATAGTACTTACCATGTAAAAAGGATGGAGTAGTACGAATTGGAGTTGTTTAATCGAAGTAATATGAGTTGGGGTGATTTGATAATGGACAGATGGGATTACATGGAATCAGGAGGTACATATTACCAAGATATGGATCGTTTGGTTGCTTTGGAAAGAGGACTAAGAACATGGGCCAATTGGGTGGACGCCAATATTGACACTGCAAGAACCAGAGTCTTTTTCCAGTCCATCTCTCCGACACATTACAAGTACTCTCTCTCTCTCTCATATAAATTTTGTTTGGTGCCAATCTAAGCTCCATTATTGTGTGTTGGGGGGTGTTAGTCTTATGGCTCTAAGCACTAAAAATTCGGTCCAATCTGAGCTGGAATTTGCGGTGTTAGTAGGAGCATGATGGGTCCAACTTGAGTTCAGGTTGGTCCAAAGTTGAATAGGTAAATGGGAAAGAGCCTACTGCAAGTTGCAATTGATTGCTGCTTCCCCAACAGGGTCATTTAAAAGCAATTAAAATGAATATTGCGAGTTTGTGATAACCGGGGAAGGCAAAAGAAGAACGTGCAACAATAAAAATAGTATTATTGATGACAACTAGAAAAAGAAATTTGAGTACAAAAATAAAATTAGCAGTAGAAACAGGAATAATTATGTGCAATCCTATCCAATGTGGATATGTGCCAGCAGAAGCAAATTAATGAATGGGGCTTCAATAGATTCAGACTATGGACTTGACATGAAAAAATTTGAATCAACTGCAGGGAACAATCTATAATGGCAATGAAACCAACGTCAGTCATCACATGAGACTTTTTAGAGCTTTAAAGCTTATAATAGTATGGTATCCATGTTTATTTCAACTTTCGAGGCCAGGGTGTCAGGAAAAAAAGGTCATAATATTCAATTTATTATGCAATACAGTATGGAGGGCATGATAGTACGAAAACTTAACTTTCTTTCCAGGTGATTTCCTTCCTTTTCAAGATATGGGCTTCAATTAATCCGTCAATTAAGGTTCGTTTTAGCATCATTTAAGATACATTTTTAAGATGAAATGAGTATCAAACAAGATGCATATGATTATTGGTCTTTTCTATTTTATGCACACAAGACCACACGGTATGGCAAGTGGCAAACCTTTGAAAGTGGCCATTTTACCCCAATTAAAGCCAAATCTACCGACATACTTCAACAATATCGTAACATGTGGTCCTGTTCTCATATAACCTGAGAAAGAAAGCCGATCTTATGTCGGTGGTACGAAAATTCATATCTTTCATGTGTCGTCAGTGGCAGTAGCATTGCTTTTCCATTGTTTTAGTAGGATCGTTTATGTAATTATCATCCAAAGAGTTAAGTAATACTATGCTAAGCTGGAGATTAATGGTAAAACATTTTGGTTCATTGCCATGTGACATGACAGTCCAAGTGAATGGAGCGCGGGGACAACAATGGCAACAACGAAAAATTGCTATGGTGAGACTGCACCAATGAGTGGAACAACATACCCTGGAGCATTCCCTGATCAAATGAGGGTAGTGGATATTGTGATCAGGGACATGCATAATCCTGCATATTTGTTGGACATCACAATGCTCTCAGAGTTTAGAAAAGATGGGCATCCATCGATTTATAGTGGCGATTTGAGCCCCCAGCAGAGGGCGAATCCTGACAGATCCGCTGATTGTAGCCATTGGTGCCTTCCTGGACTGCCTGATACTTGGAACCAATTGTTCTACGCTGCCCTGTTCTTTTGAGTCTAGTTTATTATGATTTGTTTACAGCTGCCTTGTTCTTTTAAGTCTAGTTTATTATGATTTGTTTACAGCTAATTCTAATGATATACGTGTTAGGAGAGATGCATAATTTGCAATCCTCTGTCTTCTATTGTTTTATGATCTTTAGACTAAGATCAAGTGTAGTATACATATGTTCCGATTAGTCTACCATGTAAAATTAGTGATATTGTTTGTCACAAGAAATAAATCAACTTATTTCTTTGTTAGGTAATTTGGAGGAAACTTGTTAATTTGTTTAGCTAACTAGCTTTGTTTCTTTCGCTCATTGTTGTTTTGCAAATGAGATTGTGAAAAGCCTTTAATCTAAGATTAGATGATCAAGCAAAACCTTTCCTTTCATGGATGGTCTTAAGGACTAGAATTCCACCATTGGCAGTTACGCTACATTAAACACTGCACTTATAATGTATTCTTCTTCCTTATTGTTGATTGACAGAATGAGATTAAGTTTCAATCTCTCAAAAAAGAGGTTATCCCCTCTCCCAAAAGTGATGGTCTTAAGATCTTGATTTCGTCTCAGCATTAGCATGAAGGAAAGTTATTTTAGAAATTGTGATGCTTTTCGTTTCTAACGACCTCCACACTGGATTAAAACTCCTCTGACCAAAAAAGAAATAGGAGAGTGTATCTCCGCACACCACAACTCAATTTCGCATTCATCTGACTTGGTAATGGAGCATTAAGCCCAACTCGTGTTAGATCTGCAGTCCTTGTTCTGAAGCGAGCGCGTGCGGTATCTGTCGGCATGGGATTAGATGGGACGAGAAGTTAAACACCTCTGTTAGGCATATTGTCTTGATATCTAGCCTGAACCAGACTAGGCCAAATATGGGCCAATTGCCTGGTTTAAGTAATGGGCTGGGCTTCCACACGACTATTATACATCCACTGTTTTCCTTGTACATAATTTTGTCCAACTCGTTAATTAGTCTGCTGATAGCTTTGTTAAAGGACAGAAGACGTGGAAAATGATATTTTTGCCTATTCTCCTCTGAAGCAAATTATGCATAATTCGCAATTGCCTATCAACTCATCCTTGCTAAAAGAAAGGGAAAAAAAAGTCTCCCGTGGTTTGTTCATCGAGTGCAAGTCCATGTCCTATACTTATCTTCGATTTTCCCCATTGCTGGAAAGTGATAGGGAAAGGGCTTCTGCTAAATACTGTACCTTGGCAGCTACTAACGCAGATATTCGCTGTCCCGAATTTCCAATGGTTAAAAATGGACCTTGAATTTTTAATACCATAACTAAGAAGTTGAGGTAAAATAGAAAGACTCATTATGAAGCACGGAAACGAAAGGAAATATTGCATTACAACTTTAAACAGCTACAGAACATTGATAACACACTCGAATCACCTCGTACAAAAACCCCAAGGTGACGATAACACAACTTAAAACGACTACAGATTATTATTTGTAACATCTATATATGACCTGTATGATATTTATACACACAGAAGGCAGCAACTGAAGTTTAAATAATTCCGAATTTCTAAATATCAAATTCACCAATACTTCAGTCCTCCAGCAGGCGCTAACTATGGATCGCAACTCCTGGAGCACTAACTCCCATCATTCGAGGAAGATCGTCGATAATCTTTGGTGGCACCACTCCGGCATTGGCAAGAGCTGCCTGCTGATCATCATAAGCAGAAAGATGCACACCCAACGCAGCCCGGCCGGAAGGATCGAGATTGTTGGACCAGGCAGCGTGCCATTCAACAGCTTTAGCTGTGCTGCATGCTACACTGGCTCCTCCAGGAACACTCAGCCTGGCTGAGTTCTGCAGAAGAAGAGTAAACGATAATCAAATTAGTATTAAGTATCGACACCACTGGCATAACTCATCCTTTTCTGAAATGGACTATGGTAGGTTTGATTGCATTACCTGTGGGAAGAACCTCTCAAAAATCATTCTGTAGTAATAGGCTTCTTTCGTGCTTGGGGTATTGTGTGTAAAGATGCGCTCAGCATTTTGCATCATCTTGTCAGTCACCTGAAAATATTAATTCAGCAGTATGAGCTTCCAAATAGAAATATAACATAAACGCTACAGAAGGATACAAAACAAAAAAGGTTAAGCTCAAATAGGTACATGTTGGGCAGCATGAGCTTTGAGACCATCAATCCAACTATAGCCAACACCATCACTGAATTGCTCTTTCTGCCTGTACAGAATATGCTGCAGCAAATCAAATGCGACATGTTAATTTAAAGCAGATAATGTGCTTGGGTAGGTAAAAGGAAGACAATTAGTGCATGGACCTTAGGCAGATAAGGATGCTCAGCGTCGTCAAAGGCTCTCCTAAGAACCCATTTCTCCATATGTCCTTGTCCAGGTTTGATCTGAAATTGATGAGCAAATATAGAGAAAACCACTTAACAAGTTTTAAAATCGTAAAAATCAATCCCTTACACTTCGTTCATAAAGAGAGAGAGAGAGAGACTGAGAAAAAAACAACGTATGAAAATTCAATGAAGTTTTTTACCATCTTCCATTCTGGATCAATAGCCATTGCAACATTAATAAAATCCTTGTCCAAGAAGGGGACACGGGCTTCTAAACCCCAAGCAGATGTTGATTTGTTAGCTCTCAAGCAGTCATATTGGTGAAGGGCCTTTATCTACATGCATACAATAGAATCATTAGGACTTTCCCTTGTTATGTCTCTATCTTTCAACAGAAAAACGAGTGGTATGGGCATTATAGTTACCTTGCGACATGTTTCGCGGTGGAACTCTTCCTTGTTAGGTGCCTTGTGAAAGTACAAATACCCACCAAAAACCTCATCTGCACCTTCACCAGAAAGAACCATCTTCACCCCTAGTGCCTTGATCTTACGAGCCATAAGGAACATAGGGGTACTTGCTCTGATGGTTGTAACATCATATGTTTCAATATGGTATATGACATCTTCAATGGCATCAATACCATCCTGTCACAAGCCAAAGATTTAGTTTTACGCTTTTGGGTTGTCATAGAATGATAGCGTGACATTGAACTTTAAAACTTTGCTTGATTTTTATACCTGAACCGAGTAGTGAAATTCATGGTGGACGGTTCCCAAATAATCTGCAACTTCTCTGGCAGCTTTCAAATCTGGTGAATTCTGCTCAGCGCATAAGGGACAAAATCAAGGACTGTATGGAACTCTTTAAGACCTATATGCTGAATTTCTTACGACAAGAATTTACACTCACCTCTAGGCCAACACAGAAGGAATGAAGTTGTGCCCCCCATTGTCTAGCAGCCTTTGTACTTGCCAAATGACGAGAAGTAACAGCAGCAACCAGTGATGAATCTAGCCCCCGGACAAAAGAACTCCAAAAGGCACATCAGTCATTAGCCTTTTAACCACAGCCTGCATACATCATCACCATTAACACATGAGCAACACAACCTTAAGAATGTCCTGTTTGTTAATTTTTAACACTAGGAGCAATAACTTGCAGTGAGCCCATTTATATATGTGTCTTACCTTTTCAAATGCATGTCTCAGAGCAAGTGGGTCATATGGGGTTGAGGGAATAGCCTCGGAGAACCAAGGAGGATTATACCAACGCCTCAATCCACCCGTTTTGCTCGAGTACAGATGACCGGGTGGAAAGCACTCAAAATGTTCACAGTCATCATTCAGACCTTTCATTTCAGATGAAATCCACACAGACCCTGAATAATAAAAAGAACAACGTAATTCATCAAAAAAAAGGCAAAAAGAACCAAGTAAAATCATCAAACCAAATCCAACCCATTAGACATAATTAAACTTGAAAAAACAGAATCAGACAAGCCGTTACCATCAAGTCCCCAGCCGATGTAGAGGGAGGTGATCCCAATGGCGTCACGGGCAACAATGAAACTGTTGTCCCGAGTGTCCAGCAGAACAAATGAAAACATTCCATCCAACATGTCCACAAAATTTTCGCCATGTTCCTCGTACTATATTCAAACATGTTAAAAAACATGGTTACTTGTTAGAACCAAGAAAAACAGACTACGTACGTTCTACATCAATAACTACTTGTCCTTTGGATTCAATTATTATACTGGAAATTCATGTCATCTAATTATCATAATTTGTTAACACAACCCACCAGATGGGCGATAACATCACAGTCACTGCCTGTTCGGAACTTGTGATTTGGCAAATTCTTCCTCAGTTCTTCATGGTTGTAAATTTCTCCATTCACCTATTTTCAACAACAATGATTCATTACAATTTAGTGAAAAACTTGTAATTCTAATTGTAATTCGCAACCAAATTAATTTCCTGTGCTGCAAATTTTAATGTAACAAAGACCAAACTGTCTGTCTAAAGCCAAAAAAAAAAAAAAATGAAAAATTAGTACAAAATAACAACATCCAAATTAAATTAGTAGTTAGTATTAAAAACCAACCGTGACAACGATGGCTTGGTCTTCATTATAGAGAGGCTGATCACCAGAAGCAGGATCAATAATTGCAAGCCTTTGATGAGCCAAATAAAAGTCACCATGCTGATAGAGCCCACTCCAATCTGGACCACGGTGCTTCAACCTGTTACAATCAATAACAAAATTGGACACCATTATTCATTTAATTGCAATTTAGAGACACAAAAAATTGTCAATCCTCATCGAACTAGTAAAAGGGTCCCATCAGTCCGCTACATAATCAAATTAAACAAACCATTAAGTTCGTTATCATTAAACAGAACATGTGCGTCAGTCCTATCTAATTTAGGTCCCTTGTCCTTTTCTTATTTTCTCATCTTAAATTTGGTCCCACATCCATATCTCTCAAACACAGTTTCCCTCGCAGCAACCAAAGAAAGTAGGTTCCATGGAATTATGAATATTAATTCATTTTGGTTCATTGCAATATCTTCGTACTTTACCGGTTAAACTAGCTAGCTAGCACTAGTGCAAAGAAATTAACATTGAAAACGTGAAATAAATATACTTCGAAGATCCATATATCAAAATAAATTGGAAATTGTAGCGGAAATATAAGAGCTAAATAAATGAGAGAAAATTGCCTGCGAGAGAGCTCAAGCACTCGGACCCTTTTGGCCTGAGACTCATCAGAGCAACCCAAAACAGCAAGTATCCCACACATCCTTCTTTCTTTTCAAAAATAAAAAGGATATAGAAGATCAAATTAGATTTTGCTATGTATGACTATAGCTTAAAACCAAAGATAAAGAAGCAGCAGGGAAATAGTGAAAGAAGAAAATTTGATAATGAAAGGAAAAGGAAGCAGCAGGAGAAGGTGATGGAGTGTCAATAGGAAACAACAACACGTAGAGTAACAGTTTGTTTTGTTATTGTTGAATAAGTAAGTTCTCTCCGCCTCGAAGCACACATATTTATAGTGCTGAAACGAAGTACCGCTGCCATTTAACGGCGTCGGTTTTTTTTCTTTTCTTTTTATTGACGTGATAACCCGTTACCGGAGGAACTGGACATTCTTATCAGCTAACATTTGTGTTCTTACACGTGGTGAAAGACAGTTGGACATTAAGAGTGATATTTTATTTTAGGTAATCGGTTGTTGCGGACTTAAATGGTGAAGTTTATCCATTTTGAAAGGAGGAGGTTTTACTGGGAGTGCTGAGTCAGCAAAAGTCAAATTATGGTAGTTTGTCCCCTTTCAAGAGTCCACGTGTTAGTTGATTTCAGGTTTCTTCCTTTGACGGGGGTTTAGATGGTGAGTTTTGGCATCGCTCAGCTGTGTTCATCTCTTTCTTCGTTGTAAAGCTCATTTTATGTTAATACACTTAATCTATTTTAGCAAAACTGACAGGAGATTCATTGATAACAATAATTAAGTGTGTGTGTATATATATATATATATATATATATATATATATATATATATATATATATATGAAAGAAGTATACATAAATATCCATCATCCAATAGCGGAACAAGCATCAAAATAAGAAGAAATAAAAAAACAGGAAGGGGAAACCTGCGTTTAACCCCGTAATATATTACTTATCAAATCTTCTACTTTTGTTAATTTTACTCCAAAAATAATAAGCATCTAACAATATCATCACCCATTCCATCCACCATTAGTGATAGTTAGACATATAGCTAATCAGGGATGACAATAAGCAAAATATAAAACGAACGTATATTTTATCCAATTTAATAAATATTCATTAAAAATGTTCAATAGTTATAGAAATAGATAAGAGTAAAAAAAAATACATATCTATAGCTAATGCATCAAAATGGGAAAAAAAAATTAAGAACAAAAAAAAAACCTTAAAAATTATAAGGATTGAAATGAATATTTTTTAATAAATTAAATTCAATTGATATTAAATAGACGAGATAAACTAATTAATATGGATTGGATATAGACTGAATAAAAATTTATATGATAATTTTTTAATAAATAATGGATATGGTATTTTTTTTCATAAGTAAGATAAAAAAATTGAATTAATAGGTGGAATGATATTCGTTTATTGTCATCCATGTAGCTGATGCATCTTATTATCCTTAATAAGATAAACCCTCATCAATTGGGAAATGCAAACAATCGATTAAGCACTAATAGATTAATAACAAACACTAATGAAAAACTATACATGACGAAATTTTTCAATGTTTCCGTTGTATTGCTCTCCACGAATTAAGCAATACATCGTAAGTATCTAATAATTTCTCTTATGCATTTTGGGAATATACATTGTAATTGTGTTTATATTATAACTTTGTCTTTTTGTGATTTTTTTCTTAATAATAAAATTGTTTGAATTTGAGATGCTTTTTAACAAAAATGAAAATTAACGTCACTTAAATTACAACTCATTGATATTATTATTTTAATTTAATGATCATAATAATTTTAATTTAGGTTTCGTATGTTGAAATGAAAATATTCTTTAATCGAATCTTAAGTAAATTATCTATGTCTAATTTTATGTATTCACTAAAAAAATTTATTGTTTTCATTATATTTAGATTCAAAAAAGGAAATGATGGCATGAGATCGAAGGAAGTGATCAAGAATCACTTGACATTGAAGTCGATCAGTGTTATTTGATTACGACCTAGTGATGAATTTTTTGTTTTTCACCAAAATTAGCACTAGTGATTGACATTTATTTGATGAAACATAAAGTTCTGCATTTAAATCTTTCATTCTTAATTAAGATTATGAATTTCTACCTTTCCTGAAGCATCCTTTCATATAAAAACTAAAGGTTGGCTCTTAATTAATATCCATTTCTTAATACTAAGAATAAGATTATATTACTTTAGTTGTGTGTTAATCCAAGAAAAAAATAATTCCAGTATTTTAAGAGTATTTATCACTTTATTTTTTATTCATTTAATTTGGTACTCGTGTATTAATTGGCAATCACGTATTATAAATTTGATATAATTTTTATTTTTATTTCTATATATATTTTTTATTTTATTAAATTATATAAAATATATTAATTTTAATGTGATTATCAATTAAAATGTATAACTTAATTCAATTTGAGGAAATACACAATAGTAGATACTCCTGAAATGCTAGATAGCTGGGTGGCGATAATGATTTACTGTCGCAACTCTCAAGCGAGCGATTGCTACGAGGAGGTTTATCCAGTTTCAAAAAAAAAGGCAGAGTCAGCAAAGCCAAAATATCGTACTTTGGTTATTTTCCAAACAATCCACGTGTTAGCTACTGGGATGACGGGACCCCTAATGGGTTGTGCCTTTGACGTGGCTTTGATTGGTAAGTTTTGGCAATAGTCACCTATGTTTTGCCATTCATAAAAAAATATATATATATATATATATAACAACAATAATAATAATAATAATAATGTTTTGTAGTTTACTTCTTCAATTTTCTTTTATCTAATAATTATCCTCACCGCCTAACTCATCTAAGTGGAACAATATGGGAGTGGTTTATGCTATTATGGTTTTTTTATAAAAAAAAAAAATCCTTGATAACATCGAATTCAGCACGATGAGATTTGTTTTTTATTAGCAACATGAAGTTCGACGGATTTAAGATTCTTTTCCCTCTTACGATGGCAAATTTATGCTGGACTAATATTCTCAAAACAGGTTATGAATATGTTACAATATTCCAACCACAAGGCTGCTTAAAGCCTTACATTGACTTTTAGCTAGCATTGCTTTATTTTTGTGCATTATTATTTTAAGTTATAACCTTGTAAATGTTTTTTCAGTGTATATAATATAATGAATGTGTTTTCTAAAAAGAAATAGGAAATGATTATTTAGATTTCATTGATTTTATGTAGTCAAAACTAGTCTATTGAATATTAATATTCTCTTTTCTTCTAAAAGATCTTGAATTAACCTATTTAATAAAAAATAAATATGAATAAATGGCTCGATCTATTTTTTACATGTAACTGAATAAATTTCTAATATTTTACTATGTATCTAACAAAAACATTATAATCATTAATTCATGAAATTTATGTATGCCGTTCAAGACTAGATGGTTTATACAAATGGTGGTAATATAAATTTTATCTCTTATCATGTCTTTTATTATACATGCATTCCTCCTAACTCCTTGTTTGGATAGGATAGAAAGTGGGGGAGAGGAAAGAAAAGAGGGAAGAAAAGAAATATTTCGATGTTTGGGAAATGGAAAGAAAGCGAGTGGAAAGAAAAAAAAATAATAAACAATACAAACATGCTTTTGGCGAGTCAAAATTTCAATTTAATTTCACAATTTGAAGAAATGTTTCGTCCGAAAATAGTGAGAAGGTGCAGAGGCTTGCCTTTAGGCGCGAGATCACTTGGGAGTCTCTTGAAATGCGAAACGGATGTTGAGAAGTGGAAGAAAATATTGAAAAGCGATCCGTGGGATATGCGAAATGACCAAATTCTTCCCGCTTTGCGAGTGAGCTATTATTATTTGCCATCACATTCAACATGACTTGGCAAAATTTGTGTACTGGAGAGTTTTTCATAGACGTGGCTTATAGCAATTCATGTTGTAAGTTTTCTAGCAAAACTCGTCATGTATCATATTCAACGGCTAGCAACATAGAGAATCTTAAGGGCATTGCTTGAACTTAAAAATTTATGCACCTTTTTATTCCCAAAAGCTCCACAAAAGAAGCTTGGTGAAACGGCAGTGAGTAGATAGGCAACTAACAAGACAATTTGTGCTTCCTTATTTTCAAAATTCAAGCAAGACAATATACTTTTATTTTTTTAATTGCTAAATAATAATTTTTAATAAAAAACAAAAGCGGAGAAAATGATGGGTAAAACAACTAACTTATTATATGCATAGATAATAATATATGTTATACATATTTAAATTAATTTTATGTTGATAATTAATTTAAATTGGCTATTAAATTAATTAATTAATAAACGAGTTATCGATTATTATATGGAGACGATTTATTATCTATCTTATCATTTTAGATAGATGCTACATGCTAGATTTTTATTTTATTATCATTTGTGTTATTTTCATGAAAAAAAATATTCATACAAATTTATTATAAGTATTTAAATATAGAAATATAATCATAGGGGTATTATAGTAAATATACAATAATAGATTTTCTTTCCTTCCTCTTTTTACAATTATCCAAACAAGTGAAATGTATTTTCTTTTCTTTCTTTTCCACTATTATCCAAACGACAAGTAGAAAATGATTTTCTTTACTCCCTCTTTTCTTTTCTCTCACTTTCTTTCCTCTCTTTTCTTTCCTCCCAAGAGGAATTATCCAAACATAGGGTAAAACTATCATACGCACAACAAGGTCACCGGTTTAAAATGTGGGCAACCTAATATTCCTTTTCATTTCTAAGCCTTTTCTTATATTCAAAGACAAAAGCGAAATTTAGAGATCGTTATATAAGAGTTTACCTTACATTTCACGTGCGGATTGGACCGAGCACACCTAACATGCCAAGTGAAATGGATTGGTCGGACAATAAGAGTTTACCTTACATCAATTCCTTTATTGGAAAAAGCCTTCGGCCTAGTCTTGTAGCTTTAGGCTTTAGGACCTTTAAGTTTAATCATGTGCTTCCAAGACGTTAGGACCGGTGTACGAGTCAAGTTGAGCTAAATTTTATAATCTCCAAATTTAAGT